AAAAAAGAACTCCAAGAAAGGGAGAGATTGTACTCTTAAATGAAGCGGGAATTCCAAGAGGAATGTGGAAATTATTACGGATCAAGGACATCAAAATCGATAAAGACGGTAAAGTTAGGAACGTTCAGGTGGAAACTCCCACTGGGAAACTTCTCGATCGTCCAATAAATGTCTTGTATCCTCTCGAAGTTAATGATGAAGAAATTCATCTTAAACCTAATAAGAAAGAAAATATGAAAATTCCGGAAACCGAACAGAACACTGAGGAGCTCCAGGAACCTATTGCGATGCGAACTAGGAGCAATACAAAACGACAATCTCGATTAAAGGAGAACCAAACAACTACCACCGCACCATCATCAGAAACCTGTAGAGATTTACACGATCAAAGATAGATCAATGGAAATAAACAAGCCCCACTTTCTTATGAACCCCACGCATTACCTACCTTTTCTGGTCGGGAGTGTCGTGAAAGACGAAATATTTAAATTATTATATCCAAAACTAACAAATTCCTCTTATCTAATTCCTTTTCCTCGCACAACAAAAACCCTTTGTTAGCAAACCCTTCGTTAGCAAAACCCTTTATTAGCAGTCTTTGTTTCATATCATTTAAATGTCCTCCTCTGCCGAATATCTGGTCAGTTCAGTTCTGTATATAAACTAATCCTGTTAACAATCTTCTTTGTTCATCCATGAGAAATCCTCCCATCTAATCTCCATTCGTTAAATCAGTCTTATATATAACCCAACCAATCCTTCTATAACCATCATTTGCTTTATGTTTTGGGTGGTATTGGGATGCGTCTAATACTTTATAATTTTGTGTTATTTCACTATTTTTATATTATTGCATTTTTTATAGTTTACGCGTTTGTTAAACGGTGTAGCATCCGTACAATATGTATAAAGCGCTATTATTGCTTCATGTTAAATAAAGGTTTAATTACCCAAGTTTGAGGTTTCACGACAGTTACTACACTGTATTGCTTGTATTCATGCATGAGTTCTTGTATATACAGCGACTTCAGTGAGTGTAGTTCTGTGTAAATTGGTCATTACAATTCTATTTCTGTGGGAGTTTAAATGGAATACCCGCGATCCAATTACATCTATTAGTATAAATAATTTGTAGCAATACTGAAAGAATAATGGTGGCCATTAGCATCACTCAACTTGCCCTTTGTGGGATATTTGTTTGCTGTAGTTTCTGTTTTCTTTCCACTCCTACGAGATGCTATTAGTCCGTCTCCAGTTCCATCTCTTGGTTTTATTGCTCGAACTTCGTCACTTTCTTCTTCATTCAGTTCCATGGGATAAAATAAATTAATTGGTCTATTGAGAAGTTACCGCTGGAAGTTTTCACAGTTGCCTTTCCTATACTTCAATCACTAACTAATTTAAGTGTTCCTGTACTTACTAATTTCCACATATCTGGTTGTAAATCTGGTTCTATTTCTCCAACACGCAAAATATGCTTATGAACTAGTCTTGGTGAAGCCAGTTCCCTTTGGGTACGTTCTCTCAAACGAATAAGATATTCGTTTTTCCAATTTTTCCAAAATACATCTACAGTTTTGAGAGCATTCGACCAATAATTAATTAGTTTGTCTCTAGTATTTAATAATGGAGTATAAATTCTTCTTGGTCACTATCATTATTATTTGGTATATTTAATGGATCATTAGGAGAGATAAAATCGATAGGTAATCATCAAAATTTAAATATACATTCTATTTCTGCTATTAATGTAATTAATTCTCTTTCCCATAATAATCTCCTTCCTATAGCTCTTCTGAGAGCTTTCTTGGTTAGCCCAATCATTTTCTCATACACCCCTTCGTTCCACGGTGCTTTCGGGATTATATTTTTCAAGACCATTCCTTTCAAGATTTCTGCAGATAAGTTATCGACGAAGCTCGAGATGAATTGCTCTAGTGGTAAAACATGTAAAAAGTGCTACCCATCTTTTATTTTTCCATTGTTATCTTCGACAGTAATTGGGCCCATATAATCAAGGCCAACCTGTCCAGAAGGTTTTGATTTCTTAACTCCAGTTTCCGGCAGATTTGGCACTGATGGTAATTTATATGGTTTAGTTCTTCATCTTCGACAAGCAAAGCATCCATTGATAACCCGTTTAACTGTTGATCTTCCCTTTGGTATCCAAAAATTTGGTTTTAATTCACAGAGAGTGTGAGCAATTCCAGCATGATGTGGTTCTTCATGTTTCTTTTTGATGATAAGTTCAGTAATATGATTACGACTTGGTAAATAGATTAGAAATTTTATTATTTTACTTTCATTTGTTAACTCCGCATTCTCTAAAAGGAAGGCTTGTTGATTTCCATAATTTATCGGTTTCATCACAGTATAAATTCCATATTCTAATTTGGTCTTCAGTTAATCCATCAGCCTGCGCTTGTGAAATTAATGTTCCTCCTGCTATCTCATAGTCGTCTTTATTCATGTAAATTTTATGAGTGGATAGTTTTTCCAACCACGTAGTTCTGTTTTGAAGCTAAATTTGATAAACCGAAGTGCCCACACTGTTGCTTTTAACATGCGAGCCAATTTTCAGTTATGAATTGAAATTTTACTAATTTAAAAGTTTTCTTTACCTTTCTAATAGTCATCATAATTCTCTATTAGATTCATCGTCTTCTTGATATTTGAATTCCCATTGTGACCATTTACTTTTCTCCTTTTCTAGCCACTGCGGTCTTGTCCACCACGGTTGATAGTTTTTAAGTTTACTTGGTGAAATTCCTCTAGTAGCAACCTCCACTGGATTGTTCGCACTTGGGGTATATCGAAGGGTGAAATGTGCCCTTCGTATCTCTTCTATTCGATTTTGTACAAACCGAGGGAGTAGTCTCGTATAATTTCTGATCCAAAATAGAGCGCATTTAGAATCAGACCAAAGCGTTGCAGGGTATATTTTTTAATTCTAGTTGCTTCAATGCAAACTGTGTAGCTCTTACTCCAATTAGTACTGAAAGTAATTGCAACCGAGGTATGGTAATTTGTTTAATTGGGACAATATGTGATTTAGCATAAATGAGAAATGTTGAATTTTTACTACATTTTTTGATGTCGAGAACATATACTGCTGCTGTGTATGCTTTATTTGAAGCATCTGAAAATACATGTATTTCTAATTAATCTGATGGGTTTATTACAGGTAGGTATATTACATATTATATTCTTTGGCCAACTTTGTATCATTGATTTCCACTGTTTTTCTTCTTGATAGCTTAAAGGCTGGTTCCACTTGTTTTGTATCCTAAATAAAAGTTGAAGAAATAAATTGAGTGTAATCATTGAGGGGACTAAAAACCCTAGAGGGTCATAATGTGAAGCAACAAATTGCAAGATAGTTTTTTTAGGTATTTTCTTTTCATTCCATGGTTTAAGTATTATATGAATTACATCCAATTCATAAATCCTGTTGATACCAAGAAAACTACCTTTATTAGAATTAGCCTTGTCGTATTCGGGTAATCTTTCATTGAATTCTAGATCATTCGAAATAAATTCTCCAATATTCATGGCTGCTCTTTCAAGTTCTGTTTGTTCGTACTTTAACAAGGCATCCTCTGTACACTTCGCAGATAAAATTATGTTATTAACATAAATATTTTTCCTTATTTCTGTTGCTAACTCGTGATCATATTTCTCCAAGTGAAAATTAATTGTAGCTGATAGTGGAAAAAGCGATGAAATTACTCCAAAAGGTAACTCTTTTAAACTGAGAAAATTTTATATTTTCTTCTGTTACGCCTTTTTTTGAATTATGCAACCAATGAAATCGAGTACAATTTCTATCTTCTGGATGTAGTTCTATTTGTAGAAATGCCTTTTCAATATCGGCCAGTATTACTGTTTTCATCATTGATACACCCACTAGATCCCGTAGCAAAATAGGTCCTCTGTACAAATACTTTATTTAAACTTTTAGAGTCTCTAAAGTGTACTGAAGCGTCGTAAACGATTTGCGTTTTTGTTGTTGACTTATTAGGAGTTAATACACCATGATGAGGCAGGTAAAATGAATAATGCCTACCTTATCATCGGGATCCACTTGTTCTTGTTCCTTCATTATGTTGTCATATCTTGTAATCGTTTGATGAGGTTCTTTAGACGACTAAGGCATAGACCGTAGTTGCTGCTTGATTTGCCTTTAATTTCTTTCCATGGCCAACGGACTCTATATCTTCCATTGCACTTGATTATTGACTTCTTGAATTGTTTTAACGCTTCTTCATCGTCATTAGCGTTGGATTGGTCATTGGTTCCCATGTGTTCTAATTTCCAAAAGATTCTAATTCTGAGCAAGAACTTACATTGGCTACACAGATTGACCGGACATATTTACAAATTCTCAGCGTTTTCGGAATTCTTGCCTTTAAATAGTAAATAGTATAATATATTTCAAAGCTTTGCATAATCTCTGATATTTTTGAATATATGGTCTCTGACGAGAATGATTAACTTTTTGGTGACTAACTGTATGAAAATTTTGAACTTCTCAGGAAAAGCCGAAAGTAGGAATTATACGTTCATGGAAAAGTTGTAATCGTTTTTTTCAGTATACCTGAGTCTCCTATATCAAATATGCATACGAAAATTAGAAGTTATGGTAGTGGATCTGTGAACAAGAATAGGCACTGATAAGAACAGGTAGAATATCATGAGCAATTCATTGAAAGGATCGGTTTTAGTCTTAAACAGAGTCAAGTTTGTCAATCAGATCAAGGAAAATAGAAAGTGTCATAGCAAACTATCGCTTGTTTATTGCTTGTTCAAATTTTTTATAATTTATAATCTGGGCTAGTTAAAATAGATTTTGTTCAGAAACAAGTGTTTGAAAAAATGTCAAGAAAGCTTGATAAAAATTTTCAAGGTAATCATTTTTTAACAGATATTGCAATTCGGAGAAATTCATTTTCTTTAAAAAATGAGAAATCACTAAAAATATTCAAAAGAAGATATTGTCTTCATTGACATAAGTCACTTATTTTCCATAAGAACACCATAAGAAAATGTTTCTTTTCTCTCTTTTTTAATATCTGTGAATTTTTCGTCGATGAACGAGTAATGCCATCACGGGTATGCTGTTCATCACTACATTTCTGAAATAACCCTTTTCCTTGACAGGTGATTGAGGATTTACCTTAATAAATGATTTCACTGATAAAAGCATATATTTCACTAACTATTTTCTGGGAAAGCTTTATTAAAACTGTTAAAAACGGTGACAATTCGAATAATATAAGACATGCCAATATTGAACTTCTTAAAGCTCATTATAAAATCAGTCATTAATCTATTCTTTTTATTCCACTCACTTATTAGACATCATTTTTCATCCATCATAAATTTGAACAACGAATCTAGCCCTTCTAAAATACGTATTGAGAACGTTAATTCCGAAAGGAAAGGAAAAGGAAAAAATGGATTTTTGTTATAAATTAAATTATAAATCAATTTTGTTCACATTCGAGAAATATCACAACGTTATTTACATGTCATTCTACGCTACAATAATTAAAAAAAAAGACTGGGAGAGACCAAAAGGAGTTCAGTTTGTTACATTACCATTGGATTTCTTGATAATGCATGTTGAATTAATAAACGTTAGATTCCAATGGCAGAATTTGCGTTGCACGATTAAGCGAATGCATAGAAATAGCGTCGAGCACCATAACGACCTGAAGGCGTTTAGCAATACTCAAGACTATATGATACATGATAATACATAGTAATCTTAATGGTTAGACATGGTTTCAGAGTCATGAAAAATAATTATCTAGTATGTGCTTTGCAATTTTTCGTAATGTTCTAAGATTTACACAAAAAAAAAAGGAAAATAAGGACAAAATTTTCCAATTCATTTCTCACTGTGTACTTCAGCTGACTGTGATATTCATCGAACTTACCAGCAGGCAAATACACATTAGTCCAATCTTTTCCCTTTCTGGAAAGCGCTGATGGTACGATCCAAAATCGATCCAACGTCCCGAAATCAACGAGACCTGTTTATAAAATGTAATTTAAGTGTAATTTTTTTAAAGTTGAAAAGAAACTTCTACAACTTCTTTCCTTGAATATTTGAAAGGTTTCTTCACAATTTGTTCACGAAAAACTATTGTTTTAATGTATATCTACCTTCTTTGTACATACTTATTGCTCGTTTTACATTGCATCTATCCAAATGCCATGGTTGCCAGTTATTCCACAGTGGTCGATCATAATTAGGATCACGATAGCGACGCCAGTATGTTGGATTTAGCCAGTCTGTATACCATTTATAGCGTGACCTGAAACGAATTGAGAGCAGTGGTTCAGAGAAAATGAACGGCTTTTTTTGAGTATATTTCATTTGCAATTGCAGAAAGTGCAAAATAAAATATAGATCATATTGGCCAGATTGGAAAGAAATTCGATGCATTAAAGAAAGTCTTATGATAGTTAGTTTACCAAAAAGCAGGATATTCAAAACCAAGGCTTTTTGGAATCGGATCGGTGTTGATATATCGGCGCGCTGCAAATCTATAGTCCTGCCAATGTAATGGAGTGTCAAAGAACATGCGATCGTGATAATAGTCATCCAACTATAATGGCACAAAATTAGCCTTCTTTTCTTAAATTATAGATCTAGTTATAGGAATCGAAATAGAGGAGTGACTAAACAAACCAAATCATAATCTCGTCGATATTTGAATAATGCAGATGAACGATATCTTTCACCAACGTGGATGCCATCTAAATTAGGAATCGATGCCACTCTAGAATTCAAAAACACTTAAATTTAAAATCTTAGAAATATTCTACAGATTTAAAAAAGCATTTAAAAAAATTTTTTTTTAAAATAAGAAGAACCTGGTAAGCGTGGCTACATCACCTCTTTCAACGGAACGTGCGCGTGGTAATGTAATTGCAGATCGTGCCTTGAACACTGGGAAACTCATCTTTTATCTCTTCAAACTAAAAGTAGAAGCGTAATCGCTAAAATTCTGCAATTGTACAGAATCGTTTCCGTCTGTACTGCGTCTCTATGTGTATCTGCTCAACTCCTTTCTATTATGAAAGTAAAGCAACAGAAATTTAATTTACACTAAACAGTTCTCTTCCAAACGATAAAAATTTTCGTAGCCGAACAGATTAGAGTAATTCAGTGTTTCATAAGTAAAAGGCAACTTTTAGTATGGAAATCACTGAAGAGATACGAAAATATGATAGAGTACTGCGTATGTATGTTCAGCAAGAGCTGTTAGAGCAACTCAGCTTCAAGATCGAGAAATGAAGTAGATTAGTAGAGCAGGGAAGTTATTATTAGTTGAAATGGCAAGAGACGTACAAGTTATTCTCAGCTAAGAGTAACTGAGTGACAATGAAAAAGAATTATTGATAGTCATGTAGTAAATCATATTCTATGGCTCTTTTCAAGCTTCTCATTAATGTTTCTAAGTGAAATAAAAAAAAAAAAAGAAATGCTATTATTTGAGGAAAGCAGAAACGAATTGTCCATTTATCTATTCAGCATTACTTCGTATTTATCAAGATTTCTCAAATGATTTCACAAAAAGGAAAAGCAAACTGATCCAATATACGAGAGTTTTTGGTTGCCCTTGGTCTAATCACTCTAATCCTATTAAATGCTAATTCAATTAGGAACAAAAAATAGAAGTTCTATCAAAATCATAAGCGAAGAAACAGAGAAACATGATCAAATTAGTTGAGCATTGCTATGAGAAATTTCACGAGAAATAACATTCACTTTCACTTTTGTCATGTGTTATCCCGAAAATTAACTCCGAAGCACAGCTCTGATGCTCATGGCAATGTAAAACAAATTGGCTGTGTGAAGAAGAGCGATATAAAAGCTTCAAGCAAGGATCAAGTATAATTAGCAGCCCGTTTTTCTTTTCCATTTCTCCCACTGATTCACGATATGTGCTTGTGCTCATTACACTTCTCACTCACAGCTGTCCAGTGGTGGGCTTGTGTTTTTCTTCTAAATAAAAGTTTATTTAAAATTATTAATAAAGAATTATTAAAAAAAAATGCAAAAATGCATCTTAATCAATTCAATCGTTTTAATTGCTTAATCAAACTGGTAGTTCAACTTTGCTGAAATGATGATGTATTAGAAAGAACGTTCTTAGTTTTCCTCCATCAATTTATATAATTCTATTGGATTTACAAATTCAGTGGAACATGGATGATTCAGAGTTATGCTTACGTTTTAGCTCCTACGTGACAATATGACATCAGGTCTCAGATCATTTCCAGTTAGATTGATTTTTTGTACTGCTACTTCACGTTTTAATTGATCGCTAGTCATGAAAAAAGTATTTATATCTGAACATACTGCCAGACGGTAAAATGTGATACTTCATTGTGGTAATAAAGGTTTAAGCTCATTATGGGCATATTTCTATCTTTATTAACCTGTCGTCCTATTTAAAAACTTGTCATTTTATGTCTTTATATCTGATTGCTGGCTTAAGAAAATGCTGTGGTAATTGTTTTTAAAGATGAAAGATGATATTTTTTCTTTTTGTTTTGAAGATGATAACACAGTGATTAAAGAGGCCCTAACAGCTGTTTTATATTCATTCTTCACGCCATATCCTTTCAGTGATGAAATAGAGTAATAGATTTCATATTATGCGCACTCAAGATATCTCAACAGTCTTTTCTTTTTTTTAATATTTCTTCATTTCTCCGGTATCTCATATTTTTTGTGTATTCTATCATTTTTTCCCCATTTCCCCCATATTCTTTCACCACCCGTAGGAAATACTCGTGTGCCAAATATTTTAGATATGATTGTAATGAATGGTTATGTAAAATAATTTCGCATCATATCGAATCTTTTAGAAGATGCAAAATCATTAGCTTTTAACTTGAAGATTTTCATTGGCTTAAAACTTCGTTCTTAATCAGCAAAAATTTCCATTTAATAGAAAAATGTCATCATCTATCATATAAGAAATGTTCTTAATATTATAAAACGACTGTAAAAGGAAATTGTTGGACTACGTTCACTTTTCTGCAAAAACACTTTGACTTTTTTTTAAGGTTTTTGGACACATTGTTTTTGACAAGATTTATTAGTTTTCTCTTTTCCAATAATATTAATTTTTTTTTACCCTTCCTATGTTTCATTTTACTCTGATCATATAAGAGATTCTTAATTTTTAACAAGCACTTCAGACAAAAACTCTGCCAGTGGTTAAACGCGTAATTCCATCACACATCTCTATGCCTAAAAAAACACCTAAAATTCTGACAAACAAAAAACACATTTTTTTTAAGGAGACAAATAGAATGAAAAATTTTTGGAAGTTTGATATTAAAAAATCTGAAATAGCAAAGCAGTAACGTCAAGCGTTTTTTAACTAACAATTGTTTCACACTTTCTGTAACATTTTCAAACTCCTACTGAAATACATTTCATGTGTTTAGACAATTTCAATACCGATGGCATTAACGGACGTCGTGCTTTGTTAATTTTTCCAAAATAATTTTTCATTTACCACTGTTCAGTAAAATACTTTCATTTCAGTGCTTTAAGCACAAAATTAAGTTGATAAAAGTAAACGTATTTAGAATAAAGGAAGGTCTGGTAACCATGACTTTAATAAAAAGCTGGATGCAATACTCCTACGACGATATATTAAGCTCTTAAAAACCGTCATTTGTAGTTGATTTGATCATTTTGTCATAGCACGAAAATTGAAATTTTTATGAAAATTCTAAAGAATCCTACAGTTTTTGTCTAAATGTAATTTAGTTTTGTTATGAACATAGAACATTTCTGAGAACTTTCGGGGATTCTAACTACTGGCAACAGACCAATTAAAGTTTGTGTGGTTAGTTTCTTCTCAACTGAGACTTTGCATTAAAATGTAATAAGCATTTCTTCTATTGAGTACTGCTTAATTCCTTTATTCTTGTAACTTCTAGTCGTCGAATCAAAGGGTAAAGCCTTCTTTTATTAGAAGACATAATAGATTTATAACCATTAAAGTCGGGAGAAATGAACGGGAATGGTATTTACCCGAAATCAAATCAAGCATCATCTTTAACTGCACGACAGAACCAGATATTGAAGAATTAAAAGGCTTTTACTTTTAAAGTTGCTTCGCAACTTTGCTTTAGCAAATGCATTTAGTTCATTTTTTCAACTCATTCGATATGATTAATTAAAGGGAAATTGCTGGAGTTGTGCACATTTTCGAATATCATCCTAATGCTGCACACTAAGTCAGTGCACATAAAACTACTTTTTCGAATATTTTCAGGGCTTTTTAACTCAATTAGTACAGAGAGTACAGTGGCAAGAATGGGAGAAAACAGTAATCTATTAAATACATGAACATTAAAACGTGGTTGTTTAGATGTAAAATGTATTGAAAACATTCAATTCATGGAATCAAAAGACAAATTGGATGCAAAGACAATCGTGATGCACTTGACATAAGGACGTAATAAGCGCAAGCATTAAAGTTGCCATTTTAGCATGACCATTTGACAGAGAATAATTTTTTACTTTTGCATCTCTGTCTATAAGTGAGTGGATCAATATAATATTAATTCCGTAACATCCAAGTGGCAGCATAATGGTTTAACCATGGCTCGATATGTTTCATAATTTTATTTCCTAATTGCTTCGTTAGCTTATCTACGCAATATTCGGCACACCTGAATAATTGCTTCTCCAATCTTCCCCGTCACTTAACATCATAATAGAGGTAGAATGAATCTAGCTTTGTTTAGTCAGTGTCCTATTATAAGCTGAGGATGACTTACAACGCTTTTACAAATAAATTGGTTACACATAATAGTGATTTGTACACATCAGAAGAAATAATGCTCAATTTTAGCTTTGTTACTGGTGCAGGTAAAACAGTGATACACTATGAGGTATAATGAAAACCTCAAGAATGCGTCATTTATGTTGAAGAGCAGTCTTTAGCCACATTCACAAAGACGTTCAACCACCTTCTTCTCTGCTCCCTGCTACTTACTCTCTTTCCTGCATACTCCTGTCAGCATTACGCTACCCTTATCGATCATTGAAACTTATCTTCCAGAAAACTTTGCACTGCGTTAGATCCTTACAATAAGCTTAGTCGTTTTTCATAAATCGAAAAATTTGTATACTCTTCTAGAAATACTCCTTGTTGAAGTATGTGACATTTCTGATTTTCTTGTGCTTCGAAGCGATTAGCTTACTGTTTAGTCAGATTTCTCGCCCCTCTCACATTTTATTTACACATATAAAAAGAGGAGGAGGACCTTGCTGAGGGATCTTTCTTGCGAAACTATACAAGTCTAGTCTGGATCTGTATTGCTGAAGGAAACAGTAGTAGCACTACAGTGATATCTAAACAGTTCGTCACAACCGTCTGTCATCTCAGGTAAAACATTTATCATGCTCCTACTGTGTTTTCCTATCTTATCGTTTGGTACTAATATGAAATCCTTAGAAAATTTTCCTATGTTGCAAGTCGGTTCCAAAATAAAACATTAACAGACTATCCTTAATTTATTAAAATGTGTTTGGGAAGTTCATTTTTTCTTGTCAACTATCAAATATTGGTTTTGCAAAAGAAATGCAAATTTGTGGCGAACATTTGTTCACAGTGAAATCCTTTCGTTTTATCGCAATCAAAGGCAGAACTAAACTGTTTTCCTGATATTTGACATGACGTGATCCTATAATCATCTTGAATCATTTAACAGAACTCATGAGGAAGAAAATACTAGATGAATTTGTCTGTCAAAGTTAAATGAAATTTCGTTGCCAGTTTTTGATGGGAGAACAATCTTGACTTATTTCTATTTCTATGGGTGGAAATAGAACAGAAAGGTTGGTTACTTGAAAGAAATGAAAGATTTCTTATCCTTTACAACATCGTCGAAAGTACAAAACGACAATTAGAATGGATGGTAAAGAAATTTTTAATTACAGAATTAAGACACAATTATTCTAGAAAACTATACGATATAAATTTAACATGGGACATTCAGCATGTTGAATGCTACATACTTTAATTAGAGTGAATCTGTATCCTGTTTTTTTTTCCTTTATTTGTCTTAGGATTTGTAAATCAAATCACACTTGCAGTAATACTGTATGAAATTGCTAAACAGCATGCATCGTTTACATCGACAACAGTTTTTTATTTTAGGCAAATAACTTTTATTTTCAGATATACAGTGACTAGTGCTGCTGTTGCTACCGCATTATAATATCCCTTCCCCTACCCCACCCGCGTTAGGGATACTTTAAATTGTAAAAAAAGATTTGCTCAGACTGATTTTCCGAAATCCATGCTTAAAACATATCTAATTTTTGAAAACAATGAATTAATAATGGAAGGTTTAATACAATCTTTGATTATTGTCGCTGTAACCAAGCGAAGGATGTGGAGTTTCAAACTTATATAATTGAGTTAGCTTTGAAATTCTGACTCAGCTTGCTGTTTAGCACTTTTTCCTCAAATTTCTCCAAACATTACATTTTGATGCTCATTTCCCCTTAATCTGTCTCATTTGTTATGCATTTGTTATACTTCGAGATTACTTGTAGATTGAGAAATCTAAATGCATTAGCTTAATTCGTCAATAATCTCAAGTTAATTAAGAAATGGGAAGCAGAAAACAGTGAACTGAATTCAAAGTCAAATTAAAGCATTAATTCGAATGCATGCAAAAAGTTTTTCCAGCTTTCACTTCTCATATTTCCATCTTTACTTTCCCACTGATTATTTACTCAACATACTAGCCGTAGTTTCAGTTTACTTCACGCTACCCTCCATTACTGCAAGTAGAATAAAGAAAGATGTCCGACGAAGGAGAACAATAGTAAGTGAATTTAATTGATACTATTTCATAGTGATCTTAAGTGAATCGTTTTGGAATTAAGTTGTTTTCTTGGTGTTCTATTTGTCCCATATATTGATACAGAACAATCTGTTTTGAATCCAAAAATCTTCAAGTGAAACGATAATGCAATCTAGATATCTTCAATAGATACGCACTTCACAACACTGCAGTTACCGACCAGTCGCCTACCTTATAATTATGAGTTACTAGCAGGCATGTATCATTATTACGGAAATACCGCTGCACAGCAGCAATTTTAACCTGGATAACAATACTAGAATTGTATTAATCCAGTTCATATTTAGAATCGTGGCATATATAAAACCATCTCTCCTACAATTTCTAATGTTTACAAAATAAGTGTCGATTTTGGTGATCCCATTTCAAATATTCATCGATCACGTTATTCAGCAACAACAAAAAAAAGGAATCTCACCACCAGTTAATGACGAGTCTCAGCTTCTATTGAAGGATCTGCAGCAGCTGCTCTAACTGCATCGTTTGTGGTATTTCCGTGCAAGATACTTCCGGAACACAGCATTGACAGCGGCATTCAAAACAAGCTTACTTTTCCGGACGTTTGCTTGCTCTTTGTCGACATAGTAGTGGTTCAGTTGAAGAATCGATCCATCATAATGCACGAGAACGTACTGTCGCGAAAAATTGAAACTACTACACCATATATGAGCATGAATATGCATTTCAATATGACCAAAGGTAGCTATTTCACTCAAATATACAAGAACGATCTAGTAAACGATCACACAGAACAAAAAGTGAGCAGTTCAGATGGATCAGGTAATAACTTAAATCGCTATAGGTCATACGATTTTAAACCCTTACATGCGGAAAATACCTCAAAACGATTCTCAATGAATGAACAAACAGCTTTCGATATAGCTCCAAACATAATAAAATCTGGTTTTATGGATACAACGAACCGCGGTTATGCAGCAAAAAATTTCATTTCACCGTTTTCAAAGAAACCTGCTGGTGTGGGACAAAATAGCTTTACTAGTTTTGTTAGCGATCAATATGATGTCATGAGGACTCAAACAAGTCATACGAAACGAGCGGATAGTTTTAACTGTAAATTATCGATGACAACAATTCCACTTAGAATTTCTAATGAACATAGTAGAAGTGGACGTTATAACTCACAAGACTGGATTGTATCTGGGCACGAGTACATGAAACGTCTTCTTCAAGCTCATCAGGTCGTTGATGAGCTGCTCAAAGCGCGGGGTTTAATATCCAACAATGAAGTCGATTATTTGTATAGTTGGGATCAAAAAATGAATCGAGAGCCAAAAACTAAGGAACAAAATATACTGGATGTTTATGGTCCAGTTGCATGCAAAAACGCTGGAGGTTTGGATATTTCAGGGGTTTCTCAACTGCGTTCTACATCAATGTCATTGGGTGGCGATTCAGAAAATGATTCAAGAGATAGCCCAAAACTACAAGAACGAAATTCACAAAACTTCATGTTTACAGTACTAACATCTGAAAAGCAGGGAACAGGTTCCATAGAATCGGTAAAAGTTAATATCGTAAAAACAAAAGAACATATGGACGTATATTTGAAACTGATAATCAAGAAGCCACAGCATTGTTGGCTCTATATGGACGTGAAAATAAGGCTTAAGAAAAAAGAAGCAGTAAGCGAAAAAACACACGGCAGTGCAACAACAGATTCAAAGAAAGGTTGTAATAAAGGATGGAAAATGGTTGATGACCAAACGCAGCAAACTAAAAACAGAAATCAAGTCCATATATCCGCAAAGTCAAGTGAGATAAATTCCTGCAATCAAAATAAAAGACTAAATTGGGATCACAAAATGGCACTCGAACAATCGGCATCAACTCGAGTTCAAAAATTAAGTACCACAAAATCTACTGAGCGACAAATGGGCAAGAAGCATAACGCCTTTCTTTCGAAACCGAAATGTGAGACTGTAGATGTATGCTGCTGTTTCGTTAATAAACATTGTTGTCCTCATAAAGCGATAATCTCCTTATCAGTGGCACGCTGCGCAACTGTTAAACAGAAAAATATTACTGTCGATGGCAAGGAGTTTTTGAATAAGGCAGAAAAGGAAACGAAATTAAAATGTAACGAAGGTGATTCGGTGGGTACTTTCTTGGTTGCAAAGACTGCGAAGCTACCGTTTCATCTCAATATGTTGCAGAATATGGAAAAGAACAAAATTATAGCAGCACAGAAAGGAGACAAAGTGATCGAGAGCAATGGAAATATGATGGAAGTTGAAAAAGATATCCTAGATCTTAGCAAAACCAAAAAACATTTCAAATTTCCAATTCCGACAAAGGCCTCTAGAAAGAAATTGAAGGGACTGGAAGGAAGCACTACTTTATTTTCAGTATTACATACAAAAAAATTAGCATCAGATCAAACACGAGAAACTTCTGCTAGTAGTAAACAGGCAACTGTCTCAAAAAATCTGTGTTTACAGTCAAAATTACCGCAGTTAGAAACAGCAGTGAGAGTGCCAGTGAGATCACACAAAATAAGCATTACTAAACAAGTGGTGGTTAAGCAGATAACAGATAGTATGAAACATCAGCATGAGATACTGATGAAAGTGAACAAGCCATCAGTATTGAAAAAAAAGGAGTGTTTTGAAGTGGAGAAAGCTCAGAAAGCGCTACAAAATTACACCACAACTAAGGGCTACCAAGAAATCCTCCGATCGATCACTAAAAGTGAAAGCAATGTGATAACAGAGTTTGAGCACAATGCAGATACGGATATACGTCGAGCACGAGAACATCTGAAACGTATTAATTTTGATAGAACTGGTGTAAGTATGGAATCAAGTACATCCTTCGTACACAGGATCAATAACGACCCATTGAATTCGGAACAAAGTTTCTCAGCTTTATCAGTGGTAAAAAAAAAAGAGGAAAAGGTTTTTGAAACAAAAATAGACAAGGACTCAAAGAATCGACCAATACAGACGCCTAAGCCCACTACGTCTACCGAGCAAGAAAGATATCATGATGGCGGAACAACTACAGAACGAAACAGCGATATTTTAGACAAAGAATTAATTAATGCATACAGACGCACTCAACGTATTCCCAAACCTCAGGCAAAAATTCCAGCTTGGAATGATTATGATGAACAAAAGCAAACAACAGATAACAAGCGCAATCCACCAAAACTACGCCATGGAACTCTGTCCACGGCATCACCATTACCCTGCTTCATTCGTGCTCGTACGCCAACACTTATAGATGCTGCTGTCACCTTATCTACAGTCATTCCTACTACTGCTGTATTGCGTCACGTTCCTTCAAATCACTTACCAGCTGTGAACTCTCGACTTAAAAATGTTTCGTCAAGCGGTAGTAGCATAACCACCACGGGCAGTTTGCAGCAACACTCGCCGAGCAGTCAGTTTGGTGTTACGTTGAAACGTGTCGATCGCGCTATAGTGAAGAAAAGCAAGTCACGTGGTGCTATAACACAGTCAGCACCAAAGAAACCTTGGGTACCAAAGTGGCGTCGGATACAACGGTACACACTTGATAAAGTTACTTTTTTTTATTTCGTGTAGATAGCTAATCCCTTAAATTCAAAAAACTCTATATTTCCGGAAATCGCGATTTTAACGAACTTTTTATTATAGCACAGAAGAAGAGGAGGAAACAGAAACGATACCAATCATTGAAGTAAATAAGGACGAACACAGAAGTGATAGTGATGAAGAACAGAAGCAAATACCCATGTAACTTTTATACTATTGTCGAAAAGATAAAGTGCTCTCTTCATTAAAAATGCGCTGTGAAAGTAACTTTATTAATACACAGCTGCGTGCAGGCTTATTCATTCCTTTCCGCTGAGCTACAGATTTTGTTTCAGACGGTTTTCATCGCAGGCTATCACTGAGGAAAATGGAAGAGATATGACCGAAGCTGAGAAAGCCATGATGGTATTTACTTTTCTTTTAATTGCAATATTGAAAACTAGGTCGTCAGACAATTTTAATGTAATATTCAATATTAAAAATTAGTTCACCAAACAATTTTTTCCATCATCTTTCAAATTTCGTAGACAGATAAGAGGATATTTTGAGCAGAACTACTGGTTCCAAAAAATAAAGATGAAATATCTCTTAGGTGGCAAAAAGGCGCCAGATAGAAGAGGAAAGTACAAAGCTACAAAAGTATGAGGAAAAACGTCAAGTCGAACGAGAACGGGAAGAAGAGGAACTGAGGAAGTTGAAGGAAAAGAAGGAGCGAAGAAAACTAGAAAGAGAAGAGGAGGAGCGACAGCTTCAGGAAAGACTTACGCAAAAAGAAAGAAAAAGAAAGCAGGAAGAGGCTTGTTCTTATTTTCTTCTAGGCTGTAAACAGTTCTTTTTTAATATTTAGAAGTTTTAAATGAAATGCGTGAAAAATAAACAACTTATGGGGCAAAATTTACATCTTAGGAGGAGCGCAAAGCTAAAATAGAAGCAGAGAAACTTAAAAAGGACAATGAAAGACGGAAGCGCCAACAAATGTTATCATCACAGTTTACGAATATGGCTCTGGGACAAATTAGACGTAATTTTGTTCTCCCTGAAAAATCAGACAGGACTGATAAATTCGGTAACATCGTCCAGGTATGTTTGCAGATATAGCGTGTGAAATCTAGAGTAACTGATATATTTATTTTTGCGTGTTTTTATTTCCTTTGATTTATAAGTTGAATTTTTCAATGTTTAGTTAAAAATTGGATTACAATAATATTAAAAAAAAATTCTAAAATTTGTATACGTAAGCGATTGCAGGATACACACATGTCTACTGATATCATGTGCTTTTGCTACCAATTTTGCTTTCTTAATATTTTATTTTTTTGAACCGTCAGAAACAGGCAGATTCGCCATATTCTTATTTAAATATGGATTTTCTAGGCCAAACAGGAAATGAGTATGACCAAAGAGCAACAAGAAGAAGCAAAGCGTAATTATTTGGTGTATGTGAAACATACCATGGAATTTGGAAAAAATGGGCCAAAAGAGTTACGTGAAAAAATACGGCAAATACACCAGCGCATTTGTAAGCTGGAGGCTGATAAATATGATTTGGAAAAGCGACATGAACGTCAAGAATATGACGTAATTATGTTTATATTTGGCATAATCTGACCGTGTCTTTTGTAGGAAAAAGTCAAACTTATTTCTTCTTGTTATATCTTAAAAAGAAAAAAAAACTTCATTTGATTTTGGTTTAAATTTTTGGAGTCGTCTGTATTAGGTCCCATCGCAGACTCAACATTCACCGTAATGGTTTAATAGTTGGTTTAGTATAAGAAAGAAAATGTATTTCAGTTGCGTGAGTTGAACGAACGCCAACGTCAAGTGGCACGTAATAAAGCATTTAAGAAAGGACTACACCCAGCCGATACAAATTCTATACATCCGGTTACTGTTTCAACTTTTTAACACAAAGAATTGTAAAAAAAAAACAAGCATGCAACTTGAGTTAAAGGACGTTCTTTTTTCATGGAACTAACTGTCTTTCAGTATCTGCAAGTAAAATTATAGGCTCCAAATAATAATTTCAAAAATTATTGTTCCTACAAATTTATCTTCTAAATTTGCAACTTTATCAGTCAGGTCTATACCAAAACAACGAAATCAGAATTGACTACTTATAAAGGGTTTTTTTTTAGTTTGCTTCAGCTACATTACTAACTGCGCCGCTAGCAACAATTGCAACTACCATAGAAAACTTTTTTACATCAAAAGAAAATATTGTATTAACTTTCGCCATCTCATATAAAATGATACAACTGATGAAATAAAGAGATCATTCGCAGTTGAAGCAGTCTTTTTCACAATTCGTTTTTATTATATTTTAGCCAAAGGTGTCGATAATAAGCAAATACGACCGGCAAATCGACCGAAGAAATTTCAGAGAGCGCAGGGCTATGTTTGAGAATGTACTTTTAAGTTAATCATATTTTATAATTCTGTTTCCATTTTTACCTACTAATAGTTTAATTATCACTGTATGCTGTGAATTATGACATTCATTAATTCAGCAAAATTTTTGAGCTATTTTTGGTTCATTGTAATTTCCATTTATAGACATTTCCTCAAACACTCAACATACTCTTCCATTATGAATGACTACACACTTGTTCACATCTATCGTACTTTTGCTTCCAGAAAACTGCATACCCGTGTTTTCCGAATGTCCTACCACCACCAACTCTTTACGAGAAAATAATTCTCTGCGACGACAAACCGGATGTATGTAGTTTTGCATTTTATTTATTATTTACTTACTTTTTCAAATTGTTTCTCAAAGACATTCTCAAATACTGTATACTAATTTAGGAGCCAGAAGATGAGGATGATGAAGTCGATGAAGAAGTTGGTTTTAGTCGCAGATTGTATCACGTTGATTTGTCCACTTATCTTGTTGATTTATTAATTTTCATTTTTTAAATTGTTTAGTATAATTATCGTTCACGTTTTTTATCCCAGTATGAATTATTCCTTAAGGTTTCCTCACAGCTATTATTGATAATCTTTCCGAAACAATTCAAAAAAAAAGATCTTTTTTCTCTTTTTTTTAAATAACTGTTATTCAAGTTATTCAAGAAAAAGCTTTAAAAAATTTATTTCTATTTACTATTTTTGCCTCATCTTTAAATTTTCGCAAACAATAGCATCCTGAATGTTTAACAGGTGAATTTGGTTGTGTGAATGATAACATAACTTGTTCCTACTACATACATTTATAAAGAGAACTTATACAGAAAACTTGAAATGTTTCTTAATTGTACTTGAAAGTTTGTTGGATTAAGAATCTTATGCTTCAACTCGGGGAACAGTTAATGTTGCTTGAATTGCAGGAAGAAGAAGGAGACGAAGAGGAAGAATGAATTTTGTAAACTACTTACATGAATCATCAATATATGTGTCATCAATACATTTGCGGTCATATGAATTTTGTTTCGTCCCAGGAGTAATGTCATTTTTTTCGCTCACAAGCATATGTTTCTAATATATATTGTCCTGTGTGCCTTAAATGTGCCGTATACATAATAATTGTTAACATACCTGGTAGGGTGATAACGTTTAAAAATGAATAACCATGAAGAAACATAAAATCCACCTGGGTTTGCACAAAAGCCAAATTCCATTAAGGTGCAAAATTGTATTGATAAACACTTTAACCTGTATGCTGCCGAGGCTTACCAGTGTCATTTAACGGCGTTAGAGTACTTATTCTATTTATGTTCTAATAATTCTGACTGGCCAAATTTCAATAAGCAGAACTCATCTCTGCATGGATAATAAGTGTATTCGCAAGATTATAAAGCAAAATGATGTTCTGTGAACGTCAATTAATTTCAAAGCAGCGAAAAGAAAACAAATTACTGTTTGCTCACTATTTATTTAAAACTATATGCGTCTTTTGACGAACTGGCTTATAAAAGTTTGATGGTATTAGTTTTTATAAAAAATAAAAGTTTTGGCTAAGACGTAAAAAAACTTTTAGACCGCAGTGCAAATTATAATGATGCGCAGATACACTGGACGGGTATAAATAAATAAATGGAAAATTGATCAACGTGATCAATCAATTTACGCTCGAAATCGATTAAAAATTTAACAAATAACGATGAGCAATCAAGATAAAGTGTTTATCCACACAAAGTATAATGCTCCAATTTTTAATCCTACTACGATAATTCCTCAACAAGCGAAGCGAACAAAAACCTGCCCTTTTCTCATTATGTATAATTTAAATGCAAATATACAGCGTGTAACGAAGATTCTGGGAACAGTTTAAAAATCATTGTAAAGCCTGGAAAGAAACAATGGAGGATCAAAAAAGTCGGACATAAAAGCAAAAAATTAAACAGTCGGTTTGTACAAAATTCTCCAAACATCAGCTTACTGAGTAATCCCTATTAGCTCCCATGCAACATTAACCAAAGAATAGATTTTAAAAAATTAGAGAAAAATGCCACAAATTATGAAATCTATTCCAAAAAGTTTTTTTATCATTCACGGATGAAGGCTTTTAATAACATCGAAAATAATGAATTAAATGCTATTGCTGAACTCAAAATCGCTTTAGTGTCAGCGAGTAAGTATTAATTCAGAGTTGGATTAATTTCGCAAATAGCTGAAGGAATAATCTTTTAATACATACACTTCGCTCCAGAGAATTAATTTTGTCATTTTGCTTTTATGAAGCTATGTGAGATATTAAAAACAAATTTTCAGAATTTCAATTTTCAAAGTTTGGTGCGTTTGATATGTCCAACAAACGGAGTAACGGCTTATATTGGGAATTTGTCGAAATCATGAAGCAAACAGTAAAAGCCATTCTAGTTTTGTCAAATTCGTTTGTTTATTTTATTTACGAAGCCACGTAAAAGTTAAGAAATTTTTAATTCAGTTACTGTCACTGTTGCTATTATGCATGATATTTGGGAGTCTTTACCAATGAATACTGTTAAAAGTTAAGAAGTAGCGATTTAATAGCGACTATATTTTTTGAGCACAAGAAATGTCGGAAATAGAAAACTCTTAGATTTTTGAGAAAAACTTTGTGCTCGAGAGGTCGACAAATTCTACTTTATTCAACTTCAATCTTCTACTTATATTTTTGTCAACAAAATGTTTTGTTCCGTACCAGAATAAATAAGCCCCTAACATTGATTCGTGTTCTCATGGATTATTTCGACAATATAAATCGATTCGGAAGAAACATATGTCTCTAGTTTATGTCATGACAGAATATTTAAATGTTTTCCTAATTGTTCAATATCAATTTCTATACATGGTCATAAATAATCACTAAAGCTAGCAGAAATAATTCTCACATAGCTGTCCATATTCCTGGATGAGTAATATCTCGCACTTGGGGGTACCACTTATTTATGCTTTCATATTAAATAATAACATCAGGAGACCAGTTAGTATTATAGATTTGACGTTTGTGATGTAATTGCTGAATTACATTGTTTGACAGTTTTCTGAAAACACTTGTGATATCAGTTATCACTGAAAAGCACGGTGATCAGGATAATATCAAATTATTAAACACTTTTTTAAATAAATTCTCATGTAAAACTCAAAATCTTTATCAAATTCTTGAATTTTTCTATTAGTTCAATAGAAAAAAACAATGGCAGCTGTACAATGTACTACAAAATGCAATTCATTTTTAATTTTATTTGCCATAAATTTAATTGTAAATTGCCGAACATTTTTGCATCTATATTATTTTGATAGGACAGCATAAGTTTATAGAGAATATAATCAAATAAAGTTAAATGATGAAATACGGGATAAGTTAGACTTAACTTACTGTAGGGCAACATTCTGGTAATATTGCAGTGAAATCATAACAAGAAATAAAACAAGTACAGGGGTGGACAAATATATAATCAGTATAGCATATTCAAACAACCAGTTTGATAGAGATCGAAACTGAACAAGTGTAGAAGTCATATATATATGATGCAGTCACAATACTGATCGGATGATCGGATCAAATATCATAGTCTTCGCGTAGAAGATAATAATTTTAGGAAAAGTATGCCTACCCATTATATATCTTACCTCAAAATTAAGGGATTAATCGTGAAGGCTTTGAAAGAATTGCAATTAAAATACTGGAAAGGAATTTAAAAATTCTTCAGTGGTTTAAAAAGATATATATTATCGAAGAATTTGCAGATAATAATGAATAGGGAGATTGTCCATGAAAGTGATAAGCTGGCATTACTCTGTGTTGTCCTTTAACACATATGTTTATTAGAGAACTACAACAGCTGGTTATTTCGCAGTTGAGAATTTTCTGACATAAAAGAATATTCCTGATTGATGTTTGCAGAAATTGTTTGAAATTGAAACTAAATCATAATTATAGAGATCCATTTCTAGCACTTACTTCGTACGTTTAAAATAAATAGTGCAATAGATCGATGAATAAATAAATAAAACATTATGGTTTTACTCAGTTTTACTTGGTAAATTCATTGGCTATCGAATTTTGTTGATAATAATGTCATATGCCATTTGTATGCTCATTTTTCCTTTTCTTTTTTGTTTTTTTGCAGGTTTATGTTCCTGGCAATATCATTTCCTTAAATAAATGAAGTGGGAAATTAAGGATTCCTTTTCTTTAAAAGACATTACAATTAAGCATTAGTGGTGACAATACGACTAACAGTAATCCAATAGGTCTAATATAAATAAAATACTTTATACATAGAAAGTTTCTGTCAAAAAAATGAGAGGTGAAAAAACAATGGAATTTTCTTTCCATTTTTGTATTTTGGCGTTCCTAAGACAGTACCGAAAAGAAACTTTTTTGTTGTTTCCAAGAAATACCAGCAGAACTTATACTTAACGCATATTGAAAGCAGATATGCAAAACATGATTGTTTTCATATTTTGACTAACAACCACTACTACAAAATGGAACAATTCGGAAATCAATTCGAAACTCGAATAATTAATTTCATAACAAGGTAACTGTAAATGTTAATTTTTTTCCTATTTCATGTTTGTTTATTTGCAAATCTTGATTTAGCCAAAGTATGAACGTTCATTGATGTGCACTAATATTCTATTTTGCAGTCTTAACTAATCTGACTAAGCCAGATCTTCTTTAGAAGCAGCTTACAAATGATGAGTCAAATGAACATCATTAAAGCAATAAAATCAGATACTCATGAAGAAGAAGTTACGGTTCAGTAGGATAAAAGAATGCCATAATTCGATCTTCGCCGTATTCATTACTTGCAATGCAGGTATATACCCCCAAGTCTTCCCACTGTGTATCATAGATCATCAAATCTCCATTTGCCAGTATCTGAAATACTGGCGAATTTTTGAAAAATTTAATACCCGTATTTGAAATAACTACTTCTCATTTAATTAAAACTTGATTAAATTTTTACATGTTTTTATTTAATTATATTTACTTTGTATTTCTTAACATTATCGAGTTTACAATTTTCCTCATTGTACCAGGTGATATTCGATTGCGGAGTTCCATTAACTCGGCAGAACAGCTGTACGGTTGCACCAGATATTTCAAAACGGCCATCTGTCCACATGCTTATTACTGGCGGTGAATGCTTACGCCAGCATTTCGCTTTTTCTTCTGAAAGTTTCATGAAAAGTAAAAGCAGTTGAAATACTATTTGACCATCCTATTAAAAATCGAATAAAAGCTTAGATTTTAAACACACAGTACTGAAGGTAAGAGATTATAAGCAAACATTATACGGAAGTGTTGAAACTCGCCAACAACAACAGTTGTTGTACTTTCAAGTTTTTGATGACCATTACTCGCTAAACATTTGTATTCAGCTGTATCTTTGGTTTTGATACATGGAACGACCATCTTGGATGCAGTTACACCATACTGTATGGTATTAAGATCCGCATTGTGCAGTTTTTCTGCGGCGTTGCTTTCAACTATGGCATGGATTATATTGCCATTGTATGCCCTGCAGAATATATCATAAAGTAAGTTTCCTTTCAACGACAGTGGTGAAGTATTTTAAGTCTACTTCTAAGTGCTGACTTGTCTTCAATCTTCTCAATGGTCTCTGGAAATCTGAAGAGCATATCTGAAAATCAAGCTAGTCAAATAATATAAGCATCGTTTGGGATGCGTACCTATACTTTAAACGCAGCTTTGACAATGATCCTAACGAACTGCTTGTACTGCCATAGTTAGTATCAGTGAAAGTCTCTGAGATTGCTGCGGGTGCGAAATCGCTAATTTAGTTGATTAAAACTAACTGGTACATTGATAACCTCAGAAGCAAAATTAACACAGTTAGCTCCACTTTAACTTTCAAAATCTGAATAGTGAGAGCTTTAGTTAGCAAATGGAATAAGAGAAACCATTCAATGATTGGTGGTGGGATGCCAATCGCTTCACATTTTAACACAAGTTCATTTCCGACAGCAATTTCAACTGCTTTTGGTGTTTTAGTGAAGTGCAAATAAGGAGCTTCAGTTAAATGTTCTGCAATTATTTTCATTTACAAAACGATTCTTTAAAAAATATATTAAGTTATATTAGAAGATTGGATGCGGTAAATGTGGAGCTCATGTTTTATTTTATTCATCTCTCCAGTTTATAACGAAAAAACTTCTCTGTAGCACCACAGTTTCTGCTAACAATGCAAATTTAATGTGATATATTTTCTGGTGAGATCGGCTTACTCGCAACCGAGGATTTCAATCACCAAAAGAATTTGCATAAAAATACCTGCATTGAAATTGCTGTTCAATACTTCTATGTCCTTTCCAATATCTGTTTCCACAACCTAAAATTTCTTCAATATTTTAGTTTTTAAAGTGAACAGTGAGAAAAGCATGAAAAACAGGAAAAAATATCCCAAATGTGAATTATTTTTAACATTGTCGAATATTGTAACTCACGTGACTTTTTTCAAAAATATCTCGTTGACGTAGTGTGGATATTGTTAAGGAAGTCAAAATCAGTAAATAGAAAACAGTAACATGGAGCATTCTCTGCGAAAAATAGAACTGAAAATATAATGAAGTACATTCCTTCCTATAAGCCAAATTGTTTAGATCAAAAGCAGCAAATGAGTTTGGTATCGGACACACTGGAAAGCATTTCTTCTTGTACTGGCCAAAAATTTTGTGAGAAAATCCTGAGTGATTAAGAAAAAAGAATCAGACTTAGAAAGAAGGACTCTGTGATGTATTACTGCATTGCAGCAGTTCAGACTGCCAAAACCAGTCTGAACTGCTGCAATGGCAAACAGTTTGGATAAAAACAAATAAATTAAAAAATTTTTATGTGTGAACAAATTAACCTTTTCTTTAAAAGTTGGAAGTATGGAAAGACAAAAAAAAAAAACTGGATTTGGAAGTCATCAAAAGGAAACCTACATCAGGTCATGCGATATATATTACGATACATATTTCACTTACATTTCTTTAATGTAATTGTGTATTAAGAATAGTTTAATGCAAAATTTTTATTCTTTTAAAATTATTAATTTGTGAGTCCACACCATACAAATATCAGAAAATGATTTGATTTCCACTGGAAATTAATTTCACAAAGATTATCAGCTTACTTCGAATTTAATTCATTTCTAAGTTAACTGATTTTGTAGGAACTACTGTCATATCAATTGAAAAAAAAGTTCAAAATAATGCCGTAAGTAATTTATTTCCCTGTACTGAAATTAATTGTTATATAATTCTACTCATCATTACTAATTTTTTAAAAGAGTTTTTACAATTGGTGGCATGGTCATAAGTTGGACATGGTGAAAGATTGAAATATATTATCTTATCAATTCTGTGTCAAACTATCGCTTCTAGCTGGTGTATTCATTGCGTAATTCTACATTTATTTGATATTTATTTGATATTAGTACTTGTCATGATGAAAAAGCTGTTGTCAAAATATACTTGTAAAAGATAACGTGAAGAAAGCAACAGAATCAATAAAATATTTTTTACTTTACCATAACAGAAACATTAATTTTCTCATATTATATACACATAGTACACAATTTTTTATGGTAATATTCAAAACTTATTAAAATATTAGGTTATAGTACTGCAAGTAAGACACAACCTAATGAAGATCAATTAAAAATTGCATTGTAAGGCTTATTATGCAAATAATAATAATAGTAATAATAATAAATAATAATAACAATAATAACAATAATAACAATAATTATAATAATAATAATAATAATAATAATAATAATAATAATAATAATAAATAAACAACTAATAATCAAATGTAATAACCAAGTATCAGAAATAAAAAAAAAAATCAATATAGCACAATGAACTTGTATGACTGCAGTATATAAAGTTGAATTCTTGATTTTTTCTTATTTGATTATTTTACTTCACTATAAACACTTTTTCGTGTAATGAACGGTTCACAGTTCGATTCACACTCTGTGCTCTTATTAATGGGATATTTCTCTCCTAATTATTTGCAAAAATATGTCATATGTATCCATGCGTAATCCCTATATTTTTACTCACGATTTGATAGTAAATTGTTAACAGCAAATTCTTTCAAGAATTAGAAGATGGAGTTTTACAGAAGTGATAAGATGCAGTCAATTAGCCTTTCAGAGATGTAGGGCATCTGAAATTTCAATTATAAAGCGAAAATGAGTGTTGCTGATATCTCGCTTAAACGATATACTTTATACTGAATAACACACATAGGAAAACACTGTTGTACATTTGCTTAAAAAGTAGAAAAAATTCTGAATAGTACATTCTTACTCAAAATAAGTTTATTGATTAGAAATAAACATAACAGTTTTAATTTCTCAGGTTAGTAGAAAATAAAAGCTACCTTTTCTCTTTACCACATCAATTGGAAAAACGAATTGCATTTCGGAACCCGCACTGCCTCGTTTAAAGAGGCTAGTTTTTGGATAATAATTGCTAGATTTCATAAATACCATAACAGTCTACAATGAAAGGGCAATATTTTTAATTTCTGTGTTCGGTCCATTCCCCCTTTAGATCTCGTGCTATTTTATCCATCATTAATATCGTTTGGTTATGACCATCAACTCAATATTTTAAATTATGGAAACAATTTGATTCTTCATTTTTGTGTTCATATCAATTCCACCATAACTGCATAAGTACTTTAAAATCAGGTTTGTCATGAATAACTCAGCAACCTCGTTGTCACAGCTAATGATTAAACACCAACTTCTATGAACTTGAAATTTTTGGTAATATCCATTTAATGAAATACATAAACTCTATCAAGCGAGTTTTAAGTAATCGTTCGAGAACTTGAAGAATTGCTGTACTATCTTCAAATTGTTTGGCTTACACGAAGGCAGTGGCAAACTCCTTCTCACTTTTTGGAGGTGTTTGATTTGCTAATCCAACCGGATTTGGAAATTTTCGACAGCAGATTACAAGTACAAATACCTAGAAATGAAGTAGCGTTGTCAAAAGTTGCCTAGCAAATTGTATCTTCTGTCCCAGTTTTTACTGATACCAATTCACTGATAATATCTATGACTTTAATAATTTCCAAATGATTCATCTTGAAATCCAACTTTTTGTTAATAAAAAATAACGAAAAGAAAATTTGTAAGACACTATGGGAGTTTAGTCCTAAAAGTAATAAATTTTTGCCACTTTTTGCTTACACATACGTACTGTCCAAGAAAAATATTTTTGTGGATGCTTGTCGGTCAGGTAACATTGACATTAATTAATTACTTCGCCCCTTATAAAAGCATGGAAATGCAGCTCCATCAAGATGAAATTTTCACATTTCAATAACTCTTTCATAAAACGAAGCTTTCAGCTGCAGAAACATTATTTCCAATAAACTGATAAATGCAAACATATTTGAAGGAAATCTTACAGTCACAAAAAGCAACAATAAGAAACATGAATAAACCTTGCGGCAAAGCAATAAATGAGCGCTGCTAATGCAGCTGAAATAAATTCCAGTAGAACTTTTTATAATTCAATTAACCATTATAGATCTTGCATACACATTATTTCCACAAGAAAGTCTATGACTAGATTTTTACTAGATCGTCTGCATCAAATAGATCAATGAGCCTTTAATGAAGCTGGGAAAATTAGGTTTAGTAAGTTCGTCGCACCTGAAGCATCCGAGGTTTTCAGAAATGTTCGATGAAATGTTTTTAGAACAATTTTGCTTTCATTAGCAGTTAGAAAATAAGGTAGGTTTGTCGAATTTTCAAGAATTTCTGCAAAACATATCGATTGTTTGCTCCTCTACTCATGCAAATTAAAGCTTAGCAGATGTTTTCGTTCTCAAATTGCTAACACTCTACGTCTACTAATTAAATAACCATTATGATTGCCAGAATGAAAGACTTAGCTAAGAACTGTGCTCTCCACTCAAACATCAGTTCTCCACTCTCGCAGTGTCATTCAAAATGTGATTCCCAGAAGACAGCAACTTCACCCTGGTAAGATGTGCAAACTTACTGCACGTATAGCTGTTTGCCTCATCACATCCATGGGGAAATTAAGTTAAAAGATCTTCAACAAAACCTTTCTTCTATTCTCTGTAATTTTCTCATACCACGGTTCATACGAAACTGATGCAAATATATACTTCTGTGTAGTTAATTAAATAAGATCAAACTTTCTCTTTCGCAATAGTAAATCAACATTTACTCTAAAATCAGAAAATAACGCAATGAATGACAATTCTGGAGCTACTCTTAATACCATTTAAATCATTATCACTTAAAGTCGGAAATGTGCACCGACCGTGAACATCACACTATTATACCTTACACTCCTTCTCCTCCTCACCTGGAAGAGTTTACGGGAGAAAAGCATACATTAAACATGAGGTACACATCAAATAAAAGAAACAAAATTTTAAGACAACTTCCAATACTCAAATAAACCACACTAAACTTCTAAGGCCACCTTAAATGACTTTGAAGACTCAGCATTAAATATGATGTAGTAAAAGGAAATATTTAACAATGTGATGCGAATTCAACAATCGCTTCTTTTAACACGAATAAAGTGGGAGCGTGATAGTTCCATAAAATTCATAATGCACAGAATGCTATATTGAATTACATAAATACCCAAATTGCTCACATATACGACAAAACCGGCATCAAGAACCTCGTTTCATTTAAAATTGTTGGGAAAAACGTCCAATTAGCTTAGAAGTCATAAGCTGAAACGAAAGTCGCATAGTTATCGTCAAATAAATGCATATGGAACCATTTTAGTGAGCACTTTTATGGATCCAGAAAAGGTACGCTAAACATTTCATATACAAAGTGAACAGCTCGAAAAAAAAAAAAAAAAAAAAATACGAAGTCCCTTAATAACTGATATGTAAAGTTTCACAATCTCAACCACTGTGTCCTTCAAATTTAAAATTCCAAGAAACATAATATCAAAATTTTAACAAATAATAAGCCACAATAAGATAATCATAACGGTATCATCGGTCTATCATTTACTAATCTCATAAAAAGAAAAAATCATGTCACTTCATATCTCATTATATATAACGTCTGATATAACCCACTTAACTTCTGCCAGAAATAAGGCCACAAAAAAAAAAAAAAAAAATTCAGTGCAACAGTTAATAAAATCGATATACGAGGACTGAACAAGGAAAAATGTGAGTGTGCAGTGATAAACGATATGCTTTTCACAATGTTATGAAAACCTTATTACTAATTTCGCACAATATTTTACTCTATGTTTTTGACTAAATCAACAAGTTGCCCATTACTGAATCTGAAATATTTTCTTATTATGAAAATATAGGATATATGGTACATGCATATCGTTTCATCTCGACATTAAACGAATGAGCTTACCGGTGGAAAATCACAAAGATATTTATCACATATGAAGCCGTAATTCATGTCAGATTCTCAAAACAAGCACTTCATTTGAATATATATCAGAAAGACAATAAATTCTCGGCATGTAATGCCAAGTATACCCCCATGCTATTTCTGCATCATAATCTCCCAACAATATAGTTATATTTATGACAAAAGCAAAAAATGAAGAAGAATGACCCAATTAGTTTTTAGAGATAATCCCTTATTACAATTTTCTTTTCTTTTTCAATTTCTTATTTTCAAATATATCAGTTTTATTCTACAAAAGAAGCTAATGAATGGTCTTTTAAAGGTAATAAAGACTTGTTAAACATTAACTAAATATGTGCAGAAGACAATTACGCCTCTTAAAAACTTAAACAACAGAATAATATATAATAATACAAGTGTTTCCTAGATATGAAGATATAGAACAAATAAATGACGAAGTGACAAAGATTGCTATTGCTTAGATTAAGCAGAAATCAAAGTTAAGGAAACTATAAATCCGTAAAATTAAACAATAGTAATCGGTGAATAATCAACTCTTCAAGCAAATTCTTTTACAACGAGCAACCGTTTGTTCACAACTGTTAATAACTGATTTATTCATGTTCAGCCTCATTTTAGTAAGTCTAACATATCATCCGAAGACACTCGCTCCTGAGAAGCATTGGTGAAAACAGTTGATGCCCCGAGTATGTCTCTATCTACAATTCAGTTCCAAAAACCAAATGTCTTTTCTAAGAGAAAGAAATAATTCATGCATACAGACTGAACAAAAAATATCACTTCGCATAAATTATCTACAATGAAGACATACCTGTTGCTGGTACAGACATAGAAGGAGTCATTTGGTTCATCGGTAAAGAATGCTTCTGCGGTTTCTTTTTCATACCCAGATCATCCAAATTAATATTAACTTTGCTTGATGCATCTGCCCATGTCGATGCAATTTTCTAAATTTTGTTTCATAGCATTTCCAGAAGACAATATACAAATCAAATAATTTCACAGTTAGTATTGTCAAACACTCAAAACGAGAAAAATAATGAATGCCAGCTTCATAAATGTGAACATTTTTATAAACATGAGACGTACCACAGCTGATTTTGAATCCTGATCGACTTGTAGAGAAGGCACATTTACGTGTGACGGAATAACGGAAACGGAATGCGTAGGCACAGGCACCTGCAAATACAATATTTGGAGTCAATGGTGGAAAAAAAAGTGGTAAACCGAGTGTGGGAAAGAATAACTTATTCCAATAATGTTCTCATATTATGAAGAATCGCATTTTTTCCAAACTGTATATAAAGTATTAAAAAGTGGAAATATCCTACATAATCATGAATAAAAGAAAAAAAAAAAGATTAAGGTTGTCACACCTTCTTATCTCTGTTTGGAAACAAAGGCAAAAAGTTGTATTCGGCCGATAACTGCTGATTGAATCTACTGCCAAAAACTATTCGAATTTCAGGAAAGTCAAAGAATATGCCAAACATATGTTCGTGCATTTACAAGTTTTGCGATAACCATCATTATTTTTTAACAAATTACAATTTGAAAATCCGACCAATTCTTTATTAACTATCTAGTTGGAAGCTGAATAGTCAAAAAAAAAAAAAAAAAAAAAAAAAAAAAAAGAACAATAGTAATAATCTAACGTACTAGTGGAGTAGCTTCAGCCAAAAGAACAGTGTTCTGAAGAGATGACTGCACAGTACTATTAGCCAAAGAGACATGAGCTGCAGAGACGTCACCCCAACATGGGGAAAAGGCAGCACTGCTACTTAACAGGGATGGAAACGTTGCCTGTACAGGAGCTGCAACTGACGGCACAGTAAAAGAATCGGCTAATCCAACAGATCGTGCAGCAGAAGATACACCTTGTTGATTTGCATTTGAAAATGCAGCATCTGATACTGATCTAGAATGAAAAGATCAAATACTTAAAAAAGCACACGATATTTGAATGCAGTTTCTTCGAGAAATTTAGTGAAATAACTCATTGAAACTAAAAAACTTCAAACATAGTTTTATAATAAAGTACAACTTCAATTTTTATTGTCAAAAATATGTAATAAATGATAAGTCCGGCGAATGATTCGTATTTTAATAATGAGCGCGAGATACTGTAGAAAAAGACATGTTGGAATAGAAATAAACAAGATTAGCAACGCACTCGGAAGATAAACTGTCAAATCTCAATTGTGAAGTGAGTTGTTGAGTACTGGTCAACTGGTTCATAGCTTTCATTAATGAGGAAAGCTGTAAAGTGGTTGTTTTTGAAGAATCTTTGAAAAATGAAGTTGAGGAATTGCTAGAATTGCCATTATCATTGAATTCATCTAATCCAAGCAGATCTAAAAGAAGTTCAAAATAAAATTGAGCAAATTCCGGTACCTGGAAAAATACTGTTTAAGTGTTGTTTACTTCTTTTACCTACCCCATCATAGACTTCTTTAATATTCAGGCCACTTAATGAACAAATACTTTTCACACTTCAGAGGCACTTCTACTTTAAATGTTAGCTTCAGCCACTGGAAGCACATGGAACAATTAAATAGAAACAGTACAGCAAACAAATCACTTCTGATTCACAGATAGTAAGTCGTAAACAAATAAAAACACAACTGATTTTAAGATAGCGAAAGCGAAAACTAAATAACAGTAGATTAAAATGAGTGTTTATCGAAATCTTATATTTCTCGACAATTTCCTTAATTTTTTTCTTTTAGATCAATTTTAACAGCTTACTGATAATTCCCTCTTACGTTCCGCCCAGCTAATGTTCCTTCCAGTTCACTCTACCTAGATCAAGCAATGAAGACCTAACAGTTTCGTCTGTTATTCATCCATAATCTGCTCACCTTTTACCAGTAATAAATTTATCACTTATATAAAAAATTTCGATTGTACAAAATTACTGTGAAAAAAATCATCCAGAATATTTTTATGAATATCTGCCAAACTGAGGAATAATGAAGCGAAAAGTGACAGACGGTTTCATCTGCATATGAAAAGTACCTACTGTGCGGAATAGACTAATCGGGCTTACGAAAATTTACCTAGATAAAACAGGCTAAAAAGGAAGAGAAAGATAATCGTTAACTAGAAATATATTTGCCATGAAATAGTTTCCATTCAAAAAATTCAAAAATAAATATATCGTAGCCAACTTATTCAGTGGTTTGGTCAATGAATATTGTTCCAGCATTAACAATATATGAATATAGGAATCGAAGAGTTCATAGATCATACGCACTTCAAAAGGGGCGGAGATTTGAAGGTAATAGTTAGCAACAAAATTTATAGGGTTCAAACGACACGTTCAATTTTGGTTTTATTCTTGCAGTTGCCGAAAAATCAAGACTATGAGAGGAAAACGTAATAAAAGAAGTATAACAGTAGAGATTACAACCTTTGCATCATATAGACGTTTTTTTGGAAATCAGCCGACAAATACTAAACTAAGCAATCTATAACACTGACTTTACTAATATATGAAATATGTTACGAACCGCTAACTGGTTTATTCTGCAGAAGAATGCCATTATCGCGATGCTTTACTCGCGTAGCTATTGCACTCGGACCAAAAGAAGGAAGGGAAGGAGGAGGAGGAGGAAGTGCTGCTGCAGGAATTGGAACATCCACAGTATGTAGCTGATAAGGCTTATGAATAGGATACGGTTGTGCTGTTATTAATGACGGTAAGGAAACTTTCTGAGATTGCGAATGAAGATTACGAGCTAAGGCAAAATCACCAAATTCTTCATCATCTTCAATCTCGTGGTCAATCGGATCCAGTGTATGCTATAAGCAAAATTACTGGTACGTGATATAAAATAAAAGAAAAACTAGCAATTGTATGGTAAACTGAAAAAAACGGCAGTAATTAAACTTGTACAAACAAAAATAGCTAACTTACCTCCCGTATACCTAGTTCTGGACTATCACCTTCACCGTGGATAATTTCTTCGTCTGGAAACTGGAACGAGTTAACTTCGCGATGATAAGAATCTCTAAAACCAGCGAGAATCTTATTGGTTGAATGAAACATAATATAATATTCACAAAGTAAGGCATCAACAAAAAAACAACCTTCCATCTTCATGACATGAATTTCTCTTTGAAATATCACTGCTATTTCTCCAGTTACCAAAATTTTCTGTATTATTACTGCCTAAAAGAGAAGAAGATAACAGCGTATCTGACCTAACACAATGAATAAAACACTGATAAAGTACTGCTCACCTCTCGCTCTTCAAAACTCAGCCAAAAAGTCTGTCGGATTAAAATATTTGATGTTATATTCTACAAGAAAGTGTTGAAGCAACTGTTGAATTGAGTTTTGGATATGCTGTACTTACATCAAAAAATTAAAATATCACAAAATCAACTATTGCATTATCCCACAACGGTAGTTGAAACTTCCTATAATCCCACAAAACCGATACTTTCTACCTGTATACTAATACTCATGTAAAGGCCAATACTATTCTACGTGATGACAAAATTAAAATGAAACGCACAGTCATTTCTTTTTAAAGCTCGTAAAAATAATCATATTTTGATTGCCATATTAGAAACTGAAAAAGATTTTGTTAACTAACTGAAAGTAATTTGTCCACACAAACGCATATCGTCTTTCGAGTAGCCTTTGTATTTCTCCTTGCCTTCCAATTTTGCTTTTTTCCGCTCTGTTTTTAATTGTTCATCATCTTGAATTAAATCGAATAAAACGCTAACACGATGTCGTACTGTAAAAAAAAAAAAAAAAAAAAAAAAACTGATTTGTAAAAACTGGAGTCTAGATTTATCTTAATATTAAAAAGTTCAGGAGATAAACCAGTGTTCTTTCACAATCGAATCATATAACAGTTAAGTTTGTTAAAACATCATATTCATATATGCTATAGAGAAAAATAAAACGTGAAGTTATGGTTTCTTTAAAATCAAAAATACATTACAAAAATTAAACAAATCAGACCGTTAAGTCCCTGATCTTTTCCCTTTTCATCAATAAATTTATAAGACTCCAGCGTACGCATCTCAAATAAGTGATCGCGCGTATTGCTTACCACCCGCTCACTACCGTTTTTTAACAGATAGTGCAACAGTGTTAAAGACTAAAAGATCACATATAATATAATAGAAATTTATAGAAAAAAGTAAAAAAGAATCATAAGCCATCTTAAAATGCAATACTAGATTAAAAGTAATAAAGAGTTTGATCAAAACATGAACAGAGCCACGTAATGTTCCCTATAATACTGAATACAAGGTCTCGAACCCGTTAGGTTCTGGATCGATTTCTACGTAGATATTATATATCACAAAGTGTTCTTGCCTTGTATACTCGTCTCCAAGCATTCTTATTATCTTGTAGCATACGTTTCCAAAGCATGCTCATCACTTCGGGAAACGCATCATATTGATATGTCATATGCGCGATTTCAGCCATTTGAGGCCCTGTTGGTCCCCATGGGTCTTCGTTTGTTGCTTCTCGGACCTTGCTTTCTGCTTCCGTATAGTTCATTACTATCCCCTGCCTGATAAAATTAAAGAACGAGTAACTCACCAACATAGTTCTAGAATAAAATCCCAGTAATACTTCTATTCTCTTTATAAACTTAAAAGAGTTTCACCCAAACAGTTTGGCAATATCCCATAAAAAAAATCCACATTACAAAAAGATAGGTTTCACGTTAAGAACAAACAACATTAATAGTTATTACTTATAAACAGCTTTCAATCTTGCAAAAAAAAAAAAAAGAAAAAAAAAAAAACTAACAGTAATATTCCGAACATGGGTTACCTAGATGAAAAGATCAAAGATAACTGAAATGGATTAATGTTTAAAACTAATGAAATGATTGAATGAACTGGATTCACAGATTTAGCAAATAACTTCTTAAAATCAATAGGGTTGCTTACACTTTGTCACCAAGTTTTCTGATTTCATATGTGTTGAACGAATCGGCTACTGTTCTTGTAAAACTCGCAATACCACTCAACAGATCCGACATGGCCTCACTGTTCCGGGTTTTATCTGTTGAAACGAACAGAATGATAAAGTGAATGGAAAAGAAAAATCTACGCGAATCGACTAGTCCACAATACAAATAGTTTTCATCGTCCACGCTTGCCCATTCCATCCCACTATCCCATATATATATATATATATATATATACAGAGGGAAAGGAAAGAAGGGAGAGAGAGAGAGATGGGCAACGTACAAACACATCCTCAAACAAACATAAACACCAAAGAGACAGGAGGACGAAATTGATGTTCACAACGGTATGAGAAACTCTGACAGGGCTACAGTGCAATAATGTTATTCAATGAGACACTGTGTGTGACTTATGTCTCTTACGTTTGCAATTCTTTTACTTTTGGCTTTTTTCCGTTACTTTCCGTGGTCTAGGTCTTCTCGGTCTTGATATTATCGAGCTGATGAAGATTATTAAACTGCAATAGTAAATTCCATCATTAGTTGCGCGACTAAATTCATCTCACAACGAAGTTTCCCATCTTGACCCAACTATCATCACATTTAGAATGTTATCCTCACTTTTGTAACTTAACTTGCTTTCTTGCTAGCCTTTTCTTGTTATTCCATTGTTTACTTGCTTCTCTGTCTTTTTGAAAGAAATTATCTGACTACTTTCGAGGGAAATTGGTACTTAAATATCTTGAATGACTGCCTAAGTATTCTACAGATTGTTGCACGCGTTAGATTTAGTAACTGATTGTTTTGTTTCACAAAAATAATCTTTATATTCGTTCAAAAGTGTAGTTTTTTGCAAAGGTTGATTCGACAGTCAACAAAAACAGTTAGAAGATAGTAAGGAAGATGAAGAATGAAAAAGTACATTGTTAAATACTAAAAATATATCCGCTGCCAAACATAAAGAAAGTTGAGAGAACATAAAGAAAGTTTTGAACAAAGAGACGCCTAAATATTAATTGACCTCTCTCGTAAAGATTTTTACCGAAATAAATCTATTTGAAAATCCTAAGGCCTCGATTTGCAGTGGGAGTCATTCACAAACAAAGTACTTGATCATTTAATTATGGAAACGCAATATTCGCTCGGACAGGCACAAGCTTTCTAATCACAATAATAGTTAAAGTGGTACACCGCAGTATTTCACTTTAACACATAAATTGTCAATTGCTTTTAATGGCAGTTGAAAAGTTGTCTTGTGAAGTTTGCATAAGAAAGACTGACCGGGAAGCCCCGTGGGAGCGGGGCTTCTTTCTGATCAGTTGGAATGAAGAAAGACAATGGCCTAGACCTCAAAACGAAGACTCACTTTACTAAGTGCATCCTCAATCCCCCGCTTTCCTCTCCTTTTCTATTTCATCTCTTACTTCTTCCCTTCAACTAACATCTGCCACTTTTATTATTTATGGATATATCCTCCTCTATTCTTTTGCCTGTTTACTTCCGACATCAACCCGATCATTACAGACATCGTTAGTAGTATATGTTTATCACGTCTTTTGTCATTCTTTTACTGGTCACAACCATTCCTTGTTTTTATATGTCCCGATCTGTTTCTTCTACGACCGGTCCTATCTCCATATTTATTGGAGGTCCTGTATAAATTATGACCTAAAATGGGACTAATCAATTTGAGGCATAAGGAAAACCAAAGGTTGAAAATCTTTTGTTTAATCTTTACAATTGTCTGCTTTTTGGTCTTCCTTGTAAATTTCCAAAATAAGTGCCAGACATCATGATTTGTTGCATTTTTTTGTTCACTTTACTCGCAATTTAATTTTGCCTTGACAAAACCAAGCTCCTAAGTAAAGCAGTTTCCTTGCTTTATTTTGAAAGTAAATCAAGTTTTGGTGCTAGGAAATTAATACAGTTTCATCGAAATTCCTTCGCCATTATTTGCTTATATATAATTCCAGAAGAAAATCAGTACTTTCGATTAATGTGAATGGGATTAAATTCTTTTACCTAGGAAATTCTTAAACCGTACATCTACTAGAATTTCATCCTAAATTTGATGTTTCATTCTTACTTTCGATTAATGTGAATGGGATTAAATTCTTGAAATTAGAGATTGTGTTGATAAGGATGTTTGATTTTCTGGAGAGTTTAATAAGTCTAGAAATTTTAGAAAATGATAAGTTTCAAAGTTTAGCACTGACTAGCAACAGTAACATCATTATTCTTTTAACAGTAGTTAAAAGAATAATGATGATTAATAAAGTGATATGTTTGTCAGGACTTAAGAGTAATAGACGGTTTTTAGTAGTGAAGTATCAGGAATGATATATTTCTTTGAAAAATAATATTAGCTATTTTCTTTTCTTCAAACTATTAAATTAGATCGGTTGAATATGGAAATTTAATTATCAGGAAGTATTAAAGCGAAATGATGCCTACTTCATTAAAGCAAATTTATTCAAATTATGCCTACTTCATTATGCTTACGTCTCGTAGTTTTCTTATATATATATATATACCGATTATCATTTCTGAATATCTCTAAGCTAGAAACTGTTGCATCAAAAAAAGAGCTTTTAAATTATAACTGAAAAATTTACCAAAGAACATGCAGTTTGTTTTCGGCCGTCAACCACATAATATTGTTCTGTTTCTTCACAACATGTCACTTCAAATAACATTGAAAGATTATTCATGCGTTTTAATATGAAACGTTTGTTGAGATGTTCGGAAAATGCCACTTTTGAACTCCAATAATGATATTTTACATCGTTTTTGTTTTTGCCGTTCTTTGACCGCATTCTGATAATATTATAGTAAGACTCTTATTATGGAAAAAAATTATTTTACGACATTATCATCATCTCAGTAATTTGTTAAGTTTGTTAATTTATCAGCTGGTAAAAGAACATGATGAGTACTATTAGAGTAAGAAAAGAAAGATGTTGTTTGATTGTGAAACTTACTGGATGATGTATTGGAAAAGTTCCCACTTCCCGCCCATACGTTCCTACACTGGTCTGTTAGACACCATGTATTGATCATTCTTCCAGTGTTCTCAAAGCTTGTTTTTCTCAACATTTTGCTCTCATTTTTTAATTTTCGTTATCGGAAAATTATTTTAATGAGTTATGCTAAGAATTAACACTTCACTGTTTTAGAAATCAGCCACAAATGGAGTAAAAGCTCAAAAAACTTTTCAAAAAAGAGAATTATTTCTACTGCGTTTTTTTATATTTCCCATGATCTTTTACATATGTTAGGAATCATTCCTGTAGTAAATAATAGGAAAACTCTCGCTAGTCCGAGGATTACCATTTTCATTTGGACAAATATAGTTTACGCATCCCTGTGATTTGACTGATTTGCATCTTCTCTCTTGGCTTTTCTTTGGTGCTTTTGCGCTGGCTACTTTACTACCTAATGCCATTATAAAGGATGGACAATACAGTCTCTTGGTGCACCATAGCGCATTGAAAGATGGAGATAAGAAAAAAAGAACTTAAAACATCGAGATTTATGCCTCTATATACTTCTTGTATTTCATTATTTTAATGTTTAAAATTGGGTAATAATGTAAAAAAGTCCATAAACATTAAGTGTCAGCCCACGATCTTTAGATGCTTTTTACAATTTAGTCATTAAATAATGTGATCATCCAAATTCCAGGAGAACCAAGGGTTGGGTAGTAATGCAGTTAAAGCCTGAAACAAGATGCTTTAATGATTTTTGGTATCTTTTTCGGAGGTTCAGAATTGTTGATAGCAATTTTTATGAAGATGTTGAAATAATTGAGCAGTCAGTTTGTGTTGAAAGGATTGCTAAAGTGTTTGAAAGGGTCTGTATATTATTTAGCAGCTGTCATTTGCGAAATGAGTATGTAGCGTTCTTCAATGGATTAAGAAAAGCGTTAGTAGGAGAAGGTAGGGGCGGCATGGATAAGCTTAAGCTTGAATTCTTCACGAGGCGCACATCATTACTTTGCTTTCTGAACTATGTTTGCAACTTTTGCGCTCATCATATTACTCAGAAGTGGTCAAATCAAACTTGTCATATCCTACATTAACTACCAGTCGTTTCCATCATTTCTTATTGTCAGTTTTATTTCACCAAACACTTTTTCATCAGAGAGACCATATAAATTTTAAGAAAATACTACAACCAAAGACATTAACTTTAGAACTAAAAGCCTTTTTGAATGATTAAAGATTATAAATCTGTAATCATTCAACAATTCTTTACTATTTTTAACGGTTATCTTATTGTTGAAGAGTACTTCCAGAAATTAAATTTTGAATTACTTTTTATTGGATATATTGGAAATAATACATATTACTGTTATTTAGGGTTACCGTTATCATCTCAGAGTTGTCACTAGTTCATTTCAATAATTTTTCTTACTGTTCGAGAGTCCTAGAATATGGATTATCTCCACTTCCAGTAGTGCTTTACTACTTTCATTTCTACATTCCACCAGTCATGTGGGCCCAGTTTTGCACTTTGGTGCATTTAAAGAATTAAATTTTGTTATTTGTGTTCTATCAATCAAAAACGAAGTCTGCATGCATCATTACTAAGTACTTTCATTCACGCTTTCCGAGCAGAGTGATTATTATAATGTTTATAAGTTATGGTTTGGTGATATATTGAATAATCAGTAGCAGTTTAATCGACCGAGGCATTAAAACTAATGGCTGAATTCCGACACTGTTGAGTCCTTTCAAAACGTTAATCCTTGGTTGTGTTAAGCGACAAAAATATAAGAAGTTGTGGTATTCTGGCATGTAAGTCATAGTCATGCTAAACTAATCCTTCTCATAATATGTACTGATATGTGATCGTTACTGTGATAGGATGATCTTGACGAGGCTCTTTACTTCAGTGAAACAAAGCTCTTTTAAAATGACTGGCGTTGAAAAAGACCCTGCCACTAGCAGGATTTGAATATGTTATCATTTAGTTGGCAAAATAGTGATCTAGGAGCATCTACAGAGATTTCATTTTAGAAGCAACGGACAGAGTCGAATGATTGAATCCATAGTGTATGAAATAATTTCAAAGCCTAAGGGGTGAAAGTTGAAGGGTTGTGGGGCAAGGGATCGTTGTGCGGTGAAATGATGAAAGGCCCTCAACGATGCAAGGTAAGGGTTAATTTAAAACTAATTAAAAATTGGATACGATGTCGGTATTGCTTGTCGTCATTCTAACACTGCCTTTAACTTCGTTGCTTAACACGTTTTTCTCATTTTTCACTGCTTCTTTAGTGGCATTATTTTAATTATATATTTTAATTATACTAATTTGATTTTTTATTTTTCTTTTCTCTCTTCTAGTTATCTTAGTTCTGATCTTAAGGAAGTTTTCAAATCAAAGCAGTTTGTAACATTTACTCTAAAGTTACCCATGTCCTAAAAAAAATCTTATAGTTAGATTTATGGATCCTTTCTTCATCAAATTTCTGAGACTCAAAATGATAATTTAATTTCGCTATAAGGAATGATTATTTTTATTCCTTGAATAATATGTGTTTATAAACATTTTAAAACAATTTTCATTCTTGTTGTTGTAATTAAAGAACCGAAGGTTATGAATCTTGTCAAATATATATACTCAAATCTAAACTCCTGTTCTTTAATTTCGAAATTAGTACATTTCCGACTATGCCCACTACGTCAAACATTTCTTAATTTTTATGATGGAGATTGATACATGAAGAAAAACCACTTCTTGAATATGGAAACGTGTTTAATAAGAACCAGTAATATATAAGAAAAAATAGCGAAAGGGTGACGAGTGGTATTTCACATAATACACATAATGATTTGCAAATTGAAATAAGGCATTTATGAGCAAGAAATTTTTTGCCCGATTATTTCCATATTTCGTAACTATTATGAAAGATTAGAAGAGTGTTATCAATAGGTGTTACGCTTCATCAGTAGGAAGATAGACAATTTGGTTACAAATGTCTTTGTGGTTTTTAGAAACAGTTTGTAGGAAGGGAGTGGAATGAATTTGTCGGTGAATAAGCGATATTACTGCTTTGCTCGCTATTTAGTTTCTAATTTTGTTTCTTACTTTTCTAATCGAGATACATCTGGAAAATTGTACTTCAGATAACATTTTTTCAAGGGATCGATTAAATTGCATCATTTCATTTATCTAAAGTAACTTCTCTAACTTGAAGCAAACCATTATATTTTATGCTGAGTTCAATATTTTCTTTGAAACAAATTTTTTTCTCAGATTATTTTTATCCAAATGACAAGTGTATGTATGTAGTTACTTCCATCCTCGAAATATTTAGGGGATACATCTTGTTCAATTCCTCACATTAAATATAACAAAAACTGCATTACAACTTAATACAATTCTCAGTTTGCAGTTATCATGAAACTACAAAGTGTCTAACTAGGACATGATCATGTTTGTACTACGGTATTTTGAAAATTTCTTGCTGATCTAAAATTTCTTCAAATGTTAGCATCATTTTTCCTAAATATTGTGCAAAACATTTAAGTTGTTGAAGCAGTTTCAATGGGTTGTTCTAGCATATTGTTTAATAATACGTGGCATACTTGTAAAAAAGAACTACTTGCCCACGTTACCAAGTTAAATGGGTTGACGAAGCACTCGGTCACTTGCATGCTTGCTTTTCTCTAGAAATAAATCGAATTGCTGACGATGGTTTTTTCATTTTACGCTGATTGTTATCGAAAGATTTGCATGTTTATGCCCTTGTTTTTTGAAAATATGTTGTTACCATCTTTTCACATTGAAGACTGAATTTATTTGCAGAAAAGTTAGGTGCTATAAAGAGGTGGGTGGGGAGTTCCGAGGAAACTAGGCACATAATTAGTGGAATGTTTTTGGGATTAGGGACTGTTCAATGGATGATATATCATGAAAATCGAACATTTTGATGTTCTACTCAGCAAGCAATCCGAGAAGCCCTACACCGGTGGTGAGGCCGTTCAGGTTCGCTTTCACTGTCTTCGCCAGTAACATTTTCATCCCATTTCATATTTGGTTGTAAAAACCAAATCTCAGGAATCTTCCCTTCCCCGTCCCCAACCCCCCCCCCCCCTCCCCCCCCCTATATTTTAAATTTTAAAAAATCTGACGAAAGAATTCAGGATTTGTCAAAAGATGAATTTCAGGGGCATGTGAAAATAAGTGTGCTGGAAAAAGTCAAAGTGGGGCGATTGATTGTAAAATTGGTTGGGCAGGCACAGACTGGTTGGAAAAATAAGAATAGCGAAGTTCTGTATGAAAGTAACGAGCAAGTGCTTAATGAATACATCGATTTGACAGGGTTTGGTTCAGAATTTTATGCTGGAGATTTACTTTGACTGATCACACTGGAAAGATGATTATAAATGTTTATAAATTTTAACGTAATCTTAATGATTTAAGACCAGATTACTTAAATTATTACATGCCTGAGTGTCGCATTTATCATCAGTTCTTTTTGGAGAATCCATTTAATCGTTTATGTAGGAAGCTGTACATAGCTAACACTGTAGAAGCATTGCAACAATAAACAATCCTGACGATCTTGCTTAATAAAAAAAGAGAAAAACACAATGTGATGTAATATCATGTATATTGAAATAATTTGTAGAGTGCTTACTGATTTTTGCGACGAAAATTTTAATTTGGAAGAAGGCCTTCACCAAATATGCTTTCATATTCCAGTAAGCATGATTTTTTCCGTCTTCATACTGATATGTACATTTACATATATAGAATGATAATTAAATATATTATCTGGTAGTGATCCAGAAACGACTAAATCTAAAAATAGACTTAACAATTTATTGTTTAGAACGAGTTGGAAACAAGCCTAAAAATTCATTTAGTAATAACAAATTTTGCGAAATCAGAAATATTATAAGTCGGTTTGAAACATACCTACGTTACTTTCATACGCATTCTTAGCTGCCACTGGATGTAATATCATCAATTGAAAAAGAAAATTATGGTTGGGTTCGTTATACTTGTTCAGCAACTCTCGATGTGCTTGATGAAGATGCTAAGGAAATCTTTGCTGGTATTTTTTTTTTCGCTTTTTAATTTCGGTTTACTAAACTGATATATAAATTATATTGATAGTTAAGACAATAGTGGACTGATTTTGTTTGATTAAAAAGATGAATGAATACTTGAAAGCAAAATATCAAAATTTCATGTCACTCTTAAAAACCGAACTATTTTTTGTAAAAAACAGTATAGGGAATATATTTTTTATCCGTAAATCGTTTCAAGAGGGCATTTTAGAACATAATTTCACCGTGTTCTCTTTGCTCAATCTTGATGCACCATATATGCGACAACCGGTCACGAGTCAGGAAGAAAATGAAGTACGCGGATGTTGCTGTAATCGCAAAGTCGGCGTTGAATCTGCTCAGTTAACTATTTCCGACATGGGGCTTCTACCCGGTAGAACTGTATTTAAGGCTGTAATAATTTCATGTAAAATTGATCATAAATTGTCATTATCTTTTTATTATTCTTTTCGCTGGATTGATGAATCTAAAATTCATTTGAACCTTATTTAAATTGTTGTATGCTTGAATTTTGGATATTTATTTGGAAATTTTAAATGTGTGTTTTCACAAAGAGAACACTAAAATACTTCAAGTTAATAATTAATGAAGTTTAGGTGAAACAGCGAAAATTACATTGGTGATTGAGGATAGTGCTAAAAGGAAGCGAAGGAAATCACGAAAAGGTCGAAGTGATTGCGTATTGCTCTCATTGTGTCAACAGCTTGATTTTTTGTCGCAGAATCGTTATGAACTGCACTTGTTCGATAGAAAATCACTGACAATTGCTGTTGAATCCATAGTAATATCGTTTTATTCTTCGAAAGGATTACATTTATCAAATATTTCCAAAAAGATCTACAATTCAGAACAATATGAATTAACCCATAGAACATGGTTTACGGTCTGTATTTCAGGGGACATGTAAAGTAACATCAGGTACTGGTCCAGAAACAAGACACATTGATTTCCAGATACCCACTGGTTTGCAGCCAACTTCAATCAAAGCAAATGGCCTTATTACAATTAGTTATTTCTTCCGTCTAGATATGCGTAGTTTTGATGTTATTGTACCAGTAATTATTGGGTCTATGAAAACACCTGGCCCAGTTGACGAGTAGTGGAAATCTGGGAATCGCGGCAAGTCAGATTGTTCATATTATGCTATTAATGAAAATCATCTTTCTGCTTTATTGAATTGTTACCTTAATGATTAAATAGCTAAGCCATTCGAAGTGCCTATGCCTTTTGATCAACTGTTCACTAAGGTGGCTATTGCTTGATTATTAACAAAATTCACATGGAAATAACAAAACCTAGTGTTATCAATTCTTAATTAAAATTATGTGGCAATAATTTTGAAGGATAGTTGTTCATAAATGAAGAAAATGGACAAATGACTTGCAAATTCAGTAACAAAACATCTCTAACTATCATCATGCTGTGTTCCCATGAACTCTCTGCTGTTTCCATTAATTTTTTTCTGATTTCCAATTTTTCTCATTTCATTTGAGAAGCATGATTTCTCAGAGATGCTATATTATTTGTCAGGGTGATTAAATGGGGACAATGGTGGCTCGTTTTTCTACCAATTTATGAAAATATTTGCGTCTGTTGATGCTAGATTCTTTAAATTTGAATATATTATGCAGATTGTGATTCACTTAATAATACAAAGCATGTACAGTCTAGATTAGTTGCCGTGAATTATTTTTTTCATTGCTTAATACTTTGTAATAAACACTAAAACTAAAGATTATTGATGAACTAAACAAATACAAATACAAGGTGTCAAAGAAATCTCAGGAAATGGAATGAAAGTGTAGAATTTGAATTTGTGGAAGTTTGCTTAGATTGGAACGATCAAATAATGTCCGAACATAGTAACGAAGTTCATCACGTCAGTTCATGTGCATAAGCGGTACTAAAATTCATATTTCATATGCCTTGACACTCGTCGGCAAAAAGGAGTGAAAGATGAGTGCCCTGCATATTATTATTTTCAAATTAGATTAAAAAAGAATTCTATAAATGTTAAAATTCTGGATAGTCACTGTCCAGGATTTTTATCTAGAACTTTCCAGCAAGTACTAAGTGAGTTCTGGGACTTCTCAGTCGGAAGGCTTTTTGATCTCTTATTGATGATTCTTCGATACAAGACGGAAATGTTATCCCCACACTGTTTCAGAGGTATCCCTTCCAATGATTTTACTGTAATGGTCGTGCTATATTTTTGAAAATAATCAATCTTTAGAAATAGGAGTCATATACAACAGTAATTCTTAAAATGCACTGAAGTTCCATGACAAAAATTTCTTTGTAAAATACCTAAGTTTTTATCAGGATTGATAGCTAAATATTTGTCTAGAATAATCAGACAACAAGTGTTGCAGATCAGGTTCACCTCTCTGTACAATTTTCTCTTTTGGAATTCCAGCCCACTTTCTAGTTGTGAAACAAAGATAGAAATGAGTTATTTTTCTAAATGAATTTTGAAAATCTGTAAGGATTTAAAAGCGATTGCAATAAATGGCGGTGTTATCAACAAGTATAATGCATGTCGGTAAACAAATTTTGTTTTATTTTGTTATGCTTGCGACAAATGCATTTCTTCGAGATTCATGAAGAAATTTAATTATTTTGACACCTACATGGACAGGTGCAGGCATAAAAATATCAATACATAAAGTAAAAATTTTAGCTTATAGAAATGAAATGAGGATTACAGGATGCATAAACAATTTCTAGTACTTCGATATGCTACTCAGAAATTGTTTATGTACAAAATTGTGGTCTGGTGAGGATTGAAAAAAGTTATGATAAATTTTCTCCTTTATAATCGTGTTTAATTAATCTCAGTTAGTACTATTCAATTCGATTATTTCCTTTTCTAATATAGGAAAAAGACAGGATTGGAACAGAAAAGCGTCCTCACTTGAGTTAAGGAAATTTTTTTCCTTTCAAACCGCTAAATGCATGTTTCATGTTACGAGAATCTGTTACATTTTTGTATTTAATGTTGCATTTTTTAGGCATTTCCATGTAGACATTAAAATGAAATTTCAGAAGAGTGAACCTGCTCTAATTATTCTCCTATAGCTTCCATTCACCACTTGTTTACATGTTCGTAAATTGCTTTTTTCATAAACACCACTCAACAGCTGATATAATGTTTTCACCAGTGTCGAAAGTACTGAACTATGATTTCTTGAGTTAATGTTAGTGTTAATATTTACTGAGGAATTTCTTACCATATACGGTATAAATATGAATATGTGGAACTTTCTTATAGCTTCGTTTGTATTTGTTGGTTAACTTACTGTTTTATTATTATGAATTGACGTAACAGAAGTTTTCATCCCCTTTTCGTTACCTGCTTTATATTCCTGCCTTTGGTGTTTCTGCTTTACTTTTCTTTTTAGTTTCGTAGCCAATATTCCTTTTTTCCTTTGTATTGAATTCCTCTTTTAAGAAGTCACTTCGCAAGTTTGGCATAAAGTGCATGCTTCCCTTTTTATCACATAGAGGCAAAGAAGCACTCAATAAGGGTAACTATCGTTTTGAAGCAAAATCAATGCAGATTACATAATTGCAAAATGGTCACAATGGATTGGTACAAAAAGTATTGCGATTTTAGATAAATTTTATACCACTATACTTTTATTAATGAAAGTAAAACCAACAATTCTTGGAAAAAAAACGTAAACCCTTTTACTGCCACTAAAAAGAAATCATCATTTTGGGCTTAAATGAACCCTTGGAAAGCACTTTCCTCTGAAAAGTTGTCAAGACACTAGACGACAGTTTACTGGTCAAAAGTATGGTAAATACAGTAGATCTGTTAATATGTGCCTGATGGTTTTGGCAAACAAGATTGATAATTGAAGTGATTTATTTGCTGTCCAGTACGTGGTGATTATTAAACACCAATTGTATCCATCGTATAGCTTTCCCTTTTTGCTGTTTTTCTTTTATATTCCGTACATACAATTTATTTCCATCTAATGTGCAGGTGAAACATTGAGAATAATGAATGTGATTTTAGTTAGTGTAGAATTAAGCATTAAAGCATTACTGACTTGGTTTCAATTAACAGGACACGAATTTTTTGTAATATCACCAAATAGAGACACTTGTGACAAGTCAATGTTTTTTCGTTTCCGCGGTTTCTTTTCCATATTTAAAACACGAACACAACCCAAAAATCCATCTAAAAATGATATTATGACGCATGAGATGTTTACTCTAAATTCTGCGTAAAACTAACCTGTTGTTTCCAAACTTCTTGTTTTAATGCCTTTGGGAACACCACCTAGATACAGAGGATCCTTTGTATTCGTGTCCGTCTTTCTACCTTTCTTCATTATGTTTAAACTGCTTCTGCCATCGACAGTCAAAGTCATCAGATTCTTCGTTTTGTAAAGCTAAATATAAATAAGTAAACCAACTGAGGCACATTTTGTGTCATGGTAAACGGTATGGTGTGCTTTGAGGTATTATTACGAATAGGATCTGTTTATTAGTACTATTATCAATATAACAACTGGCTATTTATCTCTTCTCTCAGATGAAAGCATTCAGAAACGGTTTCACTTCTTGGTCAGAAATGTTACCAACCTTTATATGATGCCAGTGTCCGTCACAGAGAGCGTTGGTAGTGCTCGGTACGTGTACTACCGTTTCCTGACCTGCACCATTATCCACTGTGAATTTAACCGTGCCATTGGAGAATTGAAGTGTTAAATATTCCAGAACACCAACTGATAATAAAACAGCAGTTTTTGTCCGCGGTCGCACTTCTAACTCAATATTGAACGATGAACCAACCTGAAAAGTTGTATTGCGTTACCACTGATTTACATGTTTTGCTGGAAAAACTATATTATTATTGGCATCACTTCTTCGCCCAACTCTGGTTTTTGTGATGCTTATTTTAATTAAACTATAATCAAGGATATTATTTCAGTGCTATTTATCCACTCTATATGTAATATTTCAATACCAGATATTTTCGAATATCATCCTAATGCTGCACACTAAGTCAGTGCACATAAAACTACTTTTTCGAATATTTTCAGGGCTTTTTAACTCAATTAGTACAGAGAGTACAGTGGCAAGAATGGGAGAAAACAGTAATCTATTAAATACATGAACATTAAAACGTGGTTGTTTAGATGTAAAATGTATTGAAAACATTCAATTCATGGAATCAAAAGACAAATTGGATGCAAAGACAATCGTGATGCACTTGACATAAGGACGTAATAAGCGCAAGCATTAAAGTTGCCATTTTAGCATGACCATTTGACAGAGAATAATTTTTTACTTTTGCATCTCTGTCTATAAGTGAGTGGATCAATATAATATTAATTCCGTAACATCCAAGTGGCAGCATAATGGTTTAACCATGGCTCGATATGTTTCATAATTTTATTTCCTAATTGCTTCGTTAGCTTATCTACGCAATATTCGGCACACCTGAATAATTGCTTCTCCAATCTTCCCCGTCACTTAACATCATAATAGAGGTAGAATGAATCTAGCTTTGTTTAGTCAGTGTCCTATTATCAGCTGAGGATGACTTACAACGATGTTTGCATATAAAAGAAACTGGTCCTGTACATGGTAGCTTTGCATACGTCAAAAAAAAGCAGAAGTATTCCGCTTTTCAATCTCAACAATATACATCACTCCTTAAGCGTATTTCGCTTGCTTCGAGAATATTGGAAATAAATCAGCCGGTCTCCGAGGACCATGTAACAGCCTAAAATTATATCTAGGCATCAGCCTTTATTCTCAGTGGCGGTTAGATCAATGCTGAGCTAGGTGGTCAGAATTTGATAGTTCAATATTTTACACATTATCTACCAATCACAACAATACTTGTTCATGCTGCATACTCAACCGGCATATTATACACCAATAACTCATGTATTATTAGTCGCAGTGTAGTACTTCAAGTTTATTTCATGGCAGTGGAATGAATCTGCTTCAGCATCATAAAATAATGCTTAATTGTAATTTATATTACGATGGCTCATCTAGATCACATACCTTCAAGTTTTTGTTTAATACAGCGTAGCCACCATTTTCTCCAAAATATAGTCCTTCTTCAGTGTAGTGACTGCATGGCACTGTACCAATCTCTACTGGTGGCACATCAAACTTCATTTCGTTAAGCTTGAAATCTCTCAAACATCCACCAAAAACTGATTTAGCACCCTTCAATCATCACAATAATTTGTAATAATTGTCACTGACCAACAAGATCATTCCAACGAAACTAAAATGAAATTTTACTGCTCCCCACCACTGTTTAAGTCAATCAAGAAGTATACCTGTAGTATTCTGGATGCAAACGGCACAAGATCTGTTGGGAGTCCCCCAATATAGATTGGTGGTTGAGTATCAACTGTATCGGTTCCAGGAGGAGATTGTCCATTTGCTTCCATTACGTTGTCAATATATAATGTTCCCGCAAGTCCTTCACGTTCCGCTCTTATACTGTGCCATTCATAGTCCATTACACTTCTATTTGATTTTAGAACAGCCTCAACACAATAAAGTTGGAACAAGACTTATTGCTCAGTAAAAAGTAAATTAAAATTTAAAGAACAGATAATGAAATGAGAATATTCATTACTTGTCCTGATCCAGAATTGTAAGCAAAATGAACAATGCCATTCACGAGATATAAGGCTAAGTAATCAGTATGTCTGTTATTCGTCGTGAACATAATTATTCCATTTGATGCTGTGGCTCGCAACTGTATCGAGAAGAGACTGCTGTGAATTTATACTGGTTTTTAAAAACATTAAAGTTAGAGACAGTACGTTTGAAAAATCATTATATCCACAGACAGAAATCTTTAACAGTCAGTTCTGAATCAGCTCACAGTTTTACGTCACTTATCTTAAATAATTATTTTCAAACAATTGATATTTGGACTGTGTTAGAGCGTATTTAACTTACTTTTTATCAAACGAAGAAGGTGGCTTATCAAATTCAAGACGTGATGAAGGAGATAAACCAAATCGAGTACCGCTGGAATTAGGTCTATTGCCATACGATCTTTTCAAAAGTGCACATTCGTCTGATTTGCGAACAATTCCTCTCAGTGTTGTAAGGGAAGGTGTGTCCGATGATATTCTCTAAAAATGAATCAATATTTAGAGAGCTAACCAAAAATGCCCATTAGTTTACCTGAATGATGAATCCTTTGTTCAACATTATGAACTTATGTTTAAAGAATACATTTCAACTAACATTTTCTGCAGTGAATTCATTATCAGTTTCTGTCACAACTGGTTGCATGCTGTTTGTCGCAGGTATGGAGACATTCATAGGTTGATTTCTTGTTGCTTGTCCAGAAGACATATCTGTTGTTGAAATGTCTTCCAGAAAAGAACAGTCTGTTAGACCCACTTCGTTAGTTGATGCCTGCAATAATGTCATTATAAAAAAAAAATGTGTAATAGAATCTTAAGTCCCTTCTGGAAGATGGAATTAAATGGTACCGTTTTTTTCATTATTTTTTTATAAATTGACAATTGTGTATTTCGTATCCACAAAAAACTTACCTCAGCAAAATCGAGCAATTGACCATTGTATGTTGCATCACCGATGCATCCTTCGAAATATAGGTTAGAATCGAGTGACTGACCAAACTGCACAATGATCGGTACACCAACCACCTGTAAGAAATAAAACAAGTATGATTCAAAGCATGCCACTGCTCTACCAATAATAACGAGCAGTAATACAATTCGATATGTTAAGAAGGCATTAGATAGAACCACCTCATTATCTGCAACACTCCTACGAATTTCATTTGAATAAAGATCATCCAAATCTAGTCGTATAGTTTCTGGTTTCACTATAGATGCGAGGTAGTGCCAATGACCATCAGCGATTGATCTGAATTCGATTTGAGCAACATCTTTGTTATCAGATCCGTACTCAGCCAAAATAAATCCATTTAGGTAACGCAGTTGCAACAAGACTTCCTGAACATTATAATTTTAGCTTCCACCCAAATAGTGTGAAATGATCATCTTGTTCCCCATCATTTGCATTCTTGACTCAGAATTTAAGCTTCAACTTCTCAACAGTCCTAAAGTTATTCATACTGACTGCTAAATCACTTAGCAAACAGAAATCACCTCAAATGAAATATCTGCTATTAAAACACGCATTTGATGCGTTACATCGGATTTAGTTCTTGTTGCTTTCAGAAATTTTTGAAAAACCAACTTGTTCATCGGAAATAACTGATGCAAGAATACCAGATGATCGTTTTGTTTTAAATCGAAATGTTAATTCGAGATAATCTTCTTTAACATTAAAACCACTGAAAGTAGCGATTGAACGTTCGGATACCATTGACACAACGCGTACATTTCGAGCACTGCATCCCAACTGCACGCCTCTAGCAGTTCTCGATTTACTCAAATCCATTAAACGATTGTCCAACTTCACCTGTTCTATACATCCGTTCATTGATACAACTGCTGTGCGTCTGTAAGGATAGCTGTATGCAGGTGTTAACTGCTTATGATAAACCCAGTTACATCTTGTTCACCATGCTAACACAAAATCATAAAGCTGGAACTTAGTAGATATCGTTCACCTATACAGCAGATTGTTACAGAGAAGTAATGACAACGCAAATAGAGTTCAAGTGTGGGAAGATCTTACGATGTTGTCGTTACAATAGCGAGAAAAGGTAAACGCTGCCGACTAAGATACATCCGTCGAAGGGTTACAGATGAGACAATCAGACTTACAGACGGTAACTTCTGGGTGGAAAAGGTTATCTAGAACTGAAATGAAATCCTAGGATGTTTTAGCTCTTTCAATAAGGTCGGAAATAATATGGTCAAGAATAAAACTCGAGCAACTAAAATGACTCTGAGAGCATTCTTTGAAACAACAGATCATCGTTCACACTGCATTTCCATTTTCAGAATGATGGCTGCAAAAAAAAAATGAACTAACGTCGAAACATCGGATGGTACACCGCCTAAATAAAAAACATCAGATAGGCTAAGTTCGAACATTGTGCCAGGTGAGTCGCCTTCCGAAACATCACTATCATCTACTTGCATACGAGCATGACGTTCTAACCGGTGAACATACAAACAATGAGGTTTGCCGTCGTTATAATTATTACCAGTACTTGTCAATCTTGCAACTCCCGAACCAAAATCAAATGAGAGCTTCACTCTACCATCTTGTAGCTCAAGAGACAGAAAACCACGCTAAAAAAAAAAAAAAAAAAAATCAAAATATGGATGAACAAAAGTATGTGGAATTTTCAGCAAAAGAAATGAAACATTATTATTTGAGAATGATGACAGAAGCGACTGCATAATGCGTACTTCCTTTCCAAGGTATATAAATAGTCCATCAGGTGAATATGTCTGAAAAGTCAAGGAGAAAATTGTTTGCTTTCGTGGATTCCAAATACCCAGCTTATAAACAGCGTATCCATCTCCATTAAAGCTTAGTGCTGCAAAACATTCCATAACTTGTGTGTTTTTTTAGGCCAGATCGTATACAGAAGAAACCTACCCTGAATATTTGCAATGTTCTGGAAAGATTAATATTGGAAAGGTCTTCAAGAAAGATCAATAATCAGCAAATGTCATCTTTCTAAAAACTCTCTGGTCAATCAAGTTTTAAATGAAAGAAGCAAGTGCTCAAAATTTATACTGAAGATTTATGTTTGATTCTGCATATTTTATGACAGCAAGAATGAAGCGAATAATGACGAACCAATTTCATTGGTCAACGAAGTGGCAAAAATTTTTTTCATTGCACCTTTCACATTGTAATTACCTCCTTTTTTGGCATTCCACAGACCAACTGTTTCACCGTGAATGCGTAAATCTTCGATATCACCAGTGAATTCACGATTATGTATTTCCGGCGAAATCTATAAATCTTTCCCGATTAACAGAAAAAATAAAACTATCTCATATGATTCGGCATTCGATTATAATATTAACAGATCCCTTACATTGACACCGGGAACAACACCGCCGATAAATAAGCGACTTTTCTTTTGATGGAGATTGAGGACCGATTTGAAGCCACCTATAGTTCTTGCTTTTTCCTCCTCGTAATTTACTGAACTTGGTGACGATAATCGAAGTTTAATTGTTTTTCCAACACGTTCTACAGCCACCTTTCGCCAATTGCCATCAGTGACAAAGCTAGAAAATGGATAAGATATTGAAGCTATAGCTAATTAAATATTTAAGTATTCAGATTTCATTATACCCACATCAGATTGGATTGATATTTGATTTTCAGTGTTATTATGATCTTCCCTTAGTTATTCATAAATGAAAAAGGAAAAAAGAAGAAACACATCAGCTTATTTCCAAATTTCTTTTATTAATGTTGTTTATGAGTTGTCCTTTAGAAAGTGAGAAAACTTACGAGTCCGAGATCAGTTGTGTGGGCGTCTCACCAAGATTAACAACTATCCGCAAATGGCCTCTCACTACTTCAACAGCAATGTAATCATCGGTTGGTACAGCACGCGTTCCAGCAACGCCAAGTTCATTACCAAAGAATAATATTAGACCTAAAAAAAAGTATATACTTTATTTTTAATCTTCCTTTACCACTATTTCTGAAACTACTTGTCTACAATGAACTGTCAAAATAAAAGCCAGTGATACCACTAGTGTTCGTAGTTCTGAAGAAAAAGTCTATGTCAGTGTATGCAGCAAAACGCGTTATTCGTGGAGGTAATGGTAACTCCAAAATGCTTCCTTTTTCGAAATGTGCACCCAAGTTGATCTGTAATTTAATAATTTTAACTTATCTATTGCTTCAGGGAAATATATCATTGACATTTCATAAAGTTAATTCAACATGTTAGAATAAACAAACCCTGTTGGCTAAATCTCGCGAAAGAGCGATCTTTTCTTTTAACAAATTTAGCTTTTCACGACAATGTTCTATTGTTGCCGAAATATTTAAAGCTGCATGCTGCTGCATTTTTAGCTCTTCCATGATCGGTGAACTTTCATTTACCAGCTTAAATTAAGCTTAATTTATATGCTACGTCTAACTATCTCCATCATCTGGATCCAAACCAACGTAATGTGATAATAATGATTTACCTTCAAAATTTGCTCTCTAGCAGTATCCACATTATTAGCAGAAAGAGAAATTGACTCAACCAGCTTCTTGCTACGACTAACCATTTCTTCCAAATTAGGCTTGAAGCGATCAAATAAGAAAATGGTACTGTCAGTTCTTGTTCTTGCCTCTTCCGAAGCAGTTAGTGAATGCTCCAGTTTTGCATTCTGGAAAATCAATCGTTTGTTGATTCAACTATCCCGATAAAATGCATCTAATAAGAAAAAATAAACGTAATATTTCTGGATATTCATCCTTCTTATTGCTATTCTTTCCATTACTTTACACAAAAACATACCACTTCTAAATCATCGAACTTAGGATGAAGGCTATCTAAAATCCTTTTCTGGTTCTCAATGAAGAATTGTAATTCCAATGCTTTTCCGAGGAAAATATCTTTCAGGCCACCTACATTGTTTACACTTGACTGCTTTAGATCAACAGCAGAACGTAGCAAATCAGCCGACTGTTCACGGAATGTTCTTGCTGATGCTGCCTGCATATTAAATTTTGAAATTCTATAAAATCTCAGAAATAATGATAAAAAAAAAAAAAAAAAATAATGTAACTTCGATTTTTAACACAACACAAATATAAAATGTGCAAAAGATCTCGTCATAGATATCTAACAATTACCACTCCTTCTTCATGGAACCTTCTAGCTTGCTCTGCATTTAAAGATGTATGATTTGCAACATCTCGTGCTTTTTTCAAATGTTCTATCAATTCTTTGTATCCATTAGCGGCTGCTACTGCATTCTTTGCTTCGGTTCGCGTTCTACCAAACAAAGAAGACAAAAATAATGCTTCACTTTCTAGTTCTTTCGATTTGCCTCTGTATTCATTCTGCAACAGCGATGTAAATTACACTGATACCTTACACCTTATTGCTTGAAATAGCTTTTGAAAAAATAATTTATTTTAGAAAGTACTGCTTTCATAATCGCCTATATTTGATTAATAGAAAAGACTTGACTAAATCTATAAAATCTTGATAAATGATTCAATAACCTTATTAATGTTACGTATCCATCTATGACGATATCTGCCATTCGTAATATTTAGCTGACCAAAGACAACTTGAACTTCGCTTATTACTTCACGGAGCGTTTTGTTCAAATTACTTAATGATTCTATGGAGATTTCCGAAGTTTCTTTAAGACTGTTTATAAATGCATGAGTTTCTCTGATTCTTACTCCACCTGCTTTCACGCCAGCTTGCACCGAATTTATATGACGTATATTTGAATTGTTCACTTGCTGGAATACAGTAATATATGACAATGAAAACGAAAGGAGTACAGAAAGAAGAAATTTTCAAAGCATAGATTTAGAGAGAGACAAGCAAACTGTACCTCACCTGAAGAGTGTTTTCAACTGAATTGGCCGCTCGATAAAGAAAAGAATGGTAGTCCGTAATGTTATTCATGAGTCTGTCCATTTGATTTCTTACAGTAAAGTACTTCGTATACATCACATTGTCTTTATTCTTTAGCTGTCTTATACGACTCAGTAATTTTTGCGTCTCATCTTCTGCATCTTTCATTCGTTTCCTAGCATCTTCACTAAATTTTTTCAAAACGAAATATGTAATCATGCAATGCACTACGCCATTTGGCGATAATGAGAACAGATAACAAAACAGTAATAGAGTGCAACGACAAGATATGCCAATGCTGAGGGAAAAATAAGCTGGAAAATGGATAAATTACATGTAATTTAATGAACAGGATTACAAAGTATTTCGGAAAAACCAACTCGTTCGCGCTATCACGAATTTTTTGTAAAAGCGAATTTGAATTCATCAACCATTTCTGATTGTAAACAGCACCGGAATCTTTGCCAAGTGAGAAGACTAGATTTTTTAAGGAATCAACAACTGATGCAGCTGATTCAACACGATTAAATACACCTGAGAGAAACTGCAATGCAATGAAGACATATTACATCTCATATATTCACAAAAAAAGAGGAAGCAGTCACATTTTAAGTGTCTATAGATAATGAAATCATTTTTCGAAATACAAAAGTTCCACTAAGATCAAAAGTAAACAATTGTTGAATGTATTCTTAAGCAAAAAAAATAAAAACTGAGGTCAGCCTGTTAATGATAACTGAACATCTCGTAGTACTTTTCTTTGACGAACTTTTCTTGGGAGATCACTGCCAATTTAACTTTAAATATGTAATCTTTCTCAGTAGAGTTATTCGTTCTGCGTATAAGCCCTCTAGCATATCTATCTCGTTTGAATACATTTTTCTGAACTCATCAATAATCGACATATTCAAATAACGTCTTCTATCCAATTTCCAATCCAATAGTGTTATTAAATTTCTTTTCTCCAAAATTTTTTGTTGCAAATAGGAAGAAAGTTTCTAAGAGTTGTGTTGTTTCATTTAATACTTTTAATGGCTTACGATATTAGTTCTGTTGATGATACCATTCAAGGTACTACCCATAGTACTAAGTGTATCCAAGGATCGATTAGCACGAACAATTACACTGACAACGTTAGAAGTTGTATCCAATATACCGCTGCTGCTCAAACTTTTAATATCCACATCAGATGATGAGTTCATATGATTTACAACTATCGGCTATAAATGGTACATATGTTACAGGTGCTATTCTTTTCATCAATACTTTAACATTTTGGCTTTTTGGCTTGAACGCAATTTTCTCATCAATTTTAATTTATATTTATATGCTTAGGGAAACCAATTTCTGAAATCATGATAATAAAAGGATAGAGCACTTTACATACTTTCAAATCGTTAATTTTCTTATGAATGCGTTTAAGACGGGCACCCGTGAGAGCAGTTGTTGAAATATTGTTGACTGTTTCATTAACAAGAGCAACAGCATCGGTTAATTTATCCAGATCATGCGTCACTGAGTGAACACATTCATCACATACTAAAATGATGAATTTACTTGTGATCTTTAAAAAAAAATCACAAAGACTTCAGTAACGCCAGCTAAGTCCACTTCAGGCACAATACCATAAGATATATTTCATCTTTCCTTTATTTCTTCACAATCCTCTTTGAAAGCAATAAATGAAACAACTTACATCGGCATCCAAGATTTGGTATTCGCACGTAGTGCAAAGCGCACTGATCGCATCGAGGTCCGGTAGCACCCTCTTGACAGTGGCATTGCCCTGTATTAACATCACACACTGTCCCCATCGATAAATCTGCTTCACAATCACATTCTAAAATTTTTATCATTAAAAACCATCAATAGAACCTGCAGTTCATCATTACTGCTAACAATTGATTTAACATAAGTCACATTTCAGAAAACAATTTAAATATAAACTTTTATCATTTAAACTACCATCAAGCAAAAAATCCACACAAATAATTTAATAGAGAAAAATTAAAAGAAAAATTTAGCTTCATCCATTGAGAAAATCAGATTTCCACTCAGAGAATACAGAAATTAGAAATAAAACGTCAAAATTGAAACAAACTGGAGCATCCGGTAGGTCCGTAATTCCAGTAGCCATACTCACAGATTTCGCACATCTGTCCAGCAGCCCCAGGCATACAGGAACATTGTCCCGTCTCAGCATCGCACTGAGGACTTGATGATGCCAAGGCGCAGTTGCACATTTCACAACCATGGCAGCGTATGAAACCCCATGCATTCGTCTAATGAAGCCGATTTTTTTTAACACAGTAATTTATGAATAGTTAAGAAAAACCACTCGCTATGTTTTGAAATACTTAAAGTTATTAGTTAAACAAAAAAAGTGAAATTTACCACACAGCGATCACACTTTTCTCCTTCTACATTCGCTAAGCACTCACATTTTCCAGATCTGCTGTCACATAATGAACTACCGCATTGATTACATGCACAATCTACAAAGCTTTGCGAAAGAAAATTTCAAAAAAGGACTCATTATTCATTTTTTTTTTTTTTGTCATTTTCAACCAAATAATGTAGAGATCTGAGAGAAATGAGTAAATACTGATGGAGAAAAAAAATAAAGCAGCATAAAATTGAAAATTTCAAGATTTTCTTCTCCAATTTAATTTTATGTTGAATGGAAGAAAAAAGTGTAAAATAATGTGACATCTCACTTGTACAGTTTTTAGCTTCCACAGCGTCGCCATAGAACCATGGTTTGCAATGTTCGCAATGTGCACCATCAGTATTATTTAAACAAAGATAGCAATCGCCAGTTATTGGATGACAAGACCCGTCAACTTCAAGATTATTATTATTATTGCAGTTGCATTTATGACAAGAACCATCAATTGCAGTAGGCTGGCCATAATAGCCAATATCGCATCGCTCGCAATAATCAGAAGTATATCCTTCCTTACAGAAACATGATTCCAGCAGTCCTGTTTCACTGACCTTCAAACGACAAAAATGTAAAACAGTGCCTATTTCTCTTGAAAAAACAAACAAAAACAAAATAGCAGGAATAATGGAAACAATAAACAACATTAACCTGACAACTTGTTGCAAAGTTGTTCGAATTAGTAGCATATGGACAGGCACATGGCATACATGAATAAGGTCCACCTTTGGTGGCATCACCATAAAATCCCACCCGACAAAATTCACAGTGGTCGCCAAAAGTATCGTGCTCACAATTGAAACAAATTCCAGTAGACGGATCGCAACTTCCAGAGTGACCATTACAATTGCAGGAAACACAAGAACCAAGATACCGACCATTGTTGACGCGATAGTAACCAGGAGAACATTGCTAAATGATTATAGCAACTTGGCGAATATTACAAAAGATTTTTAGAAACTTCTTTCGAAAGAGAAACAGAGCACATAAATCCTGAGAACAATCCAAGCAGAAATTTCGGGCATTCGTTATAATTCAAAATCGATATTTCAAGCAGAAATAAGTTTTAGTACCTGACAAGAAAGTCCAGTATAAGGCAGTGGACACTGGCATATTTCGACAGAAGAAGCTGTGTAACTGTCACTAGTGGTCTGATCATCTTTAGCTATTTCAAGTTGCAATTCACTAATTGACGCTAATTCGCAATTTGTATAGTAACAAGCCTTAATCCTAAGTTCATCTAAGCCGTGCAATACCATCATCAGAGTATCACGAGTCGTTGGTTCCCCTGTGGATTCCATGAAATTTTCCTAAATTAATATTCATCTCATCATTACGATTAGCTCGTATTGAAAACATAGGAAATTGTATGATTTATAGAATGATAAGAAAACAAACAAAAGAGCGCTTTGCACAAATATTAGATATTTGGGATACAAAGCTTACGGGCAAAAGTATGATATCAACATTAAATGGTATTCGTGGATTAACTGGTTGTTCTCGTGCCCAAAAATCCAAAACTGTGTTATTCCCAACCAACTGAACATCAGGTGCGGAATTCATTTTGGTTTCACCATCTCGTGGATTCGATAATACCACGAAGGATAGCTGAAAATATAAACAATATGCTTCCCAAAATGCCAAAAAAAAAAATTTTAATTGACATCGAAATTTCCAGAAAAATATTACTTGTAAACCATAAGAAGTGGTGTAGTCGTGGCCCGATCGTATTGGGGCCAGAAAATAAACATCATCTTTAGCGTCAATTTTCGCTTCATATACTACCTTACCATGCGTATGTAGTACAGATTCATTTGGATATATTTTCCAAGCCTCCTCATCAAAATTAACCTTAACGAAATCAAAAATTATTGAAACAAAAACTTTTTGAATCAAATTATTAAATATATTATGCACAGTAACGTGAAGAAATATTACAAAAGTAATGGGAAGAAATGAAGATCGGCAGCGATCGGTAGCACCAAAGCAGAAACACTCTGAACAGCCATCAGAGTTTGATGCACGTAAATCGAAAGTACCAGGACGACAAATATCGCAATTCTCACCAATTACATTTTTCTGGAACAACGCAGTTGTTAGGTATATCAATTAAATAACTTAGTGAATCTGTATGGACATTACAACAAAATATATATAGCGTGAAAGACCTACCTTACATTTACAAGCAGCACTGGTTGACTCACAAATTTCTTCGGTGGTACCCTCTATTTCGCATGCACATTCGTAACAATGTGGAAAACCATAGAAACCTGGCAAACATTTGTCACATTTTCTGCCACCAACATTGACTTTGCAGCTGTAACATGCTTTTCCTTTATCATGATCTAGTTCAGCTCATGCATATTTTGAAATTATTCTAATACTCGTTTTCAAAGCTGTAAAATAAACTATCGAAGAGTGATAATGGGGCTAATCGAAGGATAACATACAGACATTGCCCACTGTCTGGATCGCATTGAAGCTGCCGAGCTTCTGAGCCATTTTGTTGACAACCACATAACTGACAACCAATTAGAGGATCATAACCGAAGGCATAGGGTACGCAGCTGTCGCAGTGTTTACCCTCTACATGTGGTGGACAGAAACACTGACCAGTATTCTCATCGCATAAGTGATTATCTGGACATTTGCACTCTAAAATCGAGTACTTCCAGACAAAAATTTTAATCTAAACAAAGATCAAAAGAAAGGAAACAACGAACTAATGCAATCTGGGAAATTATAATAGCCAGGTGCGCAACGATCACATCGACGTCCTATTATGTTCGAGCGGCAAGAACATTCGCCACCATATTCTTCGCACGTGAAACTTGTACTACCTTGAGAATTACATTCACATGGAAGTGCTGCCATATTGTGCTCAGAAGTTAAGGAGAACACTTTCTGACGACAGTATTCACTTACGTTTGACGGACTGCAACGATGAAATTATCATCTAACATTGAATTCTTGTAATCTTTAGGAATTGTCTTCATAAGTTCTAAAACTAACAAAACTAGCTGGATTTATAACTCTCTTCCAAAAAAAAAAAAAACTAATTTTGAAGATATTGTTTCCGTGAAATACTTCCAGCTTCACGTTTGGGTGCATAAAAAAAAGGATCAATGCGAGCAATACTTACTCATTTTTGAAGTTATTGAAACTGCATTCCTGTATATATTGAACGGAGATATCGATAGGCAATGGGATCAACAATGTATCGCTGTATGAATGAAATGGCAGGGATGTTATCGAGTCCTACATAACTTTATATATATATATATTTTTAAATGTATTATATATGTAAAGAAAGTGGAAAAAAAAAAAAAACAAGTGTCATAATTTCACTTTGTTCTGCATCATCAAGTGAGAATTTTAGCAATCTCTAGAAACAGCTAAACTATTTACATCCAGAATAACATGCCCATTTAAAAAACATATAACAGAAACAATAATTTTCGGGACATAAATAAATAAAACTTGGAAAACTTACAATAAACAGTGGTCCTTTTTGGTTTTCATTAAAATAAAATGACGCAGTATATTTATCATCAACGAAAAACTGTATTACATCCCGCCGTTCCTTGTCTCGAATTACTGCTCGGCAACCAATAACACTTGGACAATAGGAAAATGATATCTCTGCTGAAAATGACAAGATATTTCACATGAAATTTACTGTACTGTGATATATTCAATTACATTTTTGAAGAACACATGTTATTTTCAATTAAATTCAAAAGAAATACAAGATAGCTAAAGAAGACATAGGATTCTGAAATAAAAACTAGGAAAATAAAGTATACCGTGATGAAGATGTCCATTTTGGAGCGTAACATCAACAGTTAGCAACGTGTTGTCAGGATTGAAGTACTGTACAATGAAAACATAATCGCCATGAGATGGTACTACTCCAGACACTTCTACTGTACCCTATAAGGATGAAAGAATGAAGAAACTGTAAGTTTGAAAGCAAACAACATACGTTTCATTCCCAACACTGCATCAAACGTATCATACCATATTTCCATCCAGCGCTATAACTTGAACTTCTTTCGGATTTGCAATAATAAATGGCAACTTTTCACCAATGATTGAATTGTTAGCATTTATTTGTGACTCAGCTTCATTCAACATACCATTTGCTACAAAAGGGAACCACTGAGTTACACAATGTCCATTTTTACGGATACATACAGGAACCTATAATATGTTAAGTGAAATATGGTAATTCAATGCTTCAAAAACTTCAAAGAGTTTTTTATAGTGCTCAAAAGATGTAAGGTGATGTTGAGAAGTTATATGCTAACTTGTTGAAGGTAGGTGATATCCCAATCTTCCATCTTAATAAGATTAACTGCAGCTAAACTAAATTTATGTTTTGGTCCAACAATTAATGTAATTTCCACATCTCCACCATCTTTCAAATGCATTAATGCAATGCCTTCATCAGATGATACAATATCGCGACAAAATGTCCTGAAATATTTATTTATCAAATCATCATCACCTATGGTTTGCATCAACCAACAAATGATCACTATTTGTAACAATGATAAAAAAAATTCAAAAAAAAAAAAGCTGGTCTAATCACAAGGAGATAAAAAAACCTTCTCTGTTCTTAAGCATCAAAAACCTTTTCGGTATAATCTGAAATCAAAGAGTATGAATCAAAGCTGGAGCGAGTGGTATGCTTCTTTTCAGGATATTTTGATAGAAAGCTGGGCAAAACCAACTTTGGAATGGAAGAAAAGCAATGAGAATGGGACTACGGATAATTCTTAAAATCACTACGGTGCTCTTAAGTTATTAAAATAATAAAAACTATGTTAATGAAGTTCAAAAAAAACTGACGAATAAGGACAGTGTTTAAAGATAATGTTCTTCTTCATCAGAAGCTGATCGTACTGCCTCATTTCTAAACCTAATGAAATTGCTGAGTCTGCATTGTAGTATTCCATCAAGAGAATATAATAATTATTTTCTGGTACCTGGAAAATTTATGGAGTAGATAGTCAACTTAATAAAAGGATTAAATCTATTAAAATATGAAATTTTATTAGAACCTTCAAAGATATGCGAATTTTACGACTTTCGTTGTTAGTTTGCACAAACGCTGCTTCATTAGTACTCGTAAATAAGTTCTCTATCAGTATCTGCAAGTTACTTTAGTTGTAAGGAATGTCAAATATATTTGGAGAAGTTGCTTAGGAGAAAACAATACTAATACTAATAAACATTAATACTAATAAGAAAACAATATTAATACTAATAATTAATACAATATTAGTACTTGGGGTCAGGAGACGAAATATTTTATCAGACTGACGATGGTTACATATGTGTTGTTAATGATTTTACTCGACCTTCTCAACTCGTTGTGTGCTGCTATCATTTTGTTCTTCTGTGATAAGTCCATATTCAATGATATTTGCTCGTGACATAGTCGGGAGTGGTGGATACAACAATTCTAGGCACGTTGTGTTCTGAGAACCAGTTACTTGACAAGGTTCAAAAATGCGCTCCTTCAACACTGTTCCTTCATAATATTCTGAGGGTAGCAGTACGATGTAGTCCTAAAATTTGTTCTATAAACATATCTTCTTCTGCAAATTTCCATATTCAGTAAGAAACAGGACTAAATTCATACGGTAGCATCGGTAAATACTATCAATAATGTATTCAATAATATAATAATATCTTGTTACCAAAAAAAGTCGTTGTTTTGTTGAAATCTTAATGCGCCATTTTCCAGGACTTAAGATGAATGGCTGCTGGGGATTGACGGCTATGGTTGTTGGTTCAGACGTTGATGGAAGATTCAATCTGGTTTTTTGCTCCACATCTTCAATAAAAATGATGCAAGAAGAATGTTATTACTTCAGGTAAGTAAATGGTGTTAACTTTATCAGGTAAGTAAATGGTGTTCTGGTAGAAACCAACCTTGAGTATGCGTGAAAAGAGGCATGATCGCAATTCTGGTATCAATTTGAACATCTGTTGGATTAATATAGTGGAACAAAAGACGATAAAGACTGGCTTTGCTAATTGCAACATCCAATAAAATGTCTTCTTGGATCGGTGAGAATACCGCATATCCTCTCCATGAGTAATTTGGGAATTTGTTTTTATCGGTGGTAAAACGCACGGCATTCTGTTCCATTGATATGCCATCTTCCGCTTCATACTAGAATGAATTACTTGTAGTTTGATAGGAGCGATTTCCACACTGTCAAAGTTCGCCTGATACATGTCTCTCATGTACAGCTTGAGAATAAGTTGCTGATTGCTGGACCAGACTGAAGAGTGTAACTAGCAACATCATAGGCCACTTTTTAAGTATTACTAATAATTACCCAGCAAGAAAAGTAACTCTGAAGGACAGTAATAATTTTAATCTAAAAAAACAAACTATAGAAATCCTCACTTTATTGTGCCACAGCGTTGGAAAATAATGATTTTCGATTGGCCTGTCACACTTCTGTCCAGTAATCCGAGGTCTGCAGCGACACTTCCCTGTTTGCATATCGCAGCCAATCCCCAGCGCACCACCAATATCGCAATTACAAGCTGGAAATTATATAAACATCCAAAAAATAAATGTAAACACGTTGATAACATTTTTTTCAGTTGTTAACAATAATTTCCTCAAACTACTATCAATTAAAGCTGAAATAATATGATACAGAGTACAACACCAAACATCTACCTTGACATCCAAACTGATTATGCACTTCTAGTTGAAAAAAACCGTCAGCACATTTATCACATCGACGACCAACAACATGCCTTTTACAATTGCATTGTCCCACCTCAATACTGCATTCATTCAGTCCCGAAAGTGTACCAGCCAAATTGCAATCACACTGTACACAGCCATCTTCGTGGTGATATTGCAAATCCCAGTAGGTCGGTTTGCACCGATCACATATACGACCCGTTACATGTGTTTTGCAGGTACACAATTCGCCCGGTTCAACCTTATCACAACCAGCGAAACCCGCTACTACGCCTTTCGGATTACAGTTACATTCTGCAACATTTAGCAGCACGACAACAATTGGAAAAAGAAAAATACATCTGAAAATGATAAAATAACAAGTTGTTTTCTTTCCTTTCATATTAAAAAATAAGCTGTTGTACAGAATGCATATATATACCTTCACAAATTGGGAAATTGTAGAAATTTGTTTTACACTGATCACACCTTTCACCTTGAAAATTCTTTTTACAATAACACTGAAAGCAATTTTCTTAACCTTAATAATATATAATAAAACAAGCGCATAAATGGACGTAAAATCGTTTCAACATAGTTCGTTTGGCCATCAAAACATTGAAACTTTATGCAAAAGCTGACATACTTGGCCATTATTATCACAAGTCATTCCTTTAGAACCAATAGCCATACACGAACAGGGTTTGCAGTTCGGAAAATCATAATATCCGGCAGCACAACGATCACAATTTTTGCTGGTAAAATTTGCATAACACGGACAATCACCATTTTTTCGATCACACTTTGCTGATTTCGAGCCATGTTTATTGCAGCCGCATTCTTAAATACCAAAAGTTCACCAAACGTCGAACTGACTTCAAAAATCAACGCAAAATGGCATTATAAAATTCCAGAAAAATAAAAATACACCTCTGCAGAACGGATAGCCATAAAAGTATAGACTGCACTCATCACATCGAGAACCAGAGAATCCAGGTTTACATAGGCAAGCGCCAGTCACTTTGTCACAAATACTGTCCTCTGTACCGATTGTATCACAGTCACAATCTGAAGTGATTTACCTTAGCGCATAAGAGTTTACTGGTAATATTTTCAGATACCAAAAAACTTACATTTACACTGAGAATGACCGAAGTATCCATCAGCGCAACTATCGCACGTAAGTCCAGCGAAATTGGTTTTGCACATACACTGTGCTGTGCTTTCATTACAATTATTGTGCAGTGAACCGAGTTCATCGCAATTGCAAGCTGACATTTCAAAAAAAAACAATAATTGTCTTCAGTAATCACACAGACAAAAACAAGGAATTATTTTAAATTTGAAGAACTAGTACAGTTATCAAGGATTTTCCTGATTAAATAACAACTTACAAATACATCCGGCTGAGAGATTCGTATAACCCGGTGCACATACCTGGCAAAACTCTCCTCCGTAATTACTTCTACATGGGCAACGCCCATTGACAGGCTGAAAATTTTGTGTTTTTTTAAAAAACTGTCAATGGATACAAAATCGAGTAAAGTGAATCTTTCACTAAAGCATTTCAAATTAAATGCAGAAAATTAAGGATGTGAAATTCTTACTAAACCGAACTTCATTCATTAACACATAATTTATTTTATGTCTGTTGAAGTGCTAATGTTATAGTAGTTAGTAGTAAATAAATTCAAATAGAGAAGTAGAGAGCAGTACCAGACAAATATCATCCAAAGTGCCATTTATAGAGCAATCGCAAGGTTTACAATTTGGAGGCGAGTAGTGACCAGGTGCGCATCTATCACAATTTACTCCGGTAAATTGAGGCTTACAAACGCAACGAGCTGTTTCGTCCTCACAATTTCCTGTGTGTTTTGCGGGATCGCATACACATGCTGAAATGTAGTAGCAGACTCTTTGATTTTTCAATAAACTTTTCTATGAAGGTGAAAGAAAAGAATTTCAAGACCACACGGAATAAAAACTGTTGTTGAGCCAATGTTTCCGGATAATTACGACCATCAAGTACGAAAGGTTGGCCTTCATAAAACTCAAACTATACTCTATTCAAACTATCCGTATAGAACCATTTTAATGGCTCACTATGGGCTTTCATGCTACTATTGATAAGGTCAAGGTAGGTAGAACTGCAGTTTACGGTCAAAAAATACACTAGACTTCAAAGAATTATTATGTCTCCTCCCTCAAGTAATAATACTTGATTTCCGAAAGATGTTAATGCAACCCATGTCTTCAGAAAACACATCAGTTATACTTCGTAAGATCAATAAGGCATTTGATGACATTTTTGTATATATAAAATATGTTAGAAAACATATATATATGTCAAAGGCATATAAAATATGTTAGCAGTTTTAAGCAAGTTATTTTCAAGTTTTACATCAACAATCCGCATATTTAAAGGTCAAGAGGCAAGATATATTATGAGTATCAAATGATCTTTCGGAAACTTCATTTAACTTCCAACAGTAAGGAGTGGCATATTTTATCATCCAACAACAAAACTGCCCAACTGAGCTGAACTAGCGTTAGAACTAATAATAACATACAACTGAAATGGAGGAACAAAAGTTCGCTAGAGGAAATAAACGATGGAAAAAAGGTGTTTTAGTGCTCGTTGAAAAATTCAACAATTTTTCAACGAGCACTAAAAGGTAAACACGAGTTTCTGTCTAATTAGTTTTTCTTCGATAACACCAACAGAGGTCGAAATATCTTCAAAGGTATGAAGACCTTTAAAATGCATGTGACATGTACGTGAGTGCGCGTGAGAGAAATATGAGGTTAAAAAAAAGAGAAGACTAGCTCAATAGACCTGAATTTGCCATGAATATTCGAAGTGTGTTATATCTCAAACAATAAGAGAATCTTATGGTTCATCAAACAATTTTTTTAAACCGCAAACAATTTAAAAAAAAAACAAACAAACAAGACTTACGTTGACATACATCTGTTTCATTCCACCATTTTGTTTTTGGCCGATAGTATCCAAAGATACATTTGTTACAATTTATGCCTTCTGTATTGTCCTGCACTTCGTTTGAAAAATTTTTTTTTTAAACTAATTAATCTATTAACAGAATTGCAAAGTAGTATATAGAAAATCGAACAAAAAAAAAAAAAGAAAAAGAAAAAAAATGAAATAACAAACTCTGCAGTTTAAACAACGACCACCACCATCGTAGTTTCCATGAATATCTAAGCTTGAGTGCATTCTATCAAGTTCTTTTTCATAAACGCATTCCTCGCTATGCCCATGACAATTACACGCTATAGTTTTTGAAATCATAATAAAATCCTGTGATTATTATCTAATGCTGAAATCAATAGCTTAGGAATTCTGCGCTCAAGACTAGATACAAATCATTTATAGATCTAAAATGAGTAGAGAATTATTTTTAGTTTTCATGCAGCTGGAGTCAATGGTGTCACTATCACACTTTTGGCCAAACTCTAGCAATGAAAAAGTTTGAAAGAATTACGTTCGCACACAAATTCGGCACCCTCTTTGCTTCGTTGCCACATTTTCTGTTCAAATCCTGGGCAGCAAAATTCACAATGATCTCCACAAGTATTATGTTCACATCTGCAAATAAATAACATGAACAGCAAATATCTCCAATATTCTTTTTCTTATTTTAAAATATCGCTTGAAATAAGAGTCAGGAAGAAGAAATTTTTTAGTTTTCAAATATGATTTTTCTTCCCAAAAAATTGTTCCTTTTTTGTTTTGTCCACATAGAAATGAAAGATTAGTGTTTGTAAATTTTTGTTCAGTAATATTTCGAGTCCAAAAATAACGAAAAAATTGAATTCAAAAAAAGATATGACCTGCAAAGGAGTATATTAGAACGTCGAATGTCCAGAATATCACACGTGTCCGCATGTCCATTACAAACACATCGACCTCCCATAAAGATTTCTTTAATTGCATAGAAATACTGCAATGTGTCTCAAGTCGTCAAAATTCTCCGTCTTCTACAGAAGTGATTGACTCGCTTCTATTTATTTCTCAAAATTCACACAAACGGCTCATTCCGCCATTTTATCTTCCCCTTATGTTGATCTTTTCCCGAAATTAAAGTTGGTTCGAAGCCTATCCCAGACTTTTATACTAGAAGTTCAAGATTTCTATTAATATATCAAATAAGCCATTATTTGATCATCCGTTCCTTTAATAAAGCTTTATTTAGAAAGAAACAGATTAACCCGTCTTGTGACAGTGGGATCTCGTCGGTTGACATCCATAAGATGCCCATGTAGCGTTTTGGTACGTAGAAGCCGAAGCCGTACGTTTGTTGCACGAGTGAAGTTTTGAAGGATTTCAGAATGACTAAAGTTGTGTTTTCCTGGGCGGTTCTCAAGCAAATTTATCATTATCTAGAAAGATTTTCATACTTTGCATTCTCTCCTATAGACATTCACAGTATTCTTACTTTTTTAGAGAAGAGAATTTACCGCTGATTTTGTCAAACCAAATATTAATAAAATGCAGAGATTTGAATCATGAGATATTTCTAGTTAGGCTCTCATAAATTTTACCTCTGCATTCTCCATGGGGTGAATTCCAGAAAATTCGTGAGTGCATATAACAGAATCATCTTCTAATATTGGTTGGAGTGTGTGACGTCCGAATAACTGAAATCAAAATTTTTGGAATTTCGTTCGAAGATTTTCAATTACGAGATTAGTTTATAATGTATTTAAAAAACATAATATGAGGAAATACCGATCATTACATGATGGAAACTAGACTAACGCGATCGCATTCAGCAGGTGTTTCAGCAAAATATTGCCAGGGCATATAACTTTTCCCCCCATCAATAGATCTTTCTAACACCCATGATCCTGGTCGAGGACTATTTGCCATTTGGATCCATACATAAGCCACATGAAATTCCTAGAAAATTATTCACATGTAAAATATATTAGTTTAACTTTTTTCCCATCGAATTCCGATAATTGGTTATTGGAAATGCCACAAGACATATCGAACTCAAATCTTTCCTACTATAAGTTACTAACAAGTCTGCTGTGCAGATTCAATCCAGAAAACCCACTTTCCTTTTTCAGTATTTTTGATATTTTTTAAGCAGTTTATCAACAGTGCTTACTTGTTCCAGATTAATACTAATGTTAACTTGGTTATACTGTATTCCGCGGCTTAATGGTGGACTTTGCCACCAACTTGCTCTGCCATCAACCATATTTCTTGCTGGATGTGCAAATGAACTGTTCGATTGACAAAAATCGCATATCTGCCCGCCCTGCAAAAAAAAGAAAAAGTGCGATGAGTTGAGTCCAATTTTAAAAAGAGAATGAATATCAATATGGCATCAGTGGATACTAGTTACTGTAGAAACTGGTAGCGCAAGAAGTAATAGTTTCAAAGCCTTCATTATTCTGCTTAATTTAAAGCTGATTAAAACTGTGGATATGGAACATCTAAAAATTCAAAAACTTTTCTAAAAATTTTTTTATTTCCTTGGGAGGGAAATCTTACCTGAACAAACGACTGTTTTTCCATTTTAAGTTCAGCAAAGACGGAAACGCCATCTTCACCGGTACTGTACGAATATTGATTTAAAGGAGTATATTGACTTGATCCTGAAGGATAAGCTTCAATAAAAATTTTATAGTTAAGATTAATAATCTAGTCATCTTTACTTACTTATTCCAACCATATTCCCTATTATACTGCTTTCTCAGCCTTAACATTATCTATTTATGCATAAAGGGATGTAAGTAAATTAAAATTTACCGGCTATTTGACAAAAGATTTCTTTCATCGGCTGTCCGTTAAGCTCACCACATGTCGAGGACGCTTCAATCTTCCTATCAAGTGCCAGATTAGTATACGGTGGTACCAATACCTGTCCACAAGTGAAACTCGTTTTTGCTGCTACAATAAGCAGAAGTACAGGTAACATCGCCAATTTTCCTATAACTTTACTGAATTTTTACAAATTATTTTTAAATTACAATAAAAATTTCATTTATTACATGCAAAAATCTTATTCCATAAAGTTCAATAAAAGCAGAATCTTCTGAAACTTTTACCTATATATCTAAGCACATAAAAAACTACAGATAAGCTTCATGATTTTTATTGGATTAGCGACAACCAGTACTGCGAATGACTTTATGAGTAATCTTGGTAGGGATATTGCATATCGTTTAGTAAGCCATCAAAAGATGTATTGGATGCAATTGTCAGAGGACGCGACAATGAAAAGAAAGATAAAACATATTTCTAGAAAAAATCAAATCTAAAAAGGTCTGATAAGAAATGAATTGTGCTTTTGAAAATTCAAATTGAAGGAAATCCTGATGCAAATATTTCGCTGAATTCAGTGAGAACTTAATGTAGCACAACATTTTTATTTTTTACATGCAAATAGCTTACTTTTTCCCCATTTATAAGGCAATAGGGTAATAATATCTATATGCACAAAGATATTTTTGACGTTGTGCCCGAATTTTTGTTCTGGGTGGAGAAAACGCAAAAGTTGAGAAAACTTTGTAATAAGTTTTAATGGAATTAGTTTCTACATGCAAAAGTGCAAAGATCAGTCTTCGTCTAACATTAATCGATTTCCAACGCCATCAGTCTATGTGAATTATCACTATTACGATTCAATTTTTCAAGAATGGCGGTATTTTTGCCTCTTGAAACAAAGATACGGTTTATCAAAGAGTTTCCGTTAGGAGACCCTCAGGAAATTCTTATATTCTTGATTGTTTTTTTTTTTTTTTTACTAGATCGCTCACATCCATCTCCTCTATTAAATATACCCATTAAAAACAAAAACCGTTTTAATACTTGCATTACAATCCACACATAGATACCATAGTTTCAACTTATAACTTGAGGCTGAAATAACTTGTTATTTGATGGTGTGTAGAAGTTTCCTGCCGTTATTCTATGTATATGCATATGACCCAGAATACACACGGAAAAGCGAACATCGGTCCTTCATAAAATGTTCGATGAATATAATTTCAATTAGTCTTATGAATAATAATAAACATTCATTGATTCCCCATGACACTGGTTAATTATTTACATACAAAGATAAACAAAAGTATGGTTTAATGTGCAATTTCTGAGGATTAATGAGTTAGTTAAAAAGAGGAGAAAAATTCACTAAGAAGGAAAAGTATGAAGGATTGGAATTCTGATCATGAAGTAAATTATGAGCCATGAGATGTACTGGTGAGAATAAATCGGAAATAGCTTCTGTTATAAACTTCAAATCTCCGAATTAAATTTTTCTAAAGGCCTGTTTCTAAAATCTGCAGCTTACGTTACAGCTTACTTTCAAAAAAAAAAAATAATAAATAAATAAAACACCCGTTGCGAAGAAACATATGTCTTCCAACATCCTACAGTATCTTATATATTCTGGACGAACTTGATCAGTTTACATTTCGCTTAGTAGTTAATACTACAACCAACAAGAGTTCCTTTTTTCAAATTTCCACCAACAAATTAATAAAACCAATAAAAACGAAATTTAAATTAACGAAAAAAAAAGCGCAACAGAAAAAATAATAAATAATAATAATAGCAATATTACAAGTAACAAAATCCGGATTGTATGGAATAGCGGTTAAGAGATAGTTTGTAAAATTCCGAGTGCACCCCATAATAACTTTCGCAAAATGGTTTTTTTCAAAAAGTCAAGAATTTTGAAATTTATAAAAAGAGTGTAATTTCAGAAAAGAACAAGTGAAACCACTCGCCTAGAAAGAGTCGGAAATGATGACAATGAAGTGGATTGATTATTAGAAGGAAAGGACAGTTAATTACAGCACAGCTGAAACAGATGAGAGTGAGTGAACGAGCAGTAGCTGAGGTCGAATGAACCACTTGCACATATACCTCGTAGACCCACCGTGAACAGACGACGACATCATGCATCGACCATCAACAGCAATACGACGAGTCTACTATATTTACTATATCCTGACTTAACTATGAAATACAGTTCAACACTTGATGGTTCCATACTGTCTCTGAATAAATTATAGATATAGCTGATTCATATGTTTAGTATGCTATAATAGCAACTTCTGATTTCATTTTCGAATAAACCAAAAAATGAAATAAAAATAGCAGTAAAACTATGACAGTGTGGCAAAAAGGAATGTGAGAGACTACATTTACATTTACTACATTTTACATTTTACACTACATTTACAGTAACAAGAGCAAAGAGGGCATAAAAAACTCAAAAAGAAAATTTTCGACAACAGCTAAAACATCAAATACTTACCAATGAAATGATTTGATAGATGATTAAACCGCTATAACAAACGAAAACTTGTCTTTAAATAACAGAAGAGATATGAAATATGATAGGTCATGATTGAGAGAGTGACTTTTTGTTTATAGTAATGATGGAAGGGGGGTACTGTAAAAAAGTAAATCTTTGAATAGGCTCATTGCTAATATTTTACCATCAGGCTATCATATATTACGGCTTTCCAACGTTTTTTAGCTGTAATGACTTGGTAGTTTATAGAGAAATATCCAATATGTTTACATTTTGCAGAAAATGGGTTTTGTAACTCGCTTTATGTTGTTCAAATGCAAATGGCCTTAGCTTTGGAAACCTCGAAAAATCATTTCGTCATTTCTCCAGTGCTGATAAACCAATAGGGTACTCGGATAGGGTTGTAAATCAGCAATCAGTTTCCACAGAGACACTAAGAACTGTATAACAATCATTTTTGTTAAACTAGCACCAAATCCAAAATTTAATTAGAAATGAAACCGTTTCAATTCTTCGTAAATTTCAATAATTCTCCATATTTAGATTTTTTTTTTGTCGCCTTTTTGTTGCATATTACTTTTTTCCAAACAATAAATTTTCACTATCTTCTCTCTTTCATGATGTGTGCAAAAACGGAGATCTCCTGTCAGCTTCAACTTCGCTTTAAGTAGTGTACGCTAATTTGTATCTTCCTTAATACTGTGTTCCAGTTTCTGCTTTTAGGCAAGTGATTTCAACTTCTGATGAAATGTAACCGGAACGTTGATGAATCAAAAGCTAGATAAAGGTTATATATATTTACCTCGGGAAGCGAGCTTAGAGATACCTTAATTTTGCGTAGATAATGTGCAATTCACAAGATTTATGTTTCATCACTAATAATAAAGTTTCCGAGAAAAATGTAATCAGTATAAATCCCATTGCTTCATTCTTTGTTGCTTTTTCGATCAAACACACTGCAATCTCTTTCCTTTCTTTCTTGAGTTACTTTCATTAATCCTGAAAGTATCCAGCATTTTCTTCTTCAACATTAGAAACTCTGTGTCACACTCCACACCCAAATTAAAACTTCTTTCATTTCAGAATTCCAATTTCAAATACACTTTACGACTACTCGGCAATGTTAGAAATCTTTTGTTGCATTTCTTTTTCATTTGAAATAGAGTTGATTATCCAATGAGATAGAAATTCGAAGCTTTTCTCAACAGTTTCTGCATGTTTTACTAAATTTCCCTCAAAATTTCTTATACTGCAAACCGTACAACTTTATGCTATGCCCAATAAAAGATCTGAATTCTCAATGTAGTTTTTTACCATCAAATTATGCATAAAATGACTAACTAAAAGCGTGATAGTAGAACCACGAAATTGCGTTCATTAATTCAACTTTTTTAAATAAAAGTCAAAAAACCTGCAAAAGAAGAAAAAGCAAATCTTCTTCTCTCATTGTGTTAGAAATAGAGGTTAACAATGATTATGATAAACAGAAAAGATACACAGAACAAGAAACTTGCAAAATTTAATGATGAAAGGCAGACATGCTCATCTTATGGAAATACAACCCAAGTTTCTAATCAGCACCATTCCTCTTTATGTCAACATGAAGTGTTCTAACTCTACACAAGATCCGTTATGTACTAACCTACTTCCTCATTTATACAGTTAAAGCAAACAGTACCTTGTGAAAGAGCTCTCCACAAGGCCAAAAATCCAGTGACACAGTAGAAATAGAGGAAATAATACCGCGGAGTGAGCCTACACTTTGAATTCTCCTTTGTTTTCTTTCGAGATGAGAACCGGTGTATAATATGCTACCTCCTACATCTTATCCGTCTTAGAATTGCGTTCAAGCAAGAACTTTCTTGTCATAAACTGTGGAAAAATGGGTATGAACAATGAGTAGAGAAGGATCAAATCTGTCGACCCTAACGAACTGAGAGGTCCATGATTTCCGGTACTATATGCTCCCAAATACTGGATTCCCCTCTAGATTAACCTATCACCCTGGCTTTTCCACTGTACTTTTTTCTTTCGAGGCTATATATGAATGGCAAAGAATCCTCAACAGGTTTCCACAAGACATTTCACTACTAATGAGATTTAAATGGTAATAACCTGATAAATCATTTACTGAGCTTGTCCCCATCAACCCACTTACACAACAATAATTTTATCACCGCTTCTAAAGCTTGAGCTTGACCCTTCAATACAAATAGCAAATCAGAATGAAGGATGCAATTCCACCCAATCCCCTCTACGAATAAAGTGACGACTACAACGTATCTTCAGGTCAAGTTAAAAAAGATTTCAACCATTCTTAAACATTCTTCTTGGAAGATTTTCTGAAGCAAATTACCTTTTGCAATAAACTTGCCAACTTTAAGAGCCACAGTAAACATAAAAACAATTCTCAAAATCCTAGAATAACCTTGTCTGTTTAGTGACAAAATATTTAAAGCCAAGAACATGTCAAGACGCTTATCAGAAAATCAACATTTCTGACAATATTCTAATGGTTCTCCAAATAATTCACTTACCATTCACCCCTTTATTGCAAAATGTCAGATAAACTAGACCAATCTCTCACTGATAAAGTCCCGTTTTCAGCACATTAAAAATTCTAGTTACAAAATTCCAGTTCAAACACTGTCAGTTGAAACTATTACAATAATACACTCGAAGGAAAATGGCAAAATACAGCATGCAAAGTTTTGAAACATTTTGAGGATGTGGTTTACAAATCTCCTTGTAATAAAGCATATTTTTAAGAGGCTCTGTAAACGCAAAAAAAGAAACTACTTCAGCACCCACTTTTTTTCACTGGAAATAGTTGCAAATCACAAATTAACAGTATTATTTTCATAGCATCGTAAGCAACATCGGGATATAAGACAATTAATTCTATGACGCAAATGAAATCCAGTACAAATATAAGTTATAAGAGAAGTATAAGAATAAGATAAGAACCAATGCACTTATTAATAGTTTCAACCAGCTCTGCTCTTTGAACAATGTTTACATAATAGACAAAGATAGCAAAAACAGAGAAATAATACATATATAACTGCAGCAGTAATCATCTTCATATGTGGTTTTTTTTAAAAACAAGCAAATATCAAAGTGAATATTAAAAACTTTTTTGATGATCAATTTAACTTTCGATATATCTCTCGCTTAGTAAAACAAACAAACTGTGGAGGCAAAAATTAATCTTCCACAGCTAACAATAAAGTATCAGAAAAACATTCCTGCTACACCTCCCATTTCTTGTTGCTCTTTAACAAATATTTCAAAATACTGATATATTATTGTTACTGCCAACAAGATGCCAGTACCGCTGCCGATTGCACCTTAAAATGTGTTAACCAATAATTAAACATTGTACACATGCCAGAATATTTCCTATCATGAAAGCGCTATATTATATTATAAACAGAAAGACTTAAGGAAGCAAAAAATTGCGACCAATCTTCGACTGGATTTGATTGCCATTGTGAAATTGAAAAGATTAGTAAGCAACATCAATAAGAAAACCGACAAAAAAAAAGTTTTGTTCCCCTTGAACAGTAAAGTTTGTCAGTTATCCAGGAGTTCGAAATTCATCCCTATAGAAATAGATAATAGACAGTCAGATAAGAATCAATACTGAAAATGAATATGCTCAAGACTCCAATATAGAAAAAAAAAAATACCCATAAAATCAGCAGTGACTGATAAAGCCCCAATACACAAACCACCAAATGCGGCTGCCGTTGGAATATATCGATTTAACTCATGAATCATTGACTTCTCACGATGGCCTCTCATAACCATTTGTTGTTCTTTCAACTGCTTTGCAACCTAAATTGTCCAAAAATAAACTGAACATAAAAATAAGAAATATAAAGCAATCTATATGTAAAGATCTCAGAATACAACTCACATCTTTCGCGCTACTCCCAGATACGTCTATCCATGTTTTCGAGAAGAACGCGCATGAACCTAACATAAAAACAATGTATACAATGCAGTGCATAGGATCCTCAATAACATGTGCTAGAGTTTCTGGGGGTGATAAATAATAACAAATGCCACCGGTTGGATAACTTCGATAGCCACCTGCATCCGACCACGTACCTAACAAATTGACCAGAATATTGCCTCCAAATTTTGCTGCCAGCATCTGAATTTCATATAATACATCTTTTAGAAAACATTCTCTACTCCATTGTCTGTTATGACTGCATAACAAAGCAAACTTAGAAGCATGAAATTAAAAACTGTTAAATATAAAAATAACAGAATCAACTTTACATTCCCACTGAAAATCATGTAATTTTTTGTTATTGATGTGTAAAGCTATATAAAGAAAAGTCACAAGTTAAATGAGAGAATCTTTAAGTATCTAGAGAAAGAATATATGATTTTATGAAGACCTTAAAAGCTGAAAGGGTATGTATTGCCTGCAGCATGAATTTCAATGGAAGTCAGTTTACCTGTGAAATTACATACAAATTAGAGACGAGAGCAGACTGCAAGATGATTGGTATGTTAGATGTATAAAAAAGTTTGATTGGATACGAACTATACTGTCCACGATACCGGGCACTCTTGATTGGTAAGTCAACTCGGAATCCCTACAAATAAAATATTTGTGTGTAGTCTTTGTTTTTTAAAAAATAGCTTTTGAATACATTGTCATAAATTCAATATGTTCTTAAAAGTGAAAATTAATGTATTAACTCTAGAAACATGAAAGAATTATGCAGCCAAAAGTGCAAAAAATATATTAAATAACCTGAAAATATATAACCACAGCAAATACAAGTACTGTGGCCATTAAGTTCATTAGATTTGGCAAGTTTGGTCGATAAAATGCTTCACGCAATGCTCGAATTTTATCGTTCCGGGTAGCAAGCAAGTGGAAAAGTGCAATAATCGCACCTTCAAATTCCGTTCCTCGACCAGTATTTAATGTAGCTGGTGAAAAAGCCTTCCAAACAATCGTCTCACATATGTTTGTTGCGATGAACAATGAAATACCCGAGCCTAGTCCATATCCTTTCTTAAATACGAGACCAATTAAATAAACTCAAAAATTTCGTAAACTGAACACTAACTAAGAATTAGCAAAAAGGAAAAAACGAATTATTTGCCTTTGACTAAGTTGCTACCTTAACAATCCAAAAACGTGATAATTCTGTTTAGAGCAAGAGTAGGGAAAAAACATCTACAACAAAGATTGACACATGAATCGTAGTGTGCATACCTGTAGTAACTCATCCAGAAGTAAAACAATGAGGCCAGCTACAACAAGTTGAATAACAATAAGCAAACAAATACCAGCACCAATTTCCGTAGGATCTCCATACAAGCCAGATGCCACATAAACAATTGCTTGTCCAATCGTAATTACCATACCAAATACTGAAACAAAGTAGTTCAAGGTAATTACAATGCTAACGATAGAACATCGCATCGGGAACTGCGCAGTAAAAGCACTAAGCAGGATTACGGTAACGATTATGAATACGATTTTAAACATTCGTTGTTCAAACAATAACAAGAAGTACTAACGATGAAATACTAAAAAAAAATTTCTCAACACACATTTTTGAGCGCCGTTGAAAAGTGCGCGTTCCTTTGGAGTATCTCCTACTTCAATGATTTTTGCGCCTGCTAATAACTGCATTATTAGACCAGATGTCACAATAGGTGAAATGCCAAGCTCCATAAGTGTTCCTCTGTTTGAAGCCAAAATGACTCGAAGCCAGTAAAATGGGTCTGCACTGTCTGTCGACATAATTCCTGTAAGAATCATAAGAAAAAACCTCCAATAGACTTGTAAAATTTAAAACTGCCACGTACAATTATATATCATCAAATGGTTAAAAAAAAAAAAAATTTACCAAACAAAGGTATTTGACAACAAACAAGAAATACGAATAATGTAATTGCTGTCCACAACATTTTTTCGCGAAATTGAATTTTTCTTTCAGGCTTTGACACTTCCGGTACGAAACCGCAAAAAGGCTTCACAAACTCCAAAAACTTTACTGAAACCAAATGAATGAACAAAACACATCCACTCTGACCATTCAGAAATTTTAAATTTTAGGTGAAAGGAAGCAAGCAGATCAATCATGACCTCACTTCTTTTAAACAAATCAACAGGGGACTCACTTTCCAAAAACTACGGTCAATTTTCGATGTGGCTGATAATTTTCAAATAAAAATTTCATATAAATGGATATCCAAAACTAAAGTTTTGAAATACTTACTAAATGATTGTTCATGAAAATAATCAATTGACTTAACATCCTCATTTTTTCTATATCCGGATTCATAAGTCTTTTTTCGCTTTGAAAGTATTACTTTTAAATTTAAGTAACAGCTAACCTATAAAGTATTGTCTTCTCTTGCAATGAGTCTTGCACGACCTAATTAAGTTTGTAATAGCCTAGAAGTGTGCCAGAGCACTAAATCATACGTACAGAAATACCAGGAGAAAAACAACTGTAATACATACTTCCCATTCTGAAGCGAGTTCCGTGAACGAAGCCAACTTTATGAGGATAAAACGTTTGCTGTGCGATGAAAACAGCTCCCAACAACTACTGATACGAGTGTAACTGTATTTCCTGAATATGTTGTCCTGAAAGTAATCCTTATTCATATTACTGCAGAATGTCCAAACCACTAAAATCATTCTTGAGAGCTGTCACAAAACAACAACTATGCCATCACCCAACCAAATGATACACACAGAACTAAAATGTCCTCACAACACGTGTCTAAATGTCCTCACTTCCACACAGCAATTTCATATCGTGTCTGCGAAAAACTGCAAAATTCCCAGTGTGGTTAAGGCTGCTGCAGCTAAATATTCTGTGATGGAAAGAAACGCAAATGGGGCGGTGATGGAGTTGCATAATCGAGAAATGGATGTAGTGAAGTGGTCGAGTGGTGTTCATTGTGTCATTTTTTTTTGTGACACAGTCTTTCGTGAAATAAAGGTTGTTAGTAAAAACTTAGTCGCAGGAAAATGTTGAAGAAGGCGACGCGGAATCGTAGGATTTTTATGCTGGATATATAGTTAATTTGAAATTTATGAAACATCTTTCCCACCATTGCAAATATTTCCTGTATGGCTAAGTGCTCAGGTTCGATTTTGCAGAAATTGAAATGATGGGATGACTCAAGTAAACATCAGACTGAACTCAGTAAAAGTCGACCAGGAGTTAAACAGTTATACTGTTTGAGAACTCAGAGATAAAGACTATTCCATAAGTAGTTGTGTTGGCCGATAGAAGTGGCTTGGTGTGTTTAAGACTTGAATTAAAAGACGTGGATCTAGGTAACTGTCTTTTCTGGAAGCATAGTGTTGGTTTATATTTCACAGACACAGTCCTAGTAGAATTTTATTCGAAAGACCGAGATCTCGAGTATTGTTTTATTCCCTGTTCTACCTAAATACTCATTTCCAAACATGGAATTAGCTGTGTAGTCAGACATACATTTTCTATTAATCTGTTTTCCTTCGCCATTAGTGGGACTTCACCATTTCGGTTTTCAATACTGCCAGTATCTTTCTTCTGATTTTGGAATTTTTAAAAAGACATGAAATAATCCAATGACCACTATTCCGAAATGCTTTGCACTGTATTTATCCAATGATGTGTTCAAAATTTCCGCCATTTAACTGGATAACTGGATTGTTGTCTCCCTCTCCCTCCTGACGTCATATTTTCATATTGCTTCACAGAAGTATTGTATTCACGATAATATGAGACATTATATGTAGCTCAACCCACTTGGAAAAGTTATGTCGATGTATTGTGTCTCCGACACATCACTACTGCTTCTATACATAAAATCTAGCTCCAGAAATAATTTTATTTGACCTTTTCCCTGTTATTTTTGCAACAAATACTAGCAAAAAAGTATAATATGGTCCTATGTTTGATTCTTTCGTAAATGTCGCGACATTGCAAAGTTTTTCAAATGCTTTCCTCATTCCGCCTGCATGGATGTCGACTGGCTTACAATATTTTTCGTTTAACTTCATCTCCCGAAACTTGTTTGACAGCATAATATTTTTCGAGTTCAAGGCAAACATGATTAAAGCAATATCCAAGCACTATGAAATGCGCAGATATCGCATAATAATAAAGTAACCTAAAATCATTTCGGATTACTTCAGATTATTATGTAATTTAAGTGCTTTTGTTTATTTAACTGCAAATCGTTCCATCGTTTTTTTTTTTTTTGGTTAGGAATTTAACATGTCGGTGATGTCAGCATCCGCTTGCTAGAAAGAGATATAGTTCCGTATGGAATTTTTTTGTTGTGCCTATTTAAAAAAAAAAAAAAAAAAAAACACTGAACTCTACCTGTTGGGCAAATTTAGGGTGAATTGCATAATTGTACCAACCAAATTGATACACAAACGTTTAAAAATAATAATTCCGATTTCTCTTCGACTGAGAAAGAAAAATACACCCATGATTCCTGAAATAAATTTTGCAGCTGTACAATTCTTACTACTTTCGAAGCGCATCTGACCCACTAACGAATTAATTTAATTTCCTACTTGCTTTGCGTAAAATCTGTGCTTGGCAAGTTCTCTATTTCTGCTTTGAATTCCAAATTCTATCTCACTTTTACTTTGCAAATATTGCTCAGTGCCAGCAATTTTTCTTCAAAATTTTAGTACGTATTTGGCTCTATTTTCATTAAAAGTGGTTAGATGGTTTGCACCGTCGAACATGAAAAAGAAAATTTTACCAGGCACAACAGTAACTGTCATTGAAAAAGCGATAAGCCGTCGTTCTCCTCTGGGCCCCAGAAAATTTCGGATTTTGCTGTAGAAAGTAGTTTTAGATATTGCTACTCCAAACCATTCCATGCATATTTCAAGACTGTTAAGTAAAACCCAGTAAAAATAGTTTGAAGAAGTTCCGTGCCACGCAAGTACGAATAGAAATACAGTTCCCAGTGCTCCGAAACGACGTAATACAAAATACTTGCTGCTTGGATCACCTGATACTGGTATATATAACTGGAACAGCAGAAGCTATTCAAAAAATTAGGATTATTTCCATCAGGGATGTGAATATTGTACCTACGGTTGGACATGGATCTCCTGTTTAACGATTAATTGTTTTTTGAAGAGTTTGCTAAATTTTTTGGAAATGCAAACCTGTTTTTTGAGGAATACGTAAAGACCTCTATCAAAGCTGCGCCACATCTGTGAATAGTTGCTGATACGAGATATGCAAATGGGTCCAGCTGGGGGTTTCATACCATCAGCAAAGGCGAACCAAGACGGAATTCCGAATATCAACAAATATTTCATATAGAATAATTTGCCATTGACATACGATATACTCGCTACTGTAAGGATTACAATCAATTACAGTAGCCAAATTCGTAATCATGTTCTTGACTACATAATAAGTAACAATTACAATTACTACAAAAACAGCAATAATAGGAGTCACAACGACGGTAATGAAATAATCATGGTAACATTAACTAAAATAATCATGGTGGCGGTAATACCTGAAAATAATAACAATGTAATAACAAAACTTAGTAGAAAATAACAACAATAATACGAATAATCATAACAGCAATAAATGAAAATAATAGTATTCCATGATTTGTACGTATGTTTGTGCCTGTCATTGTTTACACTTCGTGATTCATCCACTACAATCCAGTAAGATTAGTCAGTAAGAAATGTGACATAACAAACTTTTCCTTAGATAACAAATACAAAGCTGAGTTTCACAGAGAACTTACTTTCATACTCATTAAGAGTATCGAATAAAGCTGGACCGATGACAAGAACTGCGTGAACATGGATGAAGTGTAATATTATTTCGAATGCTATGAACCAGACTATAATACGTACCAAGCGTATCATTAAAATTCTGAAAAGATCTCAACTTCATCTTTTACTTCATATAAAACTATATGCAACTACTAAATTTCCACTGGAAAAATGAAACAAAACATGCAGAAATAGTTTGAAAATGTATAACAAATAATATTTTTTTACTTGTATAATTAAATGATACAGGACATAAAATATATAAAAGCCTAAAGAATAACCGATTATGAGATTTGTTTTATTGATTTCTCGTGTTTTGTCTGTTAGAAATAGGAAAATAGGTCCATCTTTCATTTAAAATTTTAAAATATCCATTAAGAAAACAATCTCTGTTAAAGATATTTTCATGCTTTGAAAGTTTTTGTTTCTTTTTTGTAATGAAAATGATAGGAAAAAATTAGTGAGTAATGAAATGAACTGTTAGATATTGTTTAATCTTCCGAATGAGATAAGCATTCATTTTCACTAGAATTTCAGTACGTCACATTCCTTAAACGCAATGCAGCTTTTGAAATATTTTAGTAGGTTTCAAATAAAAAATCCTCTGGAATTTTTCTTTTTAAATTATAATAAAAACTGTTAAAGTCAATATTTAAAATCTTTTTTAGTTAAGAGGGTTCATCATGAGTCACTGTTAGCTTAATACCAGAGAATGAATAATAGTGGAAATGATCAAAGCAAGGAAAACATCCATTTAGAAATCATTGAGTTTCCCTTCAATACCAGTGTTTTATGCAAATCAACATTTGTACAACAATGTCCGTTTTTCTACATCTTATTATAATGCGATCAAATAAGGTTTTCAAAAAGTGAGTTTTTGTAAATAAATATTTTTTTTTAGTATCATTTTTTTTAGTATCCTGGATGACATCCTATTTGATCAAAATCCTCAAAAAATATTGTTAGAGTTGTTGAAATATAAAATTTTTGATCTATACAAATTCTAACATAGAATGATGTAAAATTTGTGAGTTACTAGCAAATTTTTTACTCTCTGTTTATATTGTGAACTGTTAACTGTCGCACTAATTCGAGAATTCCGCATAAAGTAGTCATCAGCTGGAATTTACGAATCTTTCAAATTAAGTAATCATTCTTCTTTTTAAGTCCAAAAATCTTTCTTGCGCATAGCTATTTGTTTGACTGTTGAGAAAAAATGGATGTATATCAAAAATCAAAAAAAAAAAAAACCTGTAATTTATGCATTTCATGGAACCATTTTCAATCTCTGTCATTTCTGCATCAAAATCATTGAATAAAACAATTAGAACAATTGAGTATGGTGGATAAAATATGTATTGAATATAACGGAAAAATAGTGAAGAACTGACGCTTATCTCCTTTGTTCGTGATAAATAAATGCAAAAATTAAGAATCTATAAAATGAACAGGTCATTTTCTGAAAAAATAGTCCTTAGATTTCAAAAAGGTGTAAAGTGGGTGAAGACAAAAATTTGAATGAAAACAGAGCTAACCTTCACAGTGCTATAAAGGTAATAATTGAATTCTCTGTAATAAACATCTTCAACTTTACTGAAATTTATGATTGAATGAATTTTGACTATCAACATTATAAGGGTAAACCAGTAAACTAGTTCACTACGCCAATAGTTTGCTATAATACCCATTACGACAGCCAACGTGAACACAATTACAACGCAAGTCGCACTGAAATTTATTTTATTATAGTATTTTAGCGAAAACAGATTGAAGTATAATTTTCAGTAGGAAGATATCGGTATGTTTTTTTTTCGCTAATGCTTAGAAATTGAAATGTAATTTCAATTTAGAAGCAATTTAAAGCTCAAAAATTCTGAAGAAGAATTATTTCTAGCTACCATTCCAACCTTGTGAAAAAGATCTCTGCAACAATCCAAAATGCCAACAATAAACACTGCGATAACTTCTTTGGCAGAAGGACTGGACAAATTTTGAACAGCACTGAAATAAATCACTGGTGTAATTTTGACAACTTTCAGTGAGAAAACAAAAGAAAAAACATAAAAAAATATAAACAAAAAAAAATTAGAAGTGTGTTGTGTAAAACAAATTAAATTACCCATATGTAAAGTATTGATAATCAATATTCTGCTTAGCGATTTGCTGTAAAATTCCCATTCAGCATCGGTATGATCTCTTTGATAACCATTTATATATCTGAAATTATGCGTTATTCAAACGAATGATATTTATGCTATTACTGGATTTTAAGGATTTATAATAGTTAAGAATAATTTTGATTCATTCATATTTAATGATAATTGTACTCTACTCTCCAGCGAAAGGTTTAAAAAATTTCGCGGTGGATTAGGGCGCGTATCCAAATGTAGCGCACCAATACCTAGTACTTCGATTTTCCATCCTTTAATTAGTCAATTTTGCTCATGGAGATTTCTTGTTTTAAGGGATAGAATTCGAATTTTACACTTTAAAATCGTACTCGCTAGCTTTCAGAACTATTTTGTGGCGAAAAGTGGAAGAGACATTCCATGCGACGTAAAATGCAGCGAAGGAATGTACTATCCAAACCAAAAAACAAATGGTGATTTCGACTGTAGGTAAGCGCGCTACCATATTTCTACTTGGCATTACCACCAATTATTGGATTGTTTATTCATTCGTTGTAACGCACATGCAACAATAATCATTACTTTACGCACAGGGAACAATACGAATCGCACACTCTTTCATTTCGTTTTCAAAATAATTGAACTATCATGGACTTTTTGCATTACTCCAACTCAGGTATAGTTTAAGGTTTGAAGGAAATACCTTGTAATCTCTTAAACTGATGCAGACTTTATACTAAATTCTAATTTTTTTAGGAGTAATCAATAAACATGCATGCAAAATTCTTATAAAAATTCAATCATTTATGCCAAAACTTATTAATCAATTATAGAAAGTTCCTAATGATCCAAATTCCTGATTATTTCAGTTGTGTTCTACGGATAACTCCTAAAAACATCTTGTATTTTATCATTGAACCATACTATACATCTGTATCAGCTACATTACAATAGCATTATAATTTGTAATACATATATCAAATATGCCGTATTGTAACTGAATAATTGAACTGATGTAAAAAAAAAAAAAAGATAACTGTTCTTTTAAAGAACAAAGATTTGTCAACAACTGAAAAAACTAGCAATTAAATTGAGCGAAATCGAATTTAAAGAATAAAATCAGATCAAGAAGAATGTGGTCACATGCCAATAATAAATAAAACGCCCATATTTTAGGCAAGCGACAATAAAAGCAGCTGTTGGCTGAACATTCAATCTTCTTGAATATAGCACTATAGAGAATGAAATGATTCACGAAGCAAACCGTTGACACTTAATGCAATGACATTTAATAATCCACAGTGTATTGAAATCACAAATGCAAGTGGTGTCTGATGCGAAATAGTAATATCTGATGAAAAGGATAGATAAATGACAATCAATTACTACATTGCTAACTGCATCACAACGCTCAAAGTAGTGAATTAGCATCTCAAATGATTGTTCTTTTTTTCCTCGGTTCCATCAAAGATAGCGAACTATTGTTATAATTTGTTTGACAGTGCATTACCTGAACATGCAATCATCTAAATCCACAGACTGATTTCATTAAATCCCATGACTGCTTTTTGAAAAGGCCCTGATGCACCCTCTTATCTTACCTGGAAATATTTGGTCCCTATAGAAAAAACTTTAGTAGCTTTGTTTTAGAAGATCAAGCTATCCTTGATGACTGCTCATCTACTTTACAACTTCTAAGTTGTAAAAATAGATGAAGAAAAAATGTCACCATAGTCACAAAAAATGGAAATGTTGCTGACGTGTATATCGTTGAAAGTTCACAATATTCACAGTCCACGCATTTTCACGATTAACTGAATACGTTGAAATTATTATTAATGCCATTCATGTGGATTCATCACTTTAAATCTTAATCTTTAAGCAAAATTCACTTCATTATATTTCTAAAATTAACTTTATGAACACTTTTGGATTGCCAAGAAACAAAGCTTGAAATGCTGCTGTGTATTCTTCAAATCAACAATTTCTTGGTCGGACGATATCAGCATCATTATTCGTAGCAGTTCCAAAAACATATGAAGTAATCGTCTGGAAAATTTCCCTTTTCCTTCTATGACTAAAAAATAACTCCAAATATTAATTGCATAAGTAACATGTATGCACAATATATCAAAAAAAAAAAAGAAATAAAGAACTGAAATGTATAACAAGAAATAGAAACACAAGCTTTTCTTTAAAAGAACAAAGTTATAAAGAAAATTGTCTTTCTTCATTTCACCAATTTACAGTTTAAAACAAAAAATCCGTCTGTCACTGATTCCAACCAATCATATTTTCAACAGAGATGCTCCGCTTTACTTCGATATGAAATATATGTCAAACAAAGTGTCTAACAATCATGTCCAACCATTCTATTTATTACAGTTGTCTATGTCATCACGCAAAGACAATATATCAAATAGTAAAACAGACCTGCAGTTGTGCCAGCAAATAAATGTCGAAAGATTGATTAATCATTGTTAACAAAATGGGTCATTTGGAACGTCGACTGACGACACGCATCACAGCACATATAATCAGTTGAAATTGAAATTGCCTACTACTGGCTCCGTTACCGTTACATACACAATAAGCAGGAAAAATGAAAACATTAACGTTGTTATTTGGTTATTTTTAAGAATAATCAAAAATTTTAAATCTCCTCAAGTAAATGAATTGCGAATTGTGTCAGTAAATACCGCTCAAAAGATCTGTCAAACCCATACGAATAAAACAAATAAATCAACTAAATAATTTGCACAAATTCGGATAGATCTGTGATACGTTTGCGACAAGCAGACTTATTGATGTTAATGATAGCATTGATAACGCTGCGACATTTTTCTGCTTTAAAAACATTCAAACCATGGAAAGTTTTCGAAGGCCTATTCCAAGGTTTATTGAAAGACTAAACAATTCGCACACATTGGGATAAGAACCTAGTCGACGATTCATTGTTTCCAAGGTTATTCTTGAAATTCCCTGCACCAGATAAGAAAACTGGATTAATCTTCAAATATGTTTAAAATACTTCTCAGTACAAAATCCGGGCCAAAGGAAACCAACTTGTTTCAGAAAAGCTGAAGATGATTTCTCCAGAGATGGACAATGTAACACTGTTCGCCAAATATGTAAAGGAAGAGGGGAGATGAGCACATGAGCCAAGAGTAAATAGAATCGAGCATTTATTAGCAGACCATGCAACACACATCAAGGATAAAACCAAACAAAAGAAACAGCTGTATTATATCCACATTTAGAAGAATAGTGAATCTTATATTATTATTATTATGAAAGAACGATGTAGTTGACGAAGTGGCATAACCGAAGTTTAACAATATAGTAAATGGTCAGCAGTATGCATGTGACACTATTTTGCCTTGATTTAAAGTTTCAATAGCAAAACTGGTTGTTAATAATGCATGAAAGCATGAATTATAGGGACCAAAAAAACCAGCCTAAAAAAGAAAGCCTACAGTAAGCAACATTTATCAACAATCAGAGCAAAGGCGCAAAACAGTGCATTAAATAATATAAAAGACAACGCAACCATTAAGGACTCCTTGATAAAACACCATATGTTTTGAACAACAGCGCCTAAAATATAGTTTTGATCATGATAAAGAACTAAATAAACTAAAAAAAAAAAGAAAACGAGTATTCTCTTGCAATGCTATAAAACGAGTATTATAACCTGCATATGATAAAAGATTCAATCCCAAATGTAGCCTTGGATGGAGAAAATAACCAACAGCAGCATATACAGAAGAAAGCTAAAACTAATTCAGTCAATAATTTGTTAGTGGAATAGAAATAACTGTTCAAAAACTGTCTTTTAATTAAACTTAGCTGGTTAAAAGATAATTTTTTCTTGAGGAAACAGTGTTTCTCTGATTTATATTAAATGCTTCTATAACTTCACGACTTCTGAAAAAAATCTATGTACATGTAACCTGAAAAACCTTTTTACATGCAGATAACATGTAAAGAATGATCCAAGGCCAGATAATATTCTCTATCATCAAAAAGGAAACTGCCAATCGCATAACCAATCCTAAAATTAAAGTGATGCAGTTGAAAAAAAAGGATTTGTGTTACAGAAACAGAATTTATCTAATTACAAAACTTGTTTTGTAATTTCAAACAACCATTAATTTAAACATTCTCGCACAAAGATTTTCAAACAACCATTAATTTAAACATTCTCGCACAAAGATTTTCAAACTTCAGATTCCAGCAAAAGGAGAAAAGTGCTCTCACATAAGCTGCACGGAACATACCAACAAGTAAAGCTTTCCACAAACGATTCACTGACGTACACGAAAAAGATGACAGTATCAATTTAATTGCCGTGTCTTCACCATTATTTTCATTCATGAAATCATCGAAAGATACAATGAAATATGCAGTAAGGATATAAGCATAGGGAAATTTAATGAAATTATTAATAAAAAATTAATAAATGGACATATATCTGGCCAAAAAAATATATTAGTTTTCACCTTATTGAAGTTTCAGATGGAGACACCAAATTTCTAAAACATTCGCCACCCTCCAGTGCAGGTGCATTTCGTAGCTCTGCTGAATATGTTTGGAATTAAGGCAAACCTTCAACAATATACAATTCTTTACAATGAATAGGAAATAAATACTGAAAGCCAACCTCCATCTAATCCACCCAAGATACTTCTAATGCGTTGGTCGGAGTTACGTAAAATGCGTTTCCGCCTCCTTTCGCGTATCCGTGAAATAGTCGTGCTTTCAGATTTCAACAGCATATTAAGAGATGTCTCCTCCATCCTGAAAATTTCCGTCGTTGGGTATAGGAATGATGAAATAGGTGATGTGAAAATTAAACCGAATACACCTTGAACCGATTACAAACGTCGCAATAGATCAACTTATAATTTAGAACTGTATTTCTGCAACAGCAGTGAATATAACACTCTATAAAACAAGAAAATTGGATTTACACCACAGAGTATTTAATAAAACCAATTTTCAAAACACTAACGGCAAATTTCATAAATACATAATGAAGATACAAAAATAAGAACAGCACAAAATTTGTACTAAGAAACTTACAAGAGTGTGACAAAGAAGAGTGAATTCTATGTTTTTTAAATATTAACGATAATAAATGCAAAAATGTGTTCAAAATTATTGTTGCAAACAAAACTACTTTTTGGTTGTGGGACGGAGCAGACCTTTCAACAGCTTCACATTCTCTGAGAAATGGCTGGAGGTAGAAATAACTGTACATGGCTAATGGGACAATATAAAACTAACCTATTCCACACTGTCATATGAAATTAGGTCTTTTTATGTTTCTAACCTCAAAACCAATGAATAAATTCAGCTGTTATGATTTGCCTTCGGAAGTCTCATGTTTAGCAAAGTCCAGTATAAAGCTTAACCATCAAAGGGAAACGTTGCACTAAAAGTCTCGCCACAACTCACAAATACTTAGGAATTTTGCAGTGAAATCACATCTTTCTTGTGGAATCCAAAATTTGTGCGATAACTGGAACAACTTCTTTGTTTCCCCGATATCGAGCGTGAATTTTTTCAAGCACGATAAACAATTTCTTCTCAGCAGCATAATTCGCCGCTTCAATTGGCTTTCTGTAATGCCTTTTCGTATTAAAAAAGCAAAAGCGTAACAATGTATTTCTTTTGATAGCATAGAAACGTTATCAGAAGAAATCATGATATATATATATTATAGTAATGAGGTTTGTTCATTTTTTGAGAACGAAAGAGACTCCATAAATTGACTGATTACTATGTTTCTATAACGGTATGCTAGTTTCTTAATAAAAACTTTTAATATGAACAAAATAAGTAAAAACTAACTCCAACAGCAGCAGGCTTTCAACCACATCAATGGGATTTGTAAGTTTCCCGATGAATGATCTACATAGAGACTCATTTCCATAAGTTGCGCAAGCTTCGATAAATGGCTGGAAATAATTTATTTAACTTTTTATTTAGCATTTTAACAAATGAAAATAAGTATAAAAGAAAAGGCTATGATACAGTACTGTGATCATTAGAATAATGTAGCATGAAAGAGTACAATTTGGTTTACCATGTGACTTGCGAGAACCTTTTTCGATCTGAATAAGCTTTCAAGATGATGCCATAATTTATTTCGAGCATAGCTTTCAATCTTCCACATGTACCATCTACAAAACGAATTTCGAAACTATGATGAATGCTTAAAATTTCATTATGGTATCGCTTTTTGTAATGCCTAGGCATCATTTTGAACAAGCAGCAAAATCGTCCAAACAACTGTCACTTGGCGAAACTATGAAAACAATTAAATATGATCAACTCAACTATGCAGAAGGGCCTTTTATGAAACCTAATATTATTAGAGTTTCATGCAAATCGTGGTTAGTTGATACTTCCTTCCATTTTTACGAAAAAACTTTAGTTTTAAGACCAATAGTCTCATTATTACTGATTAACCAGAACTGCTCCAAACTTTTTTTTAGTAAGATTTGGGATGCACGACTAAAACGAAATACAGCAACGCACCATAATGAGACGAGTTGAATTACTATAATTCTTATTAAATGACAATCAATTTTTTTTTTTTAAAATGTAAAACACTTTATCAAAAAACAAAAAGCAAAAGCATACGCTTTCTCAGTTAATTTAAATTTCTTCCTCAGCAATTCCGCCAAATTATCTTCCCGATGTCCCACGGCCCACATGTAAACACATCTAACACTCGTTCTGTCAACATCATTAAAATCAGGTTTTCTGTCCAAAGTTTCGCATATACTAAATAATTCCGCTGTTTCAGCAGCCAACTGAGCTGTCGTATGTTCCTAAAAAACAAAACTTCTGAATATGTTAAAATACCAATGATTCCAGTCATTAGTTCATTATAATATTAGTCATTTGTGTTCTCAAAGCAAAATGAACGGTACACATACTCTCAGCTTATTCAAACTCATCTCTGCTTTCAACAATCCTTCCACTTTATCCTTATTATCAAAAGGATTCCATGGCGTAGATTCGGACTCCTTCAAGTAGTATAACGATTGACGAGCAAAGTCGTCTTTCTGCATATACAACGCCAGAAGATGACGAGGTGCTTCCTCCTGTAAAAACTCCTTTCAAATATAGAACGCAGCTCAAATGATTATTAAAAGAAACTTTTGTTGACTGCATTATCGTTACCTTTAGGTAATCCTGATAGAGACAAAGGACCTGTGGTAATTTCAGCACAAGGTGATCGATGACTTCCTTCTTTTGCGTTCTTTTCAAATAAGTTAAAACGTAATGTACTGAAATGCACTAACTACTTTAATCGTAACAATTCCAAAAGTCTTTCGGTGTGTATGTCACATCAGCTTCAAATAAAATAGTACGTTTATATGGTAAATGTGCTAATAAAAACCAGAATGGGATTAAGCGCACTTACAAAGATCCGGCTGCTGACTTTTTGCAGCCTTTGCTAAAGCCCGATCAATTTTATTCAACTTCATAAGCATTTCGACCTGTCTGTTAAGACATGTTTCCCTATCCAGCAAAAGTTCAGCTAATTCATTTAAATTGGCACCAGCAGCTTTCATTGCGACATCTATAAGAATACATGCCATAACTTTATGACACGGAGCATTAAAAAGATCTCAAGTTACAAATTTAGATGCTCCAAGAAGATATCTAACCTGCAAAGCTAACTTCAGGATAATTTGTAAATTTGCTAACAATTGTTTCTGATAAGGCTTTAAAATCGGGCATTTTCCCTACTTCTTTTGCCGCTTTCGCCATTTCTACCTGAAGAAAATAAACAAACATTCGTTCAAACATAAAACATAAAAACAAAATCAATTGAAAACAAATACATTCTAAAGCAACAAAAGTTTAGAACTCAAACCACTGAAAACAGAGAAAACGGACATAAAAAATGGAGAATGAAACAAAGAAAAAGCACTCTTTTATCAAGAAACTACCTTCTTCAATGCCCAATGAGCCAATACTCTGTAAATTCCATTTTTCGAAGGTACCTTCATATATTTACTAATGGTTAATGCCAAAGGCCACTGACCCAAATCTGTAAGGCGATCAACCACAGCACTCATTTTCAGCTCCTCTGACCTGAAACAAATGATTTCATAACATAAATCCTTTTAGCAGGAAATCTCAACCATATATATAGTATATAGAGCTAACTATATATATACATTCTTGAATCGACCTACAAATAGCAACTGGACTGATACTTTTTAATACACATGACTGAAACTTTTGAAAAACACAGTAATTAATCAGAAAATATCCTTAGAACTACAACTTAACTGGAAAATAAGTTTTAACATGGACTTTCTTAGATATTTATGAGTTCTATTTCAATCTCAATTAAGACTGCCAGTCGAACGAACGCATTCAGTAGTGCATTGAATCACAGAATGAGTGGACTGAATAGTAAAATAATATTAAAAGAACAAATATTACAGTTTTCCCCACAACTTAGATGTAGTTTCTCAAATATATACGTTAGATCTTTGTGCATAAAGGCGTTTGATCATCTTATGAGGATCTTTTGAAACAGAAACTAAAAGGCCGTTGTAAACACACAAAGAAAGAATACCGTAATAAGATTGAACTCGACGTAGTAAGATGTTCAGTTTAAGTTTCAGTTTCAGTTTTTTTTTTTTTTTTTCCTCCTTTTTTGGCTTTTTAAACCATCTCCTATAAACTAACCCACTTGTTCACATAATTATTACCCCATAATGAAATTTTACTCGCGTCATTCCTTAAGAGCTCAGAATCAATTCATACTAATTTTTCAGAGGTACTGTTTTGTCCTTCGTAACTTTTACAAGTTGGAATGATCGACATGTTCGATATTGATGAGAAACAGATTTACAATTCCACGTCTGCTCAGTGACAATGAAACTCATTCCCACTATATGATAAAGCAGTTTTATTCTTTCTTCATATATCTGCTACAATCGTCAATAGTTTTTTGTAAATTCAGGCATAGTGTCGTAATATAAATTCGTTATTTTTGTACTATATAATACTACCATTATGAACATTATGTTAATATCAAAAACTTACTGCGCAAATGATAATGCCATCCCGATATACGGTTTTCGAAGAAAGTTCAGCACTCTGATAACACGGCAAATGTCAACAAACTGTGAAGCATCCTGTCGCCGCAACAGTGACTTCCCAAGAGATGCTGCCTTAATACATGTTTCATAGCATACGGAGCTTGAGGAAATTATCTACTACACTATCAGATGTTTTCACTTTTCAGTTCATAAATATAATCTTCAATTCTTTATGACACCAACTCTCAGCATTTTCTTTTGCGAGATAGTATCAAACTGATGCGCTGCAGCCAAAAGACATTGTTGTACAGCCTTCTCCATTTGATCTTCTGCAAAAATATAGGTGAAAAGGAAAAAGCCACAGCAGCAAACAACGTGAATGTTCCAGCCTAAAAAAAAATAAAACATGTTTACGTACTCATAAGCACTCACCAATCATGTTTATATACTCATAAACACCATACGTTCCTTCTATGAGTTTCTCTGAAGCTTCGTATAAAATGGCCCCAGGTTCCGGTGATGCGACACCCAGTACATCACCAACTGCGTCTGTAATATAGATACACATAAGAACTTGAAATCAGCAGAAAAACGTATTTGACATTGCGAATTCATTATACAAGTATAATTTTGATTACTAATATAAAATATAGACAACAAAGTTTGTGGTAGAAATAATGTCAAAATTGCATCGAATCAACAGAACATTAGCAATATTACATAATATAACGATAACCAGAAAGTAATCAGAACATGTAGAAAAATAATTTTATGTCACATTCAGTCATATTTTGCATAATCAAATCAAGCAAAATTAAAACAACGAACGTCCATGATAAAAAAACTCAATTCCTGTATTAGAAGTGCAAATTGTGTACACTAACTTTGGTATTCATACTGTAACGTAAAAAATCGTGGTTTTCACAATGCAGAAGATAAAAAAAAACTGCACAATTCAGCTGGACATCATGCTTTAAATATATGCTTGCGAAAAAAGAAAAAAAAAAAAACCTGGTACTTGCGATAAAAGAACAACTTCATTTGCAGTGAAAACTTTAATACCATCAAGCTCCATATCGATTTCCACATAATTTTCGAAATCATATCTGTATTTTCAATAAGAAGGAATAATGAAATCTGGATATGGATTGTAACGCTTCTTTTTAATTTGATTTACAAAGGAAAAATGAAGGCACATGAAGATTATTTGACTTTAATTCCTCTTCTCTTTTCATCCCATTACTAGAAAGCAGAAAAGAAATTGAACAAAAATTAAATTGTGTCAATGAATATTCTTAAACTTTTAAACGACTTACACATGCGTCTCCGAGCATAAAGAAATCAAGTATAAGGATTTACGAGCACGTTTCAAAGCTAATACCTCACTGCCACACCTAAAAGGATGGTTGATTGTCATCCAAAAATTTTAATAACCACTGGAACCAATTCAACTACCTTGGCCTCATTTATCTTATGTCTCATTTTATGGTGTGAGCAGTTTTAAAACTAACCAAGTAAGGCTAGATGTTACGATCGAGTCACCAGCAGTAAGAAGAGATAAAGTAGAAAGAAGTGAAAAATCTGAATCAATAATCTGAACAACAAAGCTCGAATGAAGTAGAGTCATTCGAGAACTGTCCCAATTTGGAACAATATTTATGTATTCTCCATGATCGAATTTCCATGAAAGATCCTGAGAAGAGATCGAATTTCCATGAAAGATCATAAAATATGCTTTGGAAAATAAAGCAGGAAAATAAACCACTAAAGCAATGGAAAAAAAAAAGCAAACCAGAAGATGTGGTGCAAGCCCTTGCATGCCCGCATAGAAGGCATTACCAATAACAAATAAAATAGTTACTTGTACAGATGTAAGCACATTCCAGGCAGATGGATGACTTGCTTCTACAACAGATTATTGATTTCCTCCTCATTCATATTAGAATGAATGCAAGAAGCCTTTTTCTTAGAGCAGTTTATTTCTTTGATAAATGTTAATCGACCATTGTTTAAGAAGCCTTTCACCTCGTTAAGCAGAAAAATTAAAATATAAATCAATTGGGCTTTTCTAGTAAATATGATATCCATGACTAATTTATTAAAAAAAAAAAAAAAAAATACTTGCAACATCAGGAATGCGCCATGGAATCGCTTCCATAACCGAATTCACCGCATAGATCCTATTATTTTCGGAAAGAACTGCTAAACCTGCATTACCGACTCCTCCATGATATATACGTGTTTCAGTAACGGTAATCTCCTAAATACATCTGAAGTGAAAAAATAACCTGCCCTATATATGAAAATTACTCATATAAAAAAAGTAAAACAGACAACCTCATCGATCATGAATTGATACTTGAGCTTGCCAAGGGGAGTGTAAACAAGAACACGACCACGAATATTGACAATTACAAGCTGAATTTAAAATAGAATAAGCGGAACTTTAGACAAGAACTGGAAGTAACCAAAAATGCAACTTAAACATTTCTTCAAAAAGCAAGAACGGTGAATCTTACTCTATGACAACGAGTCCAATACATGGAATGAACATTGTGGGCTTTGAAAGTTGAAAGTTTTTTTCCTGAGCTTGTTTTTATCATAACACTCCAGAAAGAAGTATCTGGTACTGCAACAGCTGGAAAACACTATCTTGTGCAAATTGTTTACATCATAAATTCACTACTGCAAGCATGTCTCAATGCAAAAAGGAATGTAATTATCCACTTAGCTAGCTATTAAACTTCATAACATCCCATGTTATACTGATACTGTCATATGCTTTCCCCACATGACTGAGGAAAGGAAATTCTCTGTCGAAAGTGCCAAACCGACCTCAGAAGTTAGTTCCAACCGCAAAGCAAAGATGAACAAGTTGGACAAGATCAACAGAGACTAATATATTACCTACGACTTGAAACTCTATAATGAATATTTACTCGTTTGACTCGAACATAACGTGAAAGACGACAATAGCCTTCGTTCCAAGATGGTGAAGAAATTTAGTGAATATCAAAACGATACCTACAGGACCTCCATAAGGAGAAGATGCGAACAGACATTTGTCACTGATATCATAACAGGTATTTTTGAATAAAATGTTGCTCCTGAAACATTTTCCTGACCAATACAAACCAATACACGTCTTCTAAAGCTGCATAGTAGAAATCATTCAGAATTTGAAACTGCAATGGAATGATCTTATCTTATTCTAGTTTACTTCGCTATATTCCCACTTATCTCTGTTTTAATTAATTGGAATAGATGAAATGAAAAATGAGGACCTTATTTTGACAGGACTGAGATATTTCCAGTCGCTTATTTCGGACTTCATTAAAGTTTACCGTTGAACATTAATGCACTGCCGAATATATGAAATCGGTGACGTGCACTTGACAACCACAGAAAAGCCTCGGAAGCTAAAAAGGATTTAATGAATTCTCCACACATAAGTTTACCAAATATTTCATATGACGCTGCGATTGCACTACTGAGTACTCTCAAAATCTATAATTTGATCTATAAGACTCACAAAAGAAACAGAAAACGCCTTTAAACATATCAAACTCCTTCGCAAGGCTAGTTCGTTAACAACGGATTCACAAAAGGGTGGAGAACGAGTTATATACACTTAACAAATCTTCGCCACGCGGCTTCACTCTCTCACTTCTCTCCACCCATCACATTTTATCGTTTTGTCCATATGAAACTGTCATTGGGCTTGGCAGCGATTTAGCAGGTTCGCGGAGGTAGTTGAGGTTTGTTGCGGAGGAGGACTAGTTTTGTTGAGTTCCTGGTCACTCCTTTGCTTGTGACCTTTGTTTGCTCCCTATATTGATGAATAAGAACACTTGTCAACCTCTATTAGGTGTGAAGTTTCAGTTTGGATATGGAAAGCTATTAATGTCCAGAAAAGCACACCATTACTGAAAGGAAATTAGCTCGCTTGGCATGTTTTTGTTCTGATCATATAGTTCTTTTTTTTCTAGTTGACTTTCCACAAACCCTTAAATATGCACTTGTATTTTCTTCTCTAATAGATAAGCATTTCATTTAATTCATGTTTGCTGTCAGGATGTATGTTTAGTTCTGGCTGTAATATTGCGAAAAGTGCAGAAGGAGATCGGATGAAAGTTAGTTTATTTTTCAACAAAACGGATAATCTGAGCAGAAGAAATGATTGCTGATATGTCGTCACAATATGTTACAAGTAGTGGTATGTCGTAAAAATTATCTACTTAAAAGGAATATTTTGTGCTAATGGTAGATATTTTTAAAGTTAACATATACTTGTCTCTGGTTTGATATGTAATATACCTATTTATCATATATTAGCACAAATCTCATAAATGATATGTCTGCAGTAGCTGGGCGCCCATTTCAATGTGCCGATTGTTCTGCCGCAGATCCTCAATGGGCTTCCTTAAACAGAGGCGTTCTTATTTGTTCGGAATGCTGTTACATCCACAGAAATCTTGGTTACTTTTTGTAGTTTTTTCGTTATTTTTTATTAAAGGTTATTTATTCGTTAGGTTGGTGTGTAGTTACGGCTATTGCAAAAATCCCGGATTAATGAAGGTGTCACTGAAGTGTTCCAATAAGCTGACATGCATTTTTTATTGCTTTGCTAGCTGCATTTATTGATAGTTGTAGATCACATCAAAATTATGCAATTGATATTGCAATAGATGAGAGTGTGACTCAAATTAGTGTAAACTCGACCGACTTCAGTTACTGAAATCATGCTTATGTAACTAAGTTGCATACTGGCTGAAAAGTTTAGTAGTTAGTAGTTACTGCGTGAATGTGATGTCGATTTATCTGAAGTAATTTAATGATTTTGTGTGACTGAGTATGAAAGTTTTTGCAAGGGGTACAAATGATGCATACAGTTACGTTTCCATGTTTTCAATGTGAATGTACAGGTCGTCATATCAGCCATGTTCGTTCAATCAAAAAAGGAGCTTGGAATAGTAGTCAGCTAGAATTGATGTATGTTTTATATTCTAATGGTTCAAATAATATTTGGGAACATTCGCTTCTCGATCCTCAGTCTACCAATAAAATTCGAAGAAAACCGACACCTCAGTGAGTCATCACTCTGAAATTTCTATATTCTAGCTGTCGTGTTTTTAGCAAATTCCCTAGAAATGATTCATTTTGCTGTTTTTCTGAGCCACTTAGTATGTGAAACCATATGTTTTAATGAATAGATCTTTGAAAGTTTGAAAACGATTTTTGTTACTACAATGGATAAGCTGATATTGGGATTGGAAGTAATTAATCGACAAGATTGAAATTTGCTAAGTGCAGGGAAATATTTTCTGAAAAGATCGATGTCAACCTTTATTTTATGTTTTTTACATTTTTTATTGATAAAACAATTCTTGTAGTGACCCTGTTCTCCCCATTAAAGAAAACTTTATCAAAGCAAAATATGCACAAATGGCTTTCGCTCTGCGTCCAGCAAAAGATGATAATTGTATTAGTCAAGATGATTTAAATCGCCAGCTTTGGTCTTGTGTAAGGACTTCTCATGTGGAAACAACTATGAGGTATATATAGGATTTGTTGAAGAAGAATGAAATAATATATCCCATTCATACTTTGTGGAATTTTTTAGCACAGGATTTTCGTGGTATTTATATTTTTATATGCAGATGGGGGTGCGTTTATGGTTTTTGTGCACTTCAAACTAATTCATCATATGTTTTAGGTTATTAGCATTGGGTGCTGATCCGAATTACACAGATCCCGAAAAGCATAATACACCCCTCCATGTTTCAGCCAAAGAAAATCAAGCTTTGCAGGTTCCTTTTTTTTTTTCACACTGATTTACAATTATTGCTTTATTTATCAGTTAATTTCTAGTGCAATATTCAGGTTGAATTACTTTGGATTTATGGAGCTGATCCTGCACAGTTGAATGCCATAGACTTGACTCCTTCTCAAGTGGCAAAGCTTGAAAATCATGTAAGTTTTATTTAATAGGATCTCGCTTATTGATTACGGTACTCAATTGTTATATAAGACCTTTTGCGATTATCTGTCGAACATGTGAAGTTTGTTGGTGGTGACTCACTAATTTCTCATTTCTCCGAAGTTTCGTTTTGATGTACAAGTTCGGTTAATTTATCGATCCTTTTTAATTAGTCCATTCCACTGCTTCACGGAGAGGAACGAGGTTGGCATTCCTTGTTTAGCGGTATTATTTCTTTAGATCGAACTCGCTGCAAGACTGGAACAACTCCAGTTTGAAGTTACCAACCGTTTGACAATGTTTTTATGTGGACGACGACCAGATCACTCTAAGCAACAGTATTTTTTGATTCCAGAGTTGGCAGGACAGTACACTGAAAATGTGCAAATGAAATCAGCTCGACGACGTCTTCGTTCTCTTCCTTCGTATTACTTTGAACGTTTTGTTCAAGATGTTTATGATGAGGTTGTATTTTCGCATTTGTTCTTTTTTTGTTTCTAATTTTCAAATGAGTTTCAAACAAATTTGAATTAATAGGTAGATCGCCGAGAAACAGTAACGGCTTGGAATGCTGTCATTCAAGGAATCCAGCCCTTCTCTCTAGGAAATGATCACTGTGTCGCTGTTTTTTTGCCGGTATTTTTTTTAGCGATTTTCTGAAGGTTTGCTAAGTAATTGTTCTAGTCATAGGTGCATATTATGTTATCATATTCCAGTTAAACTGAATTCAGTTTCTTTTTTTGAGCAGTAAACTTCTCAACAGTGAATCTTCTCTATTTATTGTAGCCCAATCCTGAATTATCAGCTACACGTAATCAGCTCCGCCAAAAACTCGCAAAATGTGATGTGCGAGGATTTGCAACATTAATCATAGATATTCTCAGTGAAGCTAAACGAAGGTGAAGAAAGGGAACGAGTTTTACTTTTTCCCTCCATTTTTAATGTATGCATTTGTATAACACCCTTTTCCATGAATAAAAAGTAACGTTTTCTCTGGACCATATTTATCATCTTAAATTAAGTAAGCTAGGTTTCTAAAATATGCGATTCTAGATATTACGGCTTGCCACTAAAAAATGATACAGATGATTCTGCCGAAAATCTATTGAAAAAAACTTCAGATAGTATGGACCGTTTGAATATCAGTTCCATGGGTACTTCCGAGTATCTTTTTCGTATATTTTATTTCTGTAATTGTATTTACATGTTTTTTGTATGTGGGATTTATTTTATCCTTTTATTAAGTTTATTTTTGTTTATCAATATCTTCTTACTAAGCTTGCTCTTTTTTCTATATATTGTATGTTACAGATATTTTACGTCATTTAGTGAACAAGATTATAGAGACTATGACGAGGTTGCTGACAGCTTGCAGAATGGAAAGTGGCGTACTTCAGGAAGTACTAGGTCCTTTCATCGCTTTTTATTGTGTTAGGGAATTTTTTTTCCTTTAAAACTACTTTTTATTCATTTCGAACTTGAATTATTCCTAACAAAGATAATAAATTAAGGAAATCATCAGAAAGAAAAAGCGATGATAGTGGTGACCTATTGCAAGAGACGGGTCCTGTCATGATTGACGATTTTTTGGAGCTCAAAGAAAAATTAGCGAATACCGAAGGCACGCTCGCTGCTGTTCAGCAAACAAACACACAGATTTTAAGGTTAATATAACTGAGTTCTATGGAAAGTTGGAAATGAACGGAAGTCTTGATGATAAGAAGCACGATCTTTTCTGTAAAAAAAAAAAAAAAAAAATAAAACAACATTGATATTTTGTCACATTAACTTACATGATGATTGTCACGTCATTGCTTTTATACATTTTCACTTTTAATTTCAGAATGCTGACGCATTTGCAGTCTAATATTGATCGTTTAAATGCGGATAATGCAGATGTACACGACCAGCTTAAAAAAGTGAAAACCACTTGTTCGCAGGTGTTTTACTTAAAAATTAAATTTTAAAATATTCCTAAATCACCTTCCAGAACCTTAATATGATTTTTTCTTATGAATCAATCTCATTTCTAGTTTTTTGCTACAATATTTTACTAGTACTAATCATCTCGTTGTTTCTGAATGCTTATATACCGAGATTATTTTAGGCAGTGGGTAGACGGCGTTCATCTCAATCTCCAGCTCTCTCTCCCGGAACCTCAGTCTCAACTTCCGTTCTAGGCAGTAAGAATATAACTTCAACTTACCATGCATCTACTGAAAAATCAGTCACTGGTTAGTCTATATCTATTGGCTGTGCTTTGTGAATGTTGCTTACTGAGTATTTTATTTTCTATATTTGTTTGAATTTAGCATCACAAAATCCTGATATGCATGGTGCTTTTGGTCGTGCCAGTCGTCGCCATGGCTTAACGTCCTTAATGAATACTACTGGCAGAACAATAGCACAGCACCGTTCGTTTTCACTAAGGCAGGGCACGGTGCAACAAACAGAATACAGTAGTGGAGTTGAAGGTTTAGATCCACATTTTGGAATTTCATGTTGTGAGAAGACTGATTTATTAAATGCTGTTGACGAAAGAACTGAAGAAGAAAGAATGCGGAGTTCGTATCGTAGTATTGGTGGTAAATTATTTCTTTATTGCTCATTTTTATTTTTTTTGGATCAAGGAAGTCTTGAAAAGTTATGGAGAAAAGTCCCACTTATTTTTATATTTGATCTTGAAGATATATGGATATTCAAAAATTCATTGCAATAACTGATGATAATCTTTCTCTGATACTATATGTTAGACTTGAAAACAATATTGTATAATTCCCGATGTTTTCGAGAAATGCTCTCTTAATTTACCCGAACATAAATTGAAAATTTTGACGTTTCATCGTTATATAAAACTTTCCTTTGTTGGCTTTACTTTGCTTTGTGCAACACATTATATAGCGCCGGGTTTCAAGCACGATATTTAGTGATAAATCTGAGGCTATGCAAACATAAACGATATCCAACTTCGGACATTTGCAGCATTTACCGACAATTTAATAGCAGAAACAGAACAGCTAACACATGCGATTAAGCTACTGTTAACGGATGCACAATATGGACAGTTGCAGGCGCGTGCACCGGATCACGCTTATTCAGTTTGTTTCTTGCTTCCATAATTTCAGTAAATCACGTTGTATTTATAGACACTGAGAAGCGGATAAAGTTTATATTCACTTTGATTTTCTGTCCTTCTTACTGTTACATTGAAAGCAATTTATAATTTACAAAATATATACTAGGTCACCTGATTGTTGCCCGTGGTGTATAGATTATTTCAGGTTGCTATACTGATAAGTCGTATTTTAACCATTATTCCGGAGGAACGGCGTACTCCTGCAGTTGAAACGTGCTTGCAGAGAATGTCTGATTCAACAGTTATTTTATCTGCCAAGTGTAATGCACCAACGTTCAGCGTAAATGATACATGTGCTGCTGCATTCGCTGTCGCTAATTCCGCAAAACAACTATTAGTGAACGTTCATCAATTCTAATCTTGGTATTGAACAACTTGTACTTTCGTTCTATTACAGTGTCTGAAGTATGATCAGAGATATTACACATGGTGCGATAAAATGTGATTTTGAACTTTTTAGTACCTTTTGTCGTAACAATAAAAATTTTATGAGATGCGGAATGCGTACCTTTCTTTTCATTTTATCAAGCATTTTATGTCAGTTCTAGTTTTTTTGTCATATTCAAAATATTTTTTATGGAGGGGAAATGAGTTCAAATGTCATCTGTAATTATTTTTCAAGAAGTAAATGGAAGAACTGAAGCATCTAAGTTCAAGCCGAATGCTGTAGTTATCAAGTGAGTTTTAGCTTCAGGTGGTATAGGGACTAAAACTGGGAAGAAAAAAAAAAAGAAAGAAGATATGGAAGATAAGATTTATAATACTGCATTAGCTGTGGACTGTTTTATAGAAAATTTTCCAGACATTAATGATCACTTCTATATTCGGAATTATAGACAATGTTGACGAAAAATAAGAAGCTTGAAGCTGTAGAGTGGTAGCTTTATTTATGTAAATTGCTCTAAATTATCAGTCATTTTTATCCATGCCTTGCCTCATTTTGTAAAATTATTGAAATCAACATTTATTACGAAACAGTGTTGGACGGCGTAAGTGTTAGGAATTGGAGGGGTTTACAATAAGACATTTCTTATTTCTAGGCTTACTCAAATAACAGACTTCCATCGATAAAACCATTATTTACTGTGTTCCACTCAAATCGCGTTGTATGTTACATCCTTCGCAGTGAATGGAATGTTTAGCGCTGCATTTCTTGTACTTGAAATTTACGCTGTTTGATACTAACGAGAAAACATTTAAATAATTTCTAACCTTTCCTAATCAGATCGTTCTTTAAGAGGGCCATATTTAGAAACACAGCCCATGGAAGTGTTTCTTAACTAAAATCACTACTTTTCAATAGTATTATCCTAAAAAGTGAAAAACAAACATCTAGAAATTACTATTCTTTTATCAGTGCTTCTTCCTACGATTACCGGAAACAAGACACTAATATTTACTATCCTTACGGGAATGTCCAGTGTCATTAGTGTTTTTATGCACCTTCCGCATTTCAGTTTTAATCTTTAAGACAGGTAATTTTGTGATGCAAAAGGGAAAATAAAAAATGAATTGTAACACATTTCTTGGTTAAATGTGAACACTAATGGCATTATGCAAATAAAATGAACTTGCTGGACAAGCATAGCTTACATCAATATTTCGGCTTCACTAAGGGGATCATCATTGTCCAATTCAGAGTCTGAGAAGTGAATTAGGTCATTCTCATTATCATAACTAACCGCCCCAACAGCAACAGATTCAGCATCATTAGAACTGGAACAGATGACAATTTCATTCTGGAATGCAATTTCCAATTGCAGCTGAGCACCAACGACGGAGGATACAGTAGTGTCATCACACGGTGTTACAAGTTGACGATCCCTCTCGGTGTCATGATGGCCAGAACTGGAACCTTCTCTATCTTCTACCAAATGTTTTTTGGTCTTTTTTGGAGAAGCATTACCCTCTAGCAACTCTCCTTTTTCTTTCTTCCTATCCTTTTCCTCCCCTTGCTCTTTTTTTTGCTCCTGTTTCTTATCCACATTTTTCTTACTACCGTGTTCGTCCCTCTCTTCGTGTTCAATTACTTCCACTGTTTGGACAAGTTTATTGAAGTTATCCTTTGCTTCGAATAAGTTTGGGTCCCGGTCAGAGATTGGCTTATCCTGAAAATTATTAGTCCTTTAGTAGTTCTTTGAGTAAGAAGATTCACCTTACATGTTGTAGTCTTTGATTAAAAATGTTGGCTTACTTGAAAAGGAACAGGAAAATTAAATTATTTCTCTGTACAAGTTCCATTAAAGCAGTTTACAATCTTGGATTTCAAAACTCGCTTTACTATGTCCAAAAACATTGCTGAGACGAATACGATTATTGGCTGCTCCCGTTTTGTCTGTGTTGGTAAGTTCACCATTTTTGAAATCATTATCAGCCGGAGTGCGTGACGGAACATTTAAACGATAAATCGAATTCGGACGACCAATGTAGCTCACTTTTTTCTGAAAATACTACCTGCATTCTGAATTTCATGTTTTTGTTCAGAAGAATTCTCTTACGAAGTACCAGCAACAGAAATTTGAAGCAAAGTCCAATTAAAATGTTTGGAACTTGAAACAGTTTTTCAGATATTCAAATCCTATGCACACATCAGAAAATCGGTAAGGAATGTGTTTTTAACAATTTTGTCTTAGCAAGAAAGAAACTCTAAATTATTAAACGTAAAGATGATTTAAGAATGAAGCGAGTACTGCGGAAAACGTTTAGATCTTTATTTCATGCTGTTTATCCTAAAACCATATTTTTAGATAGCCGTTTACACCACCACTGTTTTGCTGAATCACAGTTTGTAAATATAAATCTAAAACTTAGAATGAGAAATCTTAAAAATAAAAATGCTATCATAATAAGTATGGGTAATATGTAAGTTATGGCAATTCTTCTACGCCCGAAAATGACTTCGACTTCGAAACAATTTTCGAACCATGGATGTTGTAGCTATGGCATGAACCATATCAGTCATGTTTAAATCCATTCCACAACTATGGGACTGAAGTCGATGAAAGTACTGTGAGGACAATTCTGTGACCGACTAGTCGCTTAGTGTAGAATTAATTGTATGAAAAATTTGTCAACCATTATTACGAAGAATAAGCAGCAAATGATAATTTGAATTATTTTCATATTATTTATTTATATTTTTATTTATCTCATATTATTTATTCTGCTCTAAGACTCACTATCTTCTGTCAAAGACCACTAAATTATCAAAAATGATTATTAATAATACGAATTACTTCATCATAACTACGTGGATTTTGTCGATATGAAGGTACAAAATAATGATTTGTATCGAAAAAGCCGCGGTTCGAGGCCCAGTTCATGCGACGATTTGAAAAACGATCCATATAACTGTTATTATAATCAGATCGGCGGTAATGTGTACTGCTGAAATATCAATTGTGAAATTTTCAAACATATAAAATTCATTTACTCTACCATCATGTCTTGCTGTTGAATCATTCTTTATCACATCATAACTAATTGATTCTCTACGAATTTCACAGATTTCATAGAAAGGCAAACATAACATGTAACATACTCATCAAAAAAGCGACTTCGTCGTGTCCGGTGTCTTAATTTAGAAAATCCATGGTTTTCTGGAGGGTTCGTCTCAGGAGGGTGGAGTTCGAATTGTGGTTCCTCAAGTGACAGATGTTCTGATGGGATGGAAACGAAATGCAGTGACTGGTGACGGCATACTTGTCCAGCAGTTGTTATCCACTGAGCTAAAATTTAGCGCCGTTCATAGGGTTTTAAAAAAAGAACTGAATCAGTAGAAGTGCTTACAGTTTTGAATGACATTAGCCAGATTGGTCATCCAGATTCGCTGGTCACGAAGACTCATTTGTTGAAGGACACAACGTGACCATTCCGGATCATCGATTGTACATGTAAGTGTATCCTGAATATGCCATACTAACATGTCTTTTTTAAATTCTATTAAATTTAAGCAAGGTTCTTCTTATCAAAATTATCACACTCAAGACGTCGCTAAATATAAATAAGAATATTCAGAAGAAAAAAGCTATATCACCGCAAGAGTGCATCCATTCCTTCCGAGGGGCCCATCAATGGGAAAAATAATATCGTTTCCATTGAATGATGGCATCAGTAATCTGCAATTAGTTTTGTAATCAACATGACCTAGAAATTAGTATTTTTATGCGAACACCATTTAAATTTGTTGGGTGAAGATTAAATGGAAAAGAAAGATACTACACGAATGCTGTTGACACACAGTTTGTCATGTATTTCAGGAATTCTTAAATTTTTATCTCTCTATGAAATCTGAAACAAAATTGCTTGAGGAGATCAGGTAGATGATGCCTATAGCAGCTTTCATTATCTGAATTTTTGTCCTATTGTGTCAATTTTCTTTTGCCTTCTTTCTCATTTGCATAAATCCAATAAAGAAAAAAATGGCTTCGTGTTTTTCCTGATGTTTTTTCAAGTTCGAAAGTTTTTAGGTATCTGAAATAGAAAAGATGACACCACAGATGAATAACAAAAGTAAATAGAGTACTTTTCCTCGACAGTGCGATCAAGCATTGGATTTTGTTCAACTATAGCGTGCATTTGCGATCGTGCCACCATGCAACCACCGTATTCGCGAGCACGAGTTGCCATGATACGGTTTACCTCCATATATTTATCACTACCAAATCCTGAAGTTCTCATTATTGCTTATAAGTGAACAATATTTTTCTCCAACAATCGCATCCTTTTGCATATTGGAGGGATTTTATCATTACAATTTTTTTGAGCTACTGGCTAAACTTCGTTCAGGAACTTTGAGCTTTTGCAGTACCAGGCGAACATATATTTTTACTGGAATGTAAGATTGCTTTTACAAAGATTTGGAAAAAAAGTTTTATTTTCTATAGTCTCCTTGATGTAAATAAAGGACATTTACACCAATATGAATAAACTAAAGAATTTAACATATGTAAACCTTGTGAAAGTGAATCAAAGATAACCTGGAGTAAATTCAATCAGATTCATGCGATAAAGAGCCATAAGCTCATCCCAGTAGTTTGATTTATCTGGGTAGCTTTTAAAGCAAAATGGTAACAGTGCTTGAGCCTGATGACCACGTGATATAAAATACCACAAGGCAATTGTTATCCCACGTGCGCTTAATTTCTTCACAGCATTTGCGCCTTTAGAATAGCTAAATAAACCACTTTTCTTGGTTATTCTAGATTTATTAAGCATGAGGAAATAATTGGTCTCAGGAAGATAGTTGAAAATAAAAAAGATAGGCAAAACCATTTCTTAATGATGAAAATATCAACAACCAATGGAATTCAACAGTATTTCGTAGTAACCGTTGCCATTTTCTGTAATTTCTAATCATTAAGCTTCTAAGGAATTTTTCGAAATTTTTGGCAAAGAAAGTGCTAATTTTGAATAAAACAAAACTGCATTGATTTAAACTTGCATAGCAACCAATTATGCAGATTGGTTGTTATGCAAATTTAAATTTGAACATAGGATTGCATACGCGAAGCCAACTTCAACACCATTGATAAAGATGGGACGAAGAAGACGATTCTGACTTCGTTCTGTTATCTTGTCTGATCCATTGGTAAAAATTACAGATAAAGGCACTCGTTCAATCTGAAAATTTGCAATCGATAGATTACCATAACAATATTTTCTAATAGTATGAAATTTTTTCTCATCCATGAAAAATTTTGTATTTTAGAAAAATGAATTATGTAAAGAGGTTGTATACTAAAATATCACACAAAAATTCAAACCACATTAGAGGAAAAAATGACTTTTGTTAGAAACGTAAATTATATGTTTCAAGACGTGAAGAATGCCTAGATTCACATTGAAATCACTATACCAATAATGACTTCATTTCCGAGTAGGAAGTATGAGAACTTATGTCTATATTTAATTACTACGATGCTAGCTTTTATTTTAGACTAAAGCACTAATTATTCTAAGACCATAATATATGAAATTTTATATCTCTTAAAGCATATCAGATTCGACAACACTCCTGATTTAATTTACACTGCTGAGTTTTTCAGAAATATTATGATTTTTCAAACTTCAATGAAACAATATACCGGAAACCAGATTTTGATTTTACAATATATAACATTAAGAAAAATGTAACTTTCTAAATCAAAACAAGTAAAAGTATAGATTAGGCACACCTAATTTTCCTACGTAATTACTAAAATCTAAAAGATACAAGATATGTTCTTAAATATTGGTGTACATCATTTTTACAGCAACAGAAGATGATAATATCAACAAATGGCAAAAAGGTCACAACTCAATAGTGTTATTAATTAGAATCTTTCTAAAAGTAAATATTAAAGATGATACGGAGAAAAAACAAAATAACCTTTGGAACTCGATCTGGTTTTGTAGAACGCATTTCGAGAGTAGTTGTAAGCCAACAGAAAAAAGAAAATGACTTCGAAATGAACTGGTGAAGTCACACGCAAACAACCAATGCTAATCTAATGTATGCTTTATTTTAGAAATTGTCTTACATTTATAGTCACTTTCACATTTTGAATAAATTTTGTTCCAAAATATGGTTTTTCCAATTTGCATATTGATTTTGAGTGCTGCGCTTTAAAGCATTGCGCATTCAGTAAGTCATAATTTCTGCATTTAATTGATGACCTGAAGAGGTCATACGATTATTTTAGTATGAACTTTACAGAAACAAACAGAGACGAAGGCATTTTGTTATTGAAAGAAATAATCATGCTTTCAACCTGTTGATTTCATAAAGTGGTTTTTAGGTGAGTGTCAAGTCTGGAAAGCATTTCTAAATTCATAAATGGTACAGGAGAAAAAAAGAAGAATCAAAGGATTAACACAAAATTTCTCGCTATTGTATCTCATTTACCTACAGGGATTACTCTGCTTGTGCTCTTTATGAATGTTTAGTTAACAATATGAATCTTCAATCATTCGAACAAACTGATAAGTAATATGCACGTAACTTCAATGGAAAAATCTTTGCTTTTGCAATATAAATGAAACTCAAAACTTCAAGTTATGCATTCGATAAACGAGTTTACTCTATATTTGACGGTGACTCGTCGTTTTTGTTATACCACTATTACTCGAACCTTAAATTTTTGTTACTTTTGACATTGAACGTAATGAAACTATTCATGTAAGTGTAATATTTCTCCTATTTCCATAATTATTTTCTCCATACTTCTTTCTTAGGCCAGTTTTTTTTGAATAACGTTTAGCACAGAGTCATTTGTCCATCACTTACTGTAAATGGAACAAAGAATACCTGTTTCAATATCTGAACCTTCTTCACTTTTCTTTTATCTTATATTGTCACGAATGAGTAAAATGCCTTGTGGTTGGTTCTCTTTCTTGAATCATAGAAAGTTTTTTCATAAGTTTTCGACTAGTTGAAAATGTATTTTCCCATATTTCTTTTATTTCCTCGTCTTCCTTGTGCCAACATACATGTTAGCACACTACTAATGCATGCATCACTTGTATTTATGGAAATCTAGACACTTGCGTGCACAATCGGACAAGCGTTTGGACTTCAGTTTTTCATAGTTCGAATTATTGAAGACAAATTGATTACTTTGTTCTTTTTTCAAATTAAATAGTTTCTAAAAAGATTCCACGAGAGTTTCATGTAATGAATTTTTTCGCCTGGTTTTACTTTTACAAAAGTCAGAAAACGAAATAGTTTCTAAGCCAAAAAATAAGATATTTTTTTAAATGACACAAATCGTTTTATTTGAAATCTCTGAAAGCTACTGTATAATACTGGAGAAATTATATTTCAACCAGTCGATCGAAAATTTCGATTTAACGCGAAGAAAAAAAGTCAGTATCGCACTACATATGAAAAATAACAGCCCTATGCAAAGAATGTAAGAGATCATCTCAGCTTACATCAAATAAGTAACAATTTCAATGTTTTCGGTTTCTTTTTGTGATTTTCCAGTTCAGTTTTCATCGTTTCTGCCACAGGATTGCCAGATAGCAATAGTTGCGTTAAATTTGGTAAAGATGTGTACAGGCGGTCAACATCTATTTCTAAAAGTAAAAGTAATATTTTACGTTAAAGGCATCACTAGTTCTTTGGCATTTGGGTGTGGAACGTAATGTTGATTGGTGTTAACACTTGAGTACAACGAATAAAAATGTAAAGAAAATTACCGGTGATGTTGTTGCCGCTAAGATCAAGGTATGTAAGCTGTTTCATGTTGAAAATACCAACAGGAAATGTTGTTAATTTATTATTCGATAAATTCATTCCCTGCATTGCAGTCCATTCACCAACTTCAATAGGGAATTCCTCGATCGCATTACCCTCCACATTGAACACTACAACTTTTTATTCGTTATTTTCAATCAAGCTAATTTCATCAATAAGCCGACAGAGAGATGTAGTGTGAGTAACATCAAAGAATTAGGTTTAATTTGCAAATAACCTTTCATTTTATTTTTAAATAACGAATAACATACAATAAGAGAATTGAGGAATAATCAAGATTAGGTGCTTACTAGTCATATTGCTGAATCGTTCAACCATTTTCTTAGGAAATTTGGTGAGAGAGTTATTTCTCAGGTTGCATTTATTAATTTCATACCCTTTCAGCACAAGGTATATTGCATCAGCGATATACATTACGCCACAATCTGAGAGATCTGAAAATATGTCTTTAATTGCGCTTTAAAGAAACTGCCATTCAAATGAGACAAATTTTGTGCCCTTACCTGATCCTAGAAATTCATATCAGCTCTATTTAAGGAAAAAAGATTGTTTTAAGGAGTGTCCCTTATCCCTTGTCCTTGTTGTGCTCACCAAGGTAGCCGGACGCTTTCGCTGCTTCACATCTGTGCATTACACGTGTTACAGCTTTTCCTGCAGCAAGAGCCATCTTCCCTGAAGTTTCGTAAACATAACTAATACGAAACATTACACTTTTTACGAAGTTTGGAAACAAAAAGAAGTCGATAAATGAAGGAAAAACTGAACGCAATATGGTTTCCTGAATTCCTCTGCAGACTGACATGTGGCATTCTAACAGGCCCGATTTCTAAAGAAAATAAATTTTTCTTGATAAGGTGAAGTATGTAAAATTGCTGAGTGATATATTGTTATTGCTCTTCATTTGAGAAGTAAAACCCATCCAATGCCATCAAAAGTTCTGTAAAGCAACTTTAGCACTTATAAAATGCGAAAAGTAAAACTCAAGTTTCTGGTCTGAAGAGATGCCTTCAAAAAGAAAATTTCGAGCTTCCACTGGAATTCTCAGTGCATAAATTTGAAATGTCTGCTCGATTAATTCACCAGTTATACAGTTTAAAAAAATTTAATTGTTCAATCACTGACTGGAGTGGTCGGAACCAAGTGATGAGATGAACAAGCAGATAATGCAAGAGTAGCGAAAAAGTGAAACAAGCAAGAAGTTAGTGAGTGGAAAGCGATGAAAGTTGAAGTGTTTGGATGAGGTGAAGTCAAGCAGCACAGTAAAGGGCAAAGGAGAAATTAAAATGAGAAAAAGAAATGGATGGGAAGAGAAAGAGCGGTCGGAAGGGATTGAAATACACGCTGCAAACAACTGCTCTGCTACAGACTAACTGTGATTTAGCCGCCCTACCACTTCCCCAAACTGATTCACTTAGTGGGTTAGGCCGTTCGGTTAATACCCATCTGTAGACTGAAGGATTCCTGCTTTGTCTTTACTAACTCTTATTCTTGCCCACAAACTGAGCCGTTTATCCTGCTGTCATCGAGAAAGTTTCTTCCATCGAGAATTACGGGCTATTTATAGCTGTTAAGTGAATTCAGTACGATGTTAATACAGAAGATTAGTACTTCTCATTTGTTTATTGTTTTTCAGTTTTTCATTCTGGACAGCACAACTTATGCAACAATTTGTAGTTTGTGACGCATTTTTTTTAGCAAATTGGGAAATATCAGAAGTTTGCATGTCTATCCATGCATAAATCTGCAAATTTAAGCCTACTTTATTTTTAACTTTCGCTAGCAAAGACTTAGTTAGAAGGATTATGACTTGACATATATTTCAGCTACAGATGTTGTAATTAGATGCATGTCATTTCATTCATGTTTCTTTCGTCACAGTTCTCTGTTTTTATTGACATTGACATTGAGAGAACTTAATAAAAAATTCAGTTTAGTATGGAGATTAAAGTTGAGTTATGACAGAAACAAGTAAACGTGTTTACTAATTGGAAACAAGAAATGTTCTTGAGGGTTTCAGATTCTTCAGAAGATGTTGCTAGTGCTACTGCTGATCCAGTGTCCATTTCCTCACCAGCTCGAAGTCTTTCATACAGTTGCTCCATCTCTTTAAACAATAGCTTTCTTTCCATCATCGCAAAGCAAAAGTGATTTGTATGACCAAATAAAGATTATTGCTTACCTGGTTTAATGAACAGCCGAATGCGCATATACAACCATTTGCTGTAGAATATCTCAACGCAATAGACAATAACATTCGTCACAGAAAATATCTGAGTCATATCAACAGTTAAAGTTTGCTTGCATGTTTAAGGGCTTTGTGGTAAGATGTTAATTAATAATATAATAATAATAATAATAATAATAATAATAATAATAATAATAATAATAATAATAATAATAATAATAATAATAATAATAATAATAATAATAATAATAATAATAATAATAATAATAATAATAATAATAATAATAATAATAATAATAATAATAATAATAATAATAATAATAATAATAATAATAATAATAATAATAATAATAATAATAATAATAATAATAATAATAATAATAATAATAATAATAATAATAATAATAATAATAATAATAATAATAATAAATAATAATAATAATAATAATAATAATAATAATAATAATAATAATAATAATAATAATAATAATAATAATAATAATAATAATATAATAATAATAATAATAATAATAATAATAATAATAATAATAATAATAATAATAATAATAATAATAATAATAATAATAATAATAATAATAATAATAATAATAATAATAATAATAATAATAATAATAATAATAATAATAATAATAATAATAATAATAATAATAATAATAATAATAATAATAATAATAATAATAATAATAATAATAATAATAATAATAATAATAATAATAATAATAATAATAATAATAATAATAATAATAATAATAATAATAATAATAATAATAATAATAATAATAATATAATAATAATAATAATAATAATAATAATAATAATGATAATAATAATAATAATGATAATAATAATAATAATAATAATAATAATAATAATGATAATAATAATAATAATGATAATAATAATAATAATGATAATAATAATAATAATGATAATAATAATAATAATGATAATAATAATAATAATGATAATAATAATAATAATGATAATAATAATAATAATGATAATAATAATAATAATGATAATAATAATAATAATGATAATAATAATAATAATGATAATAATAATAATAATGATAATAATAATAATAATGATAATAATAATAATAATGATAATAATAATAATAATGATAATAATAATAATAATTAATAATAATAATAATTAATAATAATAATAATTAATAATAATAATAATAATTAATAATAATAATAATTAATAATAATAATAATAACAATAATAATAATAATAATAATAATAATATTAATATAATAATAAATTATGAGATAGGATGAAGAACTGAAAAAGGCATTCTTATCTAGGTTCCACAAGCATATCTATCCAGAATAATGGTAATAATTTTACCATAGCTATATAGAACTGCTTTGGAATTTTAGCTTTGAAATTTGTGTATTTCCAGGCGTGTTCCCAGGTGTTAAGTAAATACATCGTTGAAGTGCTCGCAGTGCACCACAATATGATATGAATAGCGCATCGGACGAAATCTATTTTCTGCGTCAACAAAACGTTTTAATTTATATGTTTTTTCTCTCTTTTGATTTGAAATGGTTCCATTTGATCTTCAAAAGAACTAATTTGACTATAAAATTATAAATAATTTGATTTTGGAGTTATAATTTCATAAAAAGGAAGGAGATACTCTAGATAAGGGAAGAATGCTCCGAGTGACTGATATTATTGTACAAATTAGATATATGAGATCGATTGCGACAATAGAGACTGGAAAAGTCATTCCAGATACAGCTTGGCATGGTAATTTGTGGCCTGAATTCCGCCATAGAAAACAACTTGAATCTTTCAAATCAATCTGAGATACGTCGCTTTAGGTTTCAAAAATACTTTCTGTTTCTCACTTCGGAATCAAACATTACTGAAGTATTTCATTTTTATCAAGATCATTACTTTATTAGTGTTCTTTCAAAATCATCTAAGGGTAAAAATTAAAGCCAGGAAACAAATAAATAAGCAAAAGCCGTTATTTCAAAAATATTCCCAACCTTTTTCTGAAATTGGAAAAAGGAAGTACCAACTTACTGTGATGCAGCTGTAGCTTTCAAAAATTTCACTGGAGGCAGTCATTTCTTCGGGTTCACTGCTAGCATTATTATTTGTTCTGTTATTCGATACTTCTGTCGTTTCTAGTAAAATACCAAAAATTCAATTTTTGAAGGAGCTCTTTACGTGTAAACTGAGATAACGAAAGTTTTTCATTAATTTGTATCGGTAAACAATGAAATAAACGGTTATCACTTCACCTGCGACAATCGCCTTATAGCGGTATCAATAATTTACAAAAAACTTATGCACTACGGCAAGATAAAGATTAACAATTTAATATTAACAAATGTGAAGTAATGCGGTTTCAGATATGCAAAAGGGGGACAACTGACTGTTTTCCAGATATTCGTATGAGACCACTGTTTTATTGTGATTTTGACGACTATAATAATTGCTCTCATTTGAAGGTAATCTGTTTTTAAGGAATAAATTTTGAACAAATTGCGCACAAGAGCTATTCGGACGAGATAGTATCTAAATCATTTATTATTTTTATTACAACCAAATCATTAGTAACAGTCTACTTTTTTTATACCAAACCAAATTTCTTTCATATAACAAATTTCTAAGAAAAACCGAAGCAGACTTTCAAATAAACCAAAACTTACAAAAATTTTCATGTTTTAACTAACTGTGTGCTTCAACATTGGTTTTAAATTTTTGTTGCTATATAAACTGAGGAAAAAAAAATATTTTTCCAATGCTTTATGATAAACTATATGACAAATTTATCAAGAAACCTAGATCACAACAACAAAAACTATAGAAATTATAGATAATCTAGACTTAAACGAAAATTGAAATTATAGATTGAAGTTCTTATGCTTCTGAGTTTTGGGACTGTTACAAATTTTGGTAGTGTTTCGAAAAAGCTGTCCGAATAAATGATTATAAATAAGGCAATCGAAATAGGAATGATATAGATCACTCGGGATAACGGAATAGCTAGCATTAATTGGCGTTCATAGTGAATCAAAAATCTTCAATAAAGTCGTGTGATTTTAAATCTTGAAAAGATAATTTGTTATCTCGCAACATAAATTTTAAAACAGGAAGGTACGTTTATTAAACATTTCATGTTTAATAAATTGTTTTTTCATCATAATTTATGTTATTATGACGACCTCAGCCATCATCATTACGATAATTTTTCGAACCTTTTTTTAAAGTAAATGAAATATCTCTCCAATATTGTAAAATCACTGTACTTGAAGTGTATTAACACATTTTTCAACAAGAAAAAATATGCGATATGCGATACCCGATCTAAAGAAGTTTTACCGCACAGACGATACGTCCCGAGAAGAAGGGAAATAGTTAGAAAAGAATTGATCATTTGCATTGCTTTCACTACAAAGAATAAGCGCATGTTGGGTTGTTTCCTAAAATTTAACATACTCTGACTAATTTGCATGGAAAACATTGGATTTTAAAAAGTAATGCTTTTGGAGAATCGTAAATTCATAAATTCAATACCACACGATCGGAAACGACTGTTCTTAAAGCTCAATAAGTGAAATAACCGTCGCTCCTTAACTCCAAATTTAAAATACCACTATATTATTCAAAACGGATTTATATTCAGCATGTTGATTCATTCACAAAATGTAAATTTTTGTAGTCAGTTCAATTCAATTCGGATTCTTCGTCTGCTGCAAGTCTGAAATTCAGCAAACGTGTCATGTTCCCATAAAAATGTCCATAGTTGAAGTTAGGAAATTATTAGTCTAAAGTCAGTTCTTCAACTTGTGTAGCAGTAATGCTTTGTTTATATGTTGTATGCTGCTAATTATCTGATATTTCAATGCTTTTAATAGAAAAAACGTTTTAATAGGAACCGAAATTAAATATTGTTCATAACCTTAACAATCTAAATTATTTTGAGCTGCCACCCACTTTTATGCTCATTGATTTCTGCCTTAACTTAGCAGCGACCCAGCAAGTCGCCTTCTTTCAAACGAAACATTTATTGTTTCCATGGTTTCCTCAGCATTATATACTACAAAAGTAACAATAAGCTAACACTACACTATTCAAAATCACTTGGTTTTACAGCGTTGTTAAGGTCTGTATATTTCTAACAAACCTATCTGATGGATATTTTGGCTATTTAAATATCGAATCATGACCTGGCAATGATTATCAGACATCTTAACTTTAAGGAAGGAATGCCGAGTTCCCGCAACACTTCCACTTCCTAGATTACTAAAATAAAAATCACAAAAGTTTGAGCACGGTCTTTTTTTTTTTTGAATTTAAATTATGTATAGTCAGTGCTTCCATCAATTTATGACCTGGTCTGGAAGTTTACGTAAGTTATAAGCCCTCCATGTTGTTTTACAAAAATTAGCCAAAATATTGAATCACAACCTCACCGCATTGACATTTGAATTTTGTCAGACAGGTTGTTATACAGACCGCTTTTGTCGAAATTTACAGACTTCGCTCAGAATTTACTGACAGCAGTGTGATAACAGACGCACAGTTCGATATGACAACAAATATTCCCGGCGTTTTGTTCTTCCACCCTTCTCTTCCTTTTTATTGAATCATTATTTCAAACTTAACTCCAGTTGCATGTCCTTACCAGTAACGATTCAGTACCGTTCCAATAGGTACTACGAAATTGAAACTCAGTTATTTTTTTTTTTTAAATTTCTGGAACTGTCATAACTGCCGACTTAAGCATCATACAAGCTGCATTCCTACCAACTAACCTATAGCAACACTCCGAAGTCATCACAACCTCTACTTATTCCCAGGAAAATCTGAGTACCTGTAACTCAATTTCCACTCAGTATTCCAGTGAATGTGACAAACATAATTTAATACCTGAGATTAATGTAACGATACCTGTTTGAACGAACCACGTTACAGAAGAACCGACTATAGATCTACATCTCTGTAATAGAATTGGATCTATCAAACAGATTACAACGTAGTTACTGCTAAGTTACCCACTAAGACCTTGAATTTCTAAAGTTCCCTTTCATATTCACAAATTTGTGCATTATATGATGATAAAACACTGCTTTTTTGCAGATCCATGTGGAGAACTAATAAATTGCAACTGCAACAGATGCATATGAGCAAAACAGCACGTACTGCATCCAATTACTGTTGCGGAAGTTCCATTTTAGAATTAGGTATAGAACACCGAATGTAAAACATGAAGTACCTATTTGTGCCAATCAAGTAAAACCAGTGCAAAGCAACTTCCCGAAAGATTCAAATGCGTTAAATGTATACACCACATCTTAATAAACAGTTGCATCTGCAATGATAGCACATGAGTCACCAGGAACACATGTTGCTAAAGCATACAACAGTTCAACTAACATCCCCCTGTCGATGTATCCACAGCATTTAAACCAAAAAAGTAAAATTACAAAACAAACATGCATATATATATATATATATATATATATATATATATATATATATATATATATATATATATATATAACGCATACAACAGAATGATTACAAAAACATGGCCTATAAGAAAATTGGGACAGTTAAAGCACCAAACTTCGTAAAATTCCTAGACAGATAACAAAAGTGCAATGACGAGGAATTGTTTTCCGTCCAAAAATTATCCATTTCTGATTGTACTGATATATGAAAGCGAAAATTTGAGAAATGTTTTCTTTTGGAAAGGAAAAAAAATCTTCCTGAAAATAAGAAAAAGTGGGATCTTGATGAGAGCATCATATAGAACATTAAAAAAAAAAAAAAAATTGTATTCACTACAGTGATGACAAAGCTGAACTCTCATGCCATGAAATGAGGAACGCTGTGGTGAACACCGAATAATACCCGCACGATGAAATGTTGGAAGAATTAAAATAGGTTTCTGTATAAGTCACATTACAATAAACCGTTATGCAATAAACTGAAAAATATAACAACAGACCACATTTCCAATACTTAAATTTATTTTTTAAGGCAAAAATAACTTCGGTGATTTTCAAGCATATGATGTGTTACAAGGTTCTTTGAGGTAGATGAATTTTTATGAAACGAAACACTTCCAATCTTTTCCTAAGGCTGTCAAGTCATCATCAACTCAAAATTTCCCATCTCCCCTTCTCCTAGCTTCCTCATCAAATTCATTCTAATATTTTATTCATCAGCTTTATGAGGTCCATAATGAAATTCGAACATACTAACCTAGAAAAATGTACTTATAAGCAGAGCTCTTGTTGTATGTGGGTTATACCCTATCTTCACGTGGTCTTCCTCGACAAACACGATGTCCGAAATTTCCTATGGTCCCACTACCACCATTACTGTAGTGTTCACCTATACACTCCATTGTATTCAACATATCTTGAAATTTTTGTGGAAGTTTCTGACTGATTGCAAATTGATTCATATCCAGTTCCTCACGTAAAGATTCTTTATATTGTTCCAGATACCTGGCAAAGAAATTTTCAATCAGTGATTTAATAGTAATCCAAGCCCAACATTTTACAACAAACCTTATATAACAAATGCGAAGAGTCAAATTCCAAAAGAAATGATATTTGAAAGAAATTAATAAAACAAGGACATAATTGGTAGTGGAATATGCAAAAATTCAGATAAAACCACGTGAAAAACTTACTTGTAAAGCTCATTTAGTGCGCTAAAAACATGAAATCGGTCACGCGAGTGAGAACGTGACTCTTCAGCAAGCAATGCATTCATGTCCTGGTCGGTTATTGGAGGCATTTGCCTTATTTCTGCATAGTATCTGGAAGAAAAATTTTTACAGTATCTCTTAACGAAATTCTTTCGTCGAAGTTCGACAACAATTGCAAGAGCACTAAAAAATAATTCACCTATCAACCCAATCACGATATTGATATATATCTTTTGCAAATAATAATTTGCTGCTTGGTGAATCCTTTGTTAATTGATGTTCATGTGTCGAACATGCGTCCATAAGAGTTTGAGCCACAACCGATAAACAACCTTCAAGCTGGAAAAGATAGCCATAAATGTCACTTCGCTGTTGCAACGAATTTAGAACACAATCTAATCATATAATAGTTATAAGCAGATTTATAAGCAAGTTTATTATTAAGTAGACTGCTCCCATTTCATGTGTCAACATAAAACTGAACCTATGATTCAACAACCGAAAGTAGACCATATGAATAACTTGATATGATGAACAAAACTGCATATATACCTTTGTAGGTTTCTGAATATCAAATACAAAGTGTGGATTCTTTATCAAATTGACCCAAAACCTTAATGGCAGAGAATTGCTTTTCCAAGCATGAACAACTTCATTCTCTTCAATACCATGCTCTCTAGCCTGAAAGGAAACTGTAACATGAAAGTATCAGTCTGTATCGAAAATCAGTCTGCTAATGAATCAAAGTTTTATTCACCTGATCATCCATGAAGTCAAACATATATTTCACGCAAGGAATAGCGGAGTTCGGGACCGCAGTAGAAAATATAACTTCCAGCAAATTTTGGATAAATTTCTGAAGTGTACCCTTCATTGTGAGCAGTCTAAAATAAGTTATATATAGGTATAAATAGCAGCACAACGAATCAAATAAACTATCTTTGTCGACATATGTGAATAAGTCCTAATAAAAATAAAGAATAAAAGCTTAAAATCTACCTAGTTAGATATATTTCAGTGACCATTTTATCTTGTTGATCAGATGAGCCATGCTCGGAAGGGCGCACAAGATGATATAACTTGTAATTGGAATCCATGTCTATAACAATTGTGCAAGTTGCATTTTTTTTACAAATAACAGAATGGCAGTGACAATAGGTTATCATAAAGCATGAGAAAACTGAACGAAATAGTTAAGATTATTTAACCAATTCAAAAACGAGTTTCGTTCCTTAAAAATAAGATAAACACTAACTTGACAGCAAACCTTTGCACTGAGAACTTGAGTTTGTTCCAAATGGTCTTGTAAGTGTAGGACTTTGCTTCGGTAACGAAAATGTTGAACGTTCACTCAAAATTGAAAGATTGTACAGAGATGCTTGGCGTGGAAGTAGTGCTAACGTAGCATTTTCAGGAACCTGAAGAAAAACTCATGTCAGTCCTGCTCTAGCCTCTAATCTCTAATCTTGATCATACCCCAAAAATGTGGCACTCTATTTAACGCAAGGCTGAGATAACCAATGAGTCTAAATTTTCCGACGATGTCTTTGAACAGTTCCGGTGAAAAGTTACAGAAGACGAAGATTTGAATTGCTCGAAGAAAACTTCTGTAATTCTGGGAAAACACACACACAATAACTAAAAAAATACTTTATAGTGAGCAAGGGTATTAATCTTTTTCCAACCACCGGGTTCAACCTTTGAAGTAC